GAGCAACAAACTCGTGTAATATTAAGTTTAAGTGGAAAATCAGAGCTTTTGACTTTTTTTTGACTGCTTCTCAAATCACAGGAACCAAAAGCTGTAAATGAGCGATTAGGTAATCAGATAACGGGTTTTTTTAAAGATTTTTTATAACTTTTTTTCCGTTTCATAACATTTCGATTTAATATCGCTTTTTGAGTTCATTATTGCTCATGTTATTAGAAAAGCGTTTTTCCGATCCTCAGCGCTAAACTAAAAACAACAAATTGGAGTTTTGACTTTTTACATGATAAAAATGTGACCAGTATTAGTAAATATCGTAGGAGGGGGAGGAGTTTCAATCGTATAGTTGACGTGAGGCCAATTTTTTTCCGCGTACGTGATTGTTTTCATCTACATTTGAGGAAGCTTCTGAAAGGTTTGAAACTCCCTAATATGAGCAATATGAAAACAGGACGTCACCGAGATAATTTTGAGAAAAAATAGAATTAATGGCTTCTCGGAAAATCAGGCTTACCGATCTAAATTATTCCACTACTGCTCATTCTATCATTGCTTTGTTTTGATATTTTAAATCGGTTAACAGTGAAAAAAAAAACACAAAGATCATTGAAGTGGGAAATAATATTCTCGAATTTCACTCGGCCACGCCTCTTTTTCCGGCCGAAAAATGCCCCCCAGCATAAATTTCTTTAATCTTCTCACTGGTCACTCGCAGCTGATTTTTCTTTTTCTTCCAGAATCAGTTGGAAGTAATATTGCTCATGGGAAAAACTCAGATTTAGTGATTTATTGCTTCCGTTATGAAAAAGCTTCAGAAACTTCTGGTGCTTATTTCCGAATTTACGTGGTTTATAGTTTTTTTTTACCTAGCCAGCATTCGACAACCTTTTTGAATATTTTGAAACTCATAATTTTGAGCTTAAAAATAAGTCAGAACACATTGCTCATGTTAAAGCTTTCTAGGAGGTTTCCAGCTTTTCTGAATTTTAAATTCGAATTATTTTCTGAAAACTGGAAGTTCTCACCCAAAACTCTGCACTCATTTTTGAGGGCTCTTACAAGGTTCAAAAAATTATTGATTCAGAGAAAGTAATCATACCTGAAAAGGCTCGGCTGAGAAAATACCATCTGATATTCTCGTGTTTTTTCCTTAAAACTTCTATAATGCATAAGATTGAACATATCATTTCAAAAAAGCGAAAACTGTTGGCTCCTCCCATGCCGCAGCCTTTCCTCGAAATTTGAAACTCCAAACCGAAGATCAAACTGCGTTTGTCCCCAGGCACGGAGCAGAGCAGTTAAAAAATGGCTTTTCTCTGACCACCCGACTGGTCAGCCTTTTTTCCGCTGTTATCTCTCTGCTCTCTTTCGCGTTTTCCCAGGCTGGACGTGCCAGCCGACGCCATGCTCGCCGGCGCATTCTCTTTTCTCTCTTCTATTTCTCTTTTTTCGTTTGTCTTTAATTATATACCTCTCACCGGTTGGCACTGATGCTCCGCCTCTCACTCTCTCTTTTTCCTGAAGCAAAATGCAATAGTTTTGGTTTTCGAGCCACGCCTACTTTTCACTTTCTGGTATATAGTTATTCTTGGCGTTTCACTGTGGCATTTCTCCATCGAAACTTTTTCTAGGATCTCAGGCGGGGTTCAAACTAGACTATCTAGGAATGTATTATAAGATTCTCCCAAAGGATAAAAAAGTTTCAGCTGCTGATAGAAGTTGAAAAAAACCAACTAGGATTAGGTTCTTAGGCTAAATGAAATCTGAGGAAGCTAAAAATCCGAATACTGGGGATTTTTCTACCCTTCTGGAATATAGGCTTCACCTAAGTACTGAGTGAGAACATCTGAAACAGATGAATATTTTAAAATGAAGTCTTAGGGTGAACCAAGGTTTGGTTCCTAAGTTCAGTGAGTCCTAGAAGGGCTACAGCTTTTTTTAAGTCCTGATAATTAGGGATTGTTGTTTTAATTTTAACAAAAACACCTAAAATCGGACTCAGGTTTCAATTAGGTACTGCAGGAACGTTTTCAAAACTTAATTCGACTTAACAAAGGCCTAAGTGAACTGATTAAAAAAGAAAGGAATTCCAAAAAACTACCGATTCTCGTGATAATTCAGAAATTTTCAGGCTTTCCTTTTTTAGGACTTTGTTTTTCTGAACACTCAGAATTACTAATCAGTTCGCACCTGTTGGAATTCTTGAGGTTTTCGAATAAGAAAAGAAAAAAAAATGGGCAAGTTAATCAGTTACATTGAATAAAGTCTCTAGATTCATCACATTTTAAAGATTTTTATTTTTTTTTTAAATTTGTTACTGATTTCGAAACGCATTATAATCTAGACCTTGTAGTTAAAATTGGTGTTCGTGGGTCTACCATCTTTCAAAATCCAGCTTTCAGATTACTCGCCGAGTATTTTGATCCATAATCTTTTCCAGTTACTACCTGAATATCTGCAATTTTTAACTCTTGCGTTATAGGTTTTCTCAGTTTAATATTTGTCGATATTCGACGGTTTTTTTTTATCTCGTAATCGTTTTCCACATCGATTCCCAAGCTTCGAATTTTAAATTTGGGTGTACGAAATTAATTATAGGTACAAAGTTCAGCTGTTTTTTTTCTATCAAATGAAACAATTTAATCGTGGAAACAAACCGTTGATTAACTTTTTTTTCTGTTGTTTCCCAGTGAAATACTTTTTGATTCTTGATTTCAATGTTTTTTTGAACCTCAAATTGTTGTTTGGATGAAGAAAAGGTTTTTTTCCTTGCGAGAAAAAAAAGCGACTAGAAGGATTCAAGTTTGAATACTATAATGTAGTACTTTGGAACCGGGATCTTATCCAAAAAAATAATCTTCGGTTTTTTTGAGAATCAACTAGATTTTTGAGTTTTTTTCAAAATAACGTAAAGTTAGCTTGTTTTGAAATTTTTTTCGCTTCTTTTCTAGTTTCTCCTTGCTTTTTTTAAAAATAATTTTTTTGCGGTAGATGAACATTTCAGAATAATTTTGGCTGAATTGTGTTTGTGAAAGCTCTCAAATTGTCTTTTTTTATTACAAAGAAAAAAATTGAAAAAAATAGGAATTTTCAACGTCTAGGAGTATTGCTCATGTTTGCGCTTGTGGGCGTTGCAATCTCAAAAGCCTTTCCCTGGTTCAATTTGAAAGAAAGACTTGGTGAAAGGTTTTCGTTAGGTTCTTTTAAGGCCATAAATTTATTCTCAGTGACGTCACATCGATTTGATGTCTCTGATTAAGATCTCAGAAAATTTTATTTCTCCTTTCTTTATTTTTTCTTCGATTCCATCTTAATTGAAAGCAGAGTTTTTTTCATTTTTTTTTCCAAGACTTTTGATGAGATCCGCTAAATCTCAGTTTCTTTTTTTTCTGACGTTTCGGCTCCTAAAGTGACACTCAAAAACTCTCAACTTCTCTAACAGAGCAATCAGGTCTACGTTGAAGTTTAGAAACGTTAATTAGGAGTGAAATTGAGGGGTTATACAATTTTTCTGTGAATTTCAAGCTCGAACCAGTGCCAGGCACGCGTTTTTGGCGTGTGGTCGTGGTGAGCTGCGATGTAAAAGGAGGCTCTGGCGCGTCTCGCAAACAAACACTGGCCGGCACTCGGCGACGTGTGTGGTTGGCGCTGGCCGGCCCCGCTGGCGGCCCTCGGCGCCACCAAGGCCCCTTCGGCCACGCCTTCTTTTTGTATAGATTGTATAGAGGATGTTTTAGAAATGGCAGAGAATGGCGAATCAGGGAGTTGCCACTGGAGGGACCTCTTTCAGAGAAAGCTCTTGTCCGTTGCAAATTATGGTTAGAATTCTAAATCCTGGAAAGAATGGATAGTTGAGACTATCACAGAACAAAACTGAAGCTGGACTACATTCAAGAAAAATGATTCATAATTTTCTTAAAAATCTTAAAGTCAATGACAGAACCTTCCACAGAAAAGAGTACACTTAAGTGGGCACTTATCGGAGGAAGACTTTTTTTCTAGTAGTTCCTGGATAATTTTTTTCGAGATTTTTTTCAAAACTCACCGAAGAACCCATCTTCAAATTTTGTTTAAACGTCTCTTTTTATAGAAAAAGTTTTCGAAATGAAACTGTTCGAAATTTTTTTTTCTTCAGTGGAAGAAATTAAAGATTTTTTTTCAGAGATTTATTTTAAAAAAATTTACTTTTTGAGTGAGTATTAAGAGAGGAATTATGTTAACTTCATAATTTATGATTTTTTTAGATGTGGATCAACAAGATTCATGAAAATGTCACTTTTTAAAAGACGACCTAGTTTTAGGATGAAATTTCATATTGAAGCTTGAATTGGGTTAAAAAAGGGCTGTCAAAAATGAAGAGACCTGCTGAAATTAGTATTTCAGAGCTATTATCATTCTTCGAGTTTTGAAAACTGAAAGTTTTTTCTGCGTTCAAAATTGTGAAAGTATAAAAATGTATGATTTATAATCTTTCAAGAGTGTTTTCAAGCTTCTATTTTTTGGCACTCTTCCTTTTCTCCATTTTTTCTCAATTTTTCGCTCTCCACAAGAAAAACCAGCTTCATTTTTCATCGAAATGTGATCAAAAGCCCTTTTTGTCAACTTTTTCGTTGCTCCTGGTGCCACCGTCGGCACCAAGAGCAAACAAAAAAGTCGCGAGCAATGGAAAAAAAGACTAAAGTAAAGAAAAAAGTACGCGGAAACGAAAAAAAAAATGAAAGAAAGTTGCGAGTTTGACTTTCTTCTTTGCTTTTATTTTATCAACTTTTTCAAGTTTCTCTGCTTTAATATATACAAATTTGAGAATACCTAAAAGGGAAAATTTTAGAATCATGGTAAACCCATTTGACTTATAAGCTTCTGTGCTACAAGCTCAGTAAACCTATATTCCCTTTTAAATCTCTATGATCCTCTAAATAAAGCCGTTGGATCTCGAACCTGCGACTATTCTATCGGCCGTCGAGACTCTTATCCACTTAACCATCCAGGTGATTTGCAGAGAGATGATCGCCTTCGAGGTGGGCACTGAATATGCGGATGAAATACAAATAACGGATGACGTCGAAGACGAAGACGAAGAATTGATGGTCGACGACGACGACGAAAACGTCGAATGCGCCGAATTGGTGGGTTTTTTGAAAAATTGTAGGGAATAATTTGTTTGAAGGCTGATTTCTAAACGCACTGACAAAATAGTTTGTAATTTTGCATTTTTAATTCTTAATTGGCTTGATGATGATCTCATGTACATAGTTCAACAGAATGACGTCATTGATAACTGAGAAAATTCAGAACCAGGGTAAAAAATAAAAATTCTTTTATCACATCCGGATAATGACGTCATTGTTTTCAAAACGGGACGCTTAGAAACGGCTAAAATTCCGATATGACGTGAAAAAAGTTATTAGAAAAATATTCATAATTTCAAAGTTCGAGACTGAAAATAGAAGAGTTAAACTGCGCACACACAATGAATGACGTCACGAAGTTTTTGAAGGGACGTCATAGTTTCAGGAAGACAGCGACACGACGTCTGATTCTGACGTTTGCTCGTCGCCGACGCCGCCGCTGTCCGACAGCAGCCAATCACCGTCGCTTCACCAGATCGATAGCCCTTCTTCTAGGGTAAAACCTACCGTATCCTTCCTGGACCTTACCATTTTCTTTTCAAGACCGACTCGAACAACTCCGTCGAGGCTCCATCTTCATCGTCGAATCCAGTGGAGAAACGGCATATTTGCAATACCTGCGGAAAGGTCTACTATTTTCAATACTGGTTATTTTGGATCCAGTGTTCAAGGTTCTACAGAAGAATCAGGGCATGCTTAAACAGCGAGTTGAAAACTTGCCTACTCGCTGTTTGAGCATGCCCTGATTCTTCTGTAATACCTTGAACTAGAACCTTGAACTAGAACCTTGAACTCGATTAAATAATATGCACAAACATTTTTGTTTTTTTTTTAGGGTTATGCATACCTCTCGATCCTGGAATCCCACAAACGGACACACACCGGCGAAAAACCGTTCAACTGTCATTTTTGTCCGAAGACGTTTGCCCAGAAAGCCACGCTGCAAGTTCACGAGAGGACACACACTGGAGAGAGGCCGTTAGTTTTTTAAACTGATCAGAAGGATGGAAAAAATTTTAAAGCACTCTTTTTCGAAAAAAAAAGGATGAGTTCTTCGAGGCTATTGAAGAATGAAAAACCATTATAAACGATCAAATGAACACTCGTATAGTTCATAAGTGTTTTGGTTGAAACATTTGGATCAGCAGATTATTAAGAACAACATCAAAAAAAGCTGCCGCGGTCGGGAAAAATGAATTTAAAAAATGAGTCGCTATTTGGAAGGTCGCCGCTCTTTTCTCTATTTTTCAAAATTTAACTTTGTCGGAGCGAGTAGGCAAGTTTTTTGTACGTTTCATTTCATCCATTTCAAATGTTCATTCGCCATTCCGCAATCTGCACGACAACACAAAAAAAAACATCAAAACAATCAAATAAATCTAAAAGCTGATGTGTGGAAACGGCAACTCTTGTACAACTCTTTCTCTGGAATTAAGTTACGGCATAGCTGTTTGAAATCTGTGCGAAGTTTCAAGTCATTTGAGCCACTTTCAGAGAAGTTATGCTCGAATAACCACTTTGAAATACCTTTATGGACAGTACTGTATAAGAAAAAAATATTCGAATTTTTTTCGGAAAAAGTTGCTACCTATAAAATTTGAGAAAAAGGTAACAGCTAATTTTTCTGAAAAAAATAATTTTAAATATATCTCGAAAACTTGGCAATTCTCTTCTATAAGTAGACTCTTTAGGTAGGGACCGCAGACGAATTTTTAAAAATTTTTTTTCAGCATTCAGCTTCGTATGGTTTGATAGCTGTTTTGATTCAAAACTCAGAAACGTTTAGTTTTTCGAAAAAGATTAAGAATGAAAAAAGTTATGACGAAAAATGTGGCGCGCCGCGCACCATTTTTTTAGTACTGAAATTTTGGTATTATATATTTTTGACATTTTTCTTAATTTTTCTTCTAGAACAAATTTTTATACTGGCCTATTATGATGTAAACAATAATAATAGAGTGCTAAAATAATAAAAATTTGCTAGTTTGCCGAGAAAGTCGGTATTTTCCAAAAAACAAAAAACTGACGCTTGCGGGCATCGAACTCGCGACCTCAAAAAGACAATGCGCAGCGCACGCGCTGCGCCAAGTTGTTAGGTTTAGCAAGGGGAGCTTCCATCGCGGATACCCTTGAGCCGTTTGGATAGCACAGATTGCCTATTTCAAAAATAAAAGTTTGAAGTAATTTAGCTATTTTCATCAGAATGTGTTCGCAAATCTTTACTCAAACTTTCCGTGGAAATTCACTTCGAAAAAACTGTTTTTTAGTGCTTTTTGCCTCGTTTAACGATCGCTGCATTAAAACGGCCCCGTAAATTTTTGGCAAAGACGAATTTTTTATTTTATTGTCTTAAAATTACCGTTACTTGAAGCAAAATCATTATTCAAAAAAAGAAAAAGTGCGTTCGACCTGAAAACACATGAAAAAGCAAAAAATGACAAGCTTTTTCAGTTGCATTCACGTTTTTGTACGACATTCCGCGAGAACGCATCAAAAAAGCGTGAAATATTTTTTAAACGAAAGAGGAAGCTTTTCTGTGCATGTGTGTCAAAATTTATTATCCAGTTCCACATATTTTGCAACTACAACAAAATGAAAGTTGAAAACCAAAAAAAAAGCCACTTTTTCTATCGCGAAAAGGGGCGTGGCTTTGCGGTCCCTATCTTTAGGAGGCTTTTACTAGAAAAAAAGTGCACATATCAAAATTTTAAAAATTTTTAAACTTGGTAAAAAAAGCGAGCACTCTGTGTAAAAGGTTGATTTTCAGCTACAAATGCCGACACTGCGATAAGACCTTTGCGCAGTACGGGACTAAGACAGTCCACGAGAAGAGCGCCCATCTGGGAATCCGCAACTACAAATGTCCGATTTGCGGGAAGTTCCTTTCGTCTCCATCGGCCCTCTATACCCACAAGAAGACCCACGGAGATAAGACATTCATCGTGAGTTCGCGAAATCCGAATTCATCCAGATATATGTATACAAACCCCTCTTTATTCAACGCTTGAGACATTATTTTTCTTGAAGCTCCAGTTTTTCATTGATCGGAATTCTCGAAAATTTTCTTTTTTCAGTGTCAGTTCTGCCCAAAGACTTTCGCCCTGAAGAATTATCTGAAACTGCACGTCAAGCAGGTCCACGAGCAGAACGAGCGAAAACATATCTGTCGTTTCTGCGACAAAGCTTTCGCCTATGCTGGAAGTTTGCAGGTTGGTAGACCAGAAGTTATAAGCTTATCAGCTTGAATCTTCAGGTCCATGTCCGGTCTCACACCGGCGAGAAACCTTACAAGTGCAAGTACTGCGTCAAGTCGTTCGCCAGCCAAGGCAACCTGCAATCGCACGAGCGAACCCACACCGGAGAACGACCTTACGTCTGTCGTCTCTGTCAGAAGCCCTTCATCCAGAAGTCTCAGCTGACCGCCCACGAAGCGACGCATTCACAGCTGCACACGCCTCCTGCCACGCCGCCAGAAAATCAAGTTTCGGTCGTGGTGCCGATGGCACTTCCGGCGCCGATCGCTCAGAATCAGCCTTCTGAAGCGGCGGTCCAGGCCGAAGACCATCAATGCAAGTTCTGCGGCGTTCGATGTTCATTCCCTAGCAGCCTCTGCGTTCATCAACGTCGTCACACCGGAGAGCGGCCCTACAAGTCAGCAATCATTCATTTCCTTCGGAAACCGTTGTTCTTTTCCAGGTGCCAGTACTGCGACAAGACATTCACCAACCAAGGCAACATGCAAGCCCATCATCGGGTTCATACCGGCGAGAAGCCGTACGTCTGCACCGGCTGCGGAAAAGGCTACGTCCAGAAAGTCGGGCTCAACATCCACATCGAGCAGTGCGGACTCTACCAGCAACAGCAGCAGCCTCACATCGAGGAACCTAATTTCATCTATCATCGTAAGAACTTCAGAGAAAAACGGTATCTTCAAGAGAATTTTCAGCTGAGCCTTGCTTGCCCAAGTCCTTGTTCCAATTGAAGCCGTTGGAGCCGCTCCAGCCTCCGCCTCAGGCTTTCGTTACGCAATTTGGAGCTCTGCCAGGGACGCCGGTTATTCCAAATTTTGCGCCTATGGAGGTCAGTTTCCAGCAAAATATCTTTCGAACTCTCTTTGGGATCAGTTGCGAAATCGATTTTCAACAATGTATTTGAGTTGGGAAATTTTCCCGAGGCAAAAATTAACGCGAAAAGTTGGATTTTTGAAGAATTTTATTAAATCGTCTTTTCAATTTTTAAACTTTTTCAAAAATTCCCCACTTTTCAGATCAACCACCACACCGACTTCAGCAAGGTGGAGCCGCTCTCGTCGGCTTTCCAGCCGCCGGCCAAGTCGGACTCCCTCCTGACCTCGCAACTGCTCGACGTCCTCCTCCAGCAGCAACAGCAGCAGATGTTGTCGACGACGACGCAGCTGCTGCTCCAACAGCTCCAAGGCAACGACGCTCTGAGCTGTCTCCTGTCGCAGAACCTCCTGACGGGAGCCCTGGCCGTTCCGCCGCCGCCTCCTCCTCAACAAACCAACTTTCTCTCGTTCCTGCCGCTTTTAGGCGCCCCTCAGCCCCAGCTGACTATCGGGTCTTCTGGCGAGCCGATGATTGTTTAATCTTCTCATTTTGTAGAACTTTCAAGAAGAAACCTTTTTTTTATTAATTTGAAGCAAGTTCCTGGCTGCAACTTAATAAAAAAAGGGATTTTTGAAGTTTTTTTTCAAGTTAATAGTTCAAGCAAAATTCTGGATTTCTTTTTTTGAAAGCTACCATTTATTCCATTCACTTTTAAATAGAATTTTGAATGAAATTAATTGGAATGGAGTTTTTAAAAGCGGCTGAAAATTTTCAATTCCAGTTCCCCACCAAGAATTCTGATGAACATTTCAAAAAACTTTTCTGAAATCATTAGTAAAATTCAAAAGCTCCATTTCAAACTACACTGACTTTCCAATTATTGTCTTTTTCATTCTTTGTACTTTCAATGTATACTTCCTTCTAAATTAATTTCCAAGATACTCATCTCCTTGTCCCAAAATTTAGTCATTTTAAGGGTTCTTCTTTGCAGAAATACTTGGCCGGCAACACATGAAAATTGCCCAAAACTCCGATTACGGTAATTAAGTTACGATATGATTAAAATCAAATGAGATACGATTACGATAACAATGTCTTTCAACCACAGTTCGTCGCTTTCTTCTCCCACACTTCCTTTTCCCTTACTTTACATGCAAACCCATCACAGACGGGATATACCTTATTCAATTTTTCTTTTTCCTCCTTCCAAATAGTTGCCAAATCTTCTCCCAGAACCCGTCTGTTCCTTCTCATTCTATTTATTTTTATTTCCTCTCCTTCATGACAGTATTTCTCCATAACAGTATTATAGTTATACATTACTTTTCAAAGACCTTCGTAATACGACACTGATCTCTATGCATTCAGTTTTCCTTCTTTGCTCGATTATTAGTCTACTTAATTGGACATTGAAACCATTCTAATCAAAAACCTTGCCCCATATGTGTGTTTTCTGGTCACAAACGTTGTCAACCCATTCGAATTTGTAAATAATAAATTTATTTTCGAGCAGAAAGAGCAAGAAGATAGGACCCAGGTCACGAGATCGGAAAACAAGCCTCTCAACGACTGAGCTACGGGAGAACTGCAGTTAACCTTCTTTCATGCAACAAAATGCGAGAAGATCCTGAGGATGAATGTTAAAATAAACAAAATGATAGTGTGACTGATATAAATGGAGTGTAGATATATATTTGTTCAAACTTTTGCCACACTTTTATAGTTTTCCATCGTTTTAACGGCTCAAATATGTTTAAAACATTGCTCCAACGCGAGAAATACTTCTTCCAAGTTTTCCCAAGTTCTTCTTCCAAGTTTTCCACCGAAAATGCCAACTGACGTCGTGAGTTTCACAATTTTTAATGAAAAATAAAATAAATAGAGTTCAATTCAATAAACATGATTGTGGAGTTCGAATTTCGGAAAATAAACCCGTAATTTTCAAGTTTCCTTAAACATAGACAAATTATTAGAAAAGTCTTTTCATTTCAAATTTTCAACTATATTGGCGTTGAGAATCCTATTTTTTTTTTCAAATCTCACATGAATATCTTTAAAATTTTCCCCTGCCCCTTTAATAATTGAGAATATTTAACTTGGTTCGCCATAATTTCAAAGAATCTGACTTGTCTGCGCTCTCTTTTCACTTGCCTCGGAGAAGAAATGAGAAAAAACCAACACATGACGACCCAGAATGTCTGCAGTCGTAAAAAAAAATCATTTTAGGATTACACGAACTCAATAAAAACAATAAAAACAAATCTTAAAAGTCTGTTATTTTTTCAACTCCTCAAAACAAAAACAGGAAGAACTGACCCGGACGGTCCGTCAAGGACTGGTGTTGTCTCGAGGAGACCCCACCCTGCAGCAGTACTTTTCCGCGGCTCTCGACATGCTCCAGCTCCGGAAGGAAGACTCCAAGAAGGTGACGTAATCTTAAAGTCGTTCCATTGCTCACCTTACAGCTCAACGTCATTTTCTGGGACATTTCCTCTTTCGAGCACAACCAGAAACAACTCGCCAAGTTCATTCGGTTCCAAAGGTACTGAAAACGCTGGTCTCCCTTTGAAAACGGTTTCAGACCTGATGTCATTCTTCTCAACAAGATCCGCTGCTCAGAGTACGAGATCCAAGCTTTTGCACGGAATCATCGCTATGAGGCGGCGTGAGTTTTTTATACCCGATTCAAAAAAAAAAAAAAGATTTTGAACATCAAAAGTTCTTTCACAACTAGCAAAAAATTTTTTAAACTGAAATTTGAAAAAAAAAAGATAAAGAAGAATAAATAATGGAGCCCAGGGTGAACATCAGCCCCAATGCCGGTGTCGCGATTCTCTTCGACTCGCGCAAAATCGCCGCTTACAAACAACACGCAGGCAGTATAGTTTGCGAAGAGGTTAACTTTATCTCTATCAATTTATAATATCATGTTGTGAAGGACCCAAGCAAGAACGACATCGAATGGGTTTGGATCAACTTCCTGTTCAACCGTCACTACTACCGTCTTGCTTGCATCTATTGCGATGCCGACGCGAAAAAAGTGATTGAGCAAACATTTTTGTTAAATAATCTAAGAAAATATTGAAACTATTTTTTCAGGGCGACATAAATTCTGCCATCCAGGGAATGTGCTTGGAGAGACATCGCTGCTACGTCGTCGGAAATTTCAATAGGAAAAACTTCAAGTAAGCAATCTGAGGTCTTATTGATGAACATTTACGCAGCGTAAATTAATTAATAATAGGTTTAAAGTAAATGTGAGAGCGTTGTTGGGTTCAAAATAGTTGAAATTGAAACTTTTCCTCGGATAGGCTGGAAGTGTCAAATAGGAACGAAGGTTTTTATCTGCTGACTATTTTCACTGCGTAACTTTTCATTCATATCTACTCTATCCTACAGGCCAAAAATTTACCATCTTTGTCGGATATTTCACGATGCCCCAAGTTGTTCCGAGAAAAGAAAGAAAGCCTCTTGACGACCATTTCGCTTCAAGACATTTCACGTTCTTTCTTTATAAGCTACTTCAAAAAGTGTAAAAATTACCGTAACCGCAGATGCAACGATATGCGTAACGTGATCGAAAACCAGCCGACCTATGCAAAGCTACGGACACACGGCGGCGTCGTCGTCTCTGCCGACTACGCCAGGTACTGTAGTGTTCATTTCTACCGTAACCACATAAGTTAGTCGCTCGGGGATACTGTGTTCGCCTGCCGATTCATGTCACGTCAACGTCCAGCCGCCCAAAGAGCCGTTTTTCGTCAACTACGCTCCCAGCAACGAAAAGTTCCATTTCATCTTGCCTTTCTTCATCCAGAGCGAGCAGGACTGATTTCTTTTCATTCTACATATAACTGTACTTACAATCATTTTGTAATCAAATATTAATCTGATAAACTCATTTTTAATTGCACTCGGTTTGTTTTGTTCTTTCATTCGGGAGCTGAGGATTCGGAACTGCCGTCATCGTTGACTGTCAAGGACGTTTGCGAGGAATCGACAGTTGGGGATTTTGTTCTGAAATAGAGAAATAAATCCAGAATCAGATTGAAGACGCACGACTGCATGTCGCGCATGTCTTGTGAGATGGAGAACGAGGAGGAGTTGTGGCGAGGTCGACGTTGGAGTGACGTCACTTGGAGATTAGCCTAAAACAACAAAAACTTCAATATTTAAAAACCATTCAACTAGAGCTCTCCAAAACGACCGTTCGAACGAGGACGGTATGAGGGACTTTTAGCGACAGGGCCATTTCAAAGATCGTTAAACAAAGTCTCAAAAATTAGACGTGTCAAATTGACACTGTCAATGTATCAACAATGAACTGAAGTTCGAATTTACGACCAGTCATTAAATGACTTCCAACCGATTCCACGAAGAAACTTAGTTATATATTTCTTGCAAAAGTTTTAGTTCTTGGTTCTTTTTCATTTGAGCTTTCCCAGAACTTTGTAAATACTTCACAAGATTGAAAAATCCCCACGTCATCATATTTTCTGAGGGTATGGTCCCTCTGGAGATTGGTCAGAAGCGGCGACCTCGTCACGACGCGGTCTTCTGCCGCCGCCAGAACTCCGAGCATTCCTTCGCACGTCGGCTCACGCCTTCTGAATTCTCTCACGTCAACTTAGAAGTTAGTACAAGGAAATAATTGTCAAAAGGCTTTTTTGTCAGAAAATAGCAGTGAAAATAAAGTTGTTGGTAGCACCTTAAAAATCTGAAAAATCTGAACCAACATTTTGACTTCGCAAGAATCAGGTAGAGAGAACATTGAAACGGACTCACGACGGCTTGTCTGAAAATTTCTACTCGAGCTTCAAAATTTTAACCGAAAAAACCTTTCTCGTCCTCAAAATCCCTAAAATTTCATCATTCGTGCGCGACATGAAGTCCAGCTTGGTCTCCAAATCGTACATTCTACCCTGAAACAGTTCGGTCACAAGGATCAAATATAATGAAACTAGCCTTTAATAAAAAGTTCTCCTGCATCAGATCGTTCACTTTCTGACACGTGATTTCCGTTCTGAAGCAAAATGGAATAACGTCATATAAACGATTCTGATGAACATTTTGGAGACGTTGGAAGGCTCGGTCACGTCGACATTCGTTCTCAAACGTCTTCGAGTGAGCATATCGACGCAATCTTCTTCGAAATCCTGCATCTTTTTCAGCTCCTCAGCGCTTAGGACCAGTTCTTGAAACTTTTCGGTTGGTATTTTAAATAATATATTTTTTGCAAGGATGGTAATTTAATTTAATTGGCTGAAAAAAAACTTTCTGATATCTGTATTTTTTCTCATTTTTTGATGAAATAATTCGTTTTTTGAGGTTTTTTTTTCTGTGAAATTAGGAAGCCGAACGGTCGGAGACAGGTACAGTTTTGGGTACCTTAAAGAACATTATTCTGGCCAAATTTCGGGAAATTGGTGAGAAAATTTTCCCTGTAAGTGGGAACCATGAAACTCACTCAAAGAGTACTGAGAATTGTGATTATTGCTGAGGTTCTTCCTGATGATCAACTGAAACACTCTTTTCAAAAATTGAAGCCCTATAATTTCTCAAACCCCGCACAAGAACATCAGAAAATGGAAAAAATGGGCGACGACGTTGAACGGCGGCGGCAAGAAAGTACTGTCATGGTACCTGCACATCTAACAATGAATACTGAACCGACGTTGAGTCGGAACTCACTCAATCAGCTGCCCGTACCGTTGGAACAGCCAGACTTCCTTTGATCTCTCGTTGGCCTCGTTGAAAATGTTGCTAAAAATCAGGATTGTTGGAAAAATAGTTTCAGAGGAGAATATACTTGAAAATGGCAATGAGTAGGTTGAGAAGCAAAATGTTGGCAACGAGCAAGAAAATTGTCATCAAAATGGGTGGAAGAAAGTTTCCCGGCACGCAGTTGGCACCTTAAAAAATGAATTCATTTTAGAACTCATTCTAAAAATTTCAGCTTTTTTCAGCACATCGAGGTTTGAATTACCAATAAAAACCGGAAAAAAGGTATAGAAAGGATCAATTTTGTGCTCTACAGATTGAATTACAGAACTATTTTTCTGAAGTTACGTAGTTTTTAATTTAACGATTCTCCTTTGTTGTACCAAAAACCTTTGTATTGATACAAAACGATATTTATTTCTTTCCAGTCGAATATTATCCAATCGGCTAGAGGGTGACGTAACTTTCAAATTTTAAAGAATGAAAACAAAAAAAAAATACTAAAACGACCTTTTTTGTTAGCCACAAAGATCCTTTCATTTTCTCCCATGAAATCTTGTTCTTCACTAAACCAACCATCATCCCCGCAGGTATCGATCTCTCCAGCGTAGACTTCTCCGTAAAGCATGAAGTAGGGTTTGTAGAAGATGTTCCTGACGAGCATCCAACTCCACTTGGACTTGGGGTAGGTGATGGCCTGTCTCGAGACGCCGAAGGCCATCAACGTCACCAGCAACAACACGATGATGTAGCACATCGAGGCGACCATCTTCGCCGCCATCTGGATGTATGGGCCGAGCAGCGGGTGAACCGAGAGGTACTCGAACATCTGAATATTGCCAGTGTGTGAAGAAAATCTACTCTCTTTCCTGGCTGATTTCAGATTTTTGGTCTTATTCAAATAACGCTAATTTATTGTTTTTCGCAACGAAATGCTTCTTCTCATAGAATTAGTAACAATAATAAAGGAAATGATCCCTGAAGGGGCCACTCTTGCCAGCTTTAGTAGTCCCTAGAGGTGAAACTTCAAAGGCCCCTTTATGGACTAATCTGAAGTTCCTAAGTTCGCGTAAAGTAAGGCTTACAAAAAACAAATAGAAATTCACGCGGGTAGCGAGAAATCGTCCTCTAGATCTTTAAAGATTGCTCTAATGATTTTTCAGAAAATTCCAAGTTGCACACTCAAATGATCACCTTTGGGAACCGATATTCGTTTATTGAAAAAAGAACCTTCATGAACCAAAGGACGTTGCTGCAGGAGAGCAGAACCCTTCCCCACGAATGACGGAAAGGAGGATGCAAGCGCATTCCGAATCCGACGATGAAAAAAATCAGAGCGAACAATGTCAGCAGATTGTAATACTTTGAGTAGAATATGGACAGTTTTTCGCGAAACTTGGAAGTCTCCTGGGAGAACAACTGAAACCAACTTTGTTCACAATATATTTTCTTGGAAAACACCTTTCTAACGTGCTCGACGATCAAAGTGACTGAATAAGCCAGGGTCAGCCATTCCAAGTAGGTTGGCTTCAGGGGAAACTCAATCAACAGAGTGTAGGTGCTCAGAATGAGGAAAGTGTGGAAAGCGATGCACCAGGCCCAGAACTTGGTTATTGGCGCCGAGTAGAAGGCTCGTAACCGTTCAACTTTCGTCAGGACCGCTTCTTTCTGAAAATAGAACAGGTTGAAGAGGGATAATTCACCTTCGGGAAGATCAACTACACAGAGAAAAACCTTGCTAGGAAGACTTGTTCGAAAAAAAAGTTGTAAATTACTCTTAATCCTATGCTGGAAGCGCTTCCGTAGACACTTCCACAGGCACTCGCTTGTCGCGACGACAAAATCGTCACTTTTTTGCCGCCGTTTCCATTGCCAGCCAAAAATTCGTTTCCCTCTTCACACTGCGTCAAAAGTTGTTTGGAGGTACGTCGGTCAAACATCTAGAATGAAAGGTTCTTGAGGGATTCAAAATTTGAGGAACCCTTGAGGTGCTGGCAATGCTGCTATGCCTAAGATTGTCTCCTATTTTTCCTGGTTGGTCCTATAAATTCATTTCAAACATTTCCTTTCATTTTGTGATACCTCATTCTCTTGGACCATTCGTTGTGGTTTTGGTTTGAAGGCCATGTTAATGATTGCCGGGGGAAAGATCATGGCCGTGAGTACTCGTAGGTTGGAACCGCTTCGAACCCGTAAGGAGCCGTGCCACAGCTCGGCCAGCAGCATTTGACAGCTCAAACCGAAGGTTTTTCGTGGAACAAGGCAGCGAAAACCATGGGGTGGCTAGAAACGCCTTGGTATTGGCTAGGACGGCCAGGGACAGACAGTTGTGATGGCCCCAATGAGGAAGCTGAGTTCTCAGAAGACGCAACGTCTTCTCGTGGTCGCTCCGGTAGCATTGGTCGATGAGGTCGATAGCGTCTTCGCGGAACTTTCTAGAGAAAAAGTTATTCTAACTTTACCCGTTTATCCAATGTTTCTCTCAAATGAAAAACGACTGTTCAGTTTGAGATTTCAGCAAGGCTAATGACACGAAACAAGCATATATTTCGAATAAACTGTATGCAACTTTTCATTTTTCTTCTCAATAAAAAGATAATAACCCACACAGCGTGTTGTCGCAATCGGTTGGCGATTTCCACCTCGAGATATTCTTGTTCGGCAATTTTGGCTGCTGCTTTGTACAGTCTAGAAGGAAAAATGATTAAGCGCAAATTTTGCATCAAAACGAAAAATAAGAAGAAGGAATGTGTTAAAATTTAAAAAAATATTAATAAATTGAGAGAATGAAGAAAGAAAGAAGAACCTGATGGCGACCAGACACTTTGGCATGGCGTCTTCCCCGTGAACCCACATGCATCTGGCCATCTCAGATCTTCTCGTGAGGACGGCCCAGACGAGCAGATCGTTGAAGGGATGGACGAACTCGTAAGTCTCTAGGCAACGACAATTCTTCCGACCCGGGACCAGCCAAACCTTCTGATTCCTGGCTCATCGCGTCGTCGAGCATGCTCTCCGTCCGTTTTTTCATCTGTTCTTTTGATTTGCTTTTCCGATGGGGAAAGTAAGCCTAAAAAAGAAAACTTTAAAAAAGAAAGTTTCAGATTAGAGTACAATCTTAAAGTGTTGCGGTTATGAAAAAGTAATAACAGTCTCTAATAAAAATTTCAATGTCGAAAATGTAGATGTTTGTGAGATTTCAAGCGGACTTTTGATGTACAATGAAAAATCTACAAAAGGACGTTTTGATTTCAAGCCTCACTGTTTCCCTGTGGATATTCATACCTGAGAATTCTTCTTGAACTGCTCGTACTTGGTGCGGAACAATCTGGACGTGTAATAGTGCATGAAAGCGTTGCCCATCAGCTTTTCAATGACGGTGCCGATCAAAGGAAGGGTCAGGTAGGTGTGCAGCGGAAGTTCGTCGATCAGGAACCTCACACTGTGCTCCGTTCCGTCGTCCTTCAATAATCTTGTTTTTACGACTTCTTGCGGACATTGATCAACCCTATTGTAGAGATTTTCCAAAGTGTTGATGGTGAGGAAGGATTTCATGCTGACGCCGTTTTCCAGAAGACATTCGACAAAGTCGACACGATTCAGATGGAGCGCTTCGGCCATCGCGTGATTCAAAATGTCGCTCGCCCACTTCCGGCCTCGAGAGAAAAGGCAGCTTTTGGCCAGGTCCACTCGGTTCCAGGACAAGGTCAACGCGAGCTGGGAATAATTTAAATTACATCAAAACTTTGGATAGCATTAGCAAAAGTTCTACGCTAACGTGAAGCCAATATGAGGTTTTTCATGTGCATAATTCAGAAACATAACTCAACTCCTTTTATAGCTTTTTTCACCAATTTTTCAGCTATGAATAGGGGAGAAGATCTCGATGTTCACCTGTTCGTCTGGTGGCAGGTTCTGTTTCTCAAGAACGGTGGAGAGAATGACGTAGTCGACGTCTTCTTCTTCTTCTTCTACGTATCGGAAGATTCTCAGCTGACAATTGATGTCATGTTATTGCAAATAATACGGGTAGAGCCAAAAATTTAGAGAATAGTGGAGTTTTCCTATGTTCTTGTTGAAAAATGAACGTTTTCGTTGGGAATTAGTGCTGATATATGTTGCTCAGGTCATGTTTTAGAGAAAAAAAAGGCCGCAAAAGTTCGAAAAATTGAATATTCTGCTGTTCCGTCCTTCGCGTTTTTTTCTTTTTTCTTTACAGGAATAAAAAAAAACCTAAACAGCACAGCCTGTTCAAGCCGATTGGACTCGATTTCGGAATTGGAACAAAATTACTGGAGCCGTTCTCACCAGATCGCTTCTCGCTGAGCACTGTCCAATAAGGTCGGCCAGTCGTACTTCGTCCTGTCCTGGGAATACCATCCGGATCAAATTGGTCAGCTTTTCTTCGACTTCTGCCGCAAAAGTCCTTAATTTTCCGGTTATTTATGTTCTATTAACCACGACTTATACCCATCGCGATTAATATACCGTGCCGCGAAAGACAGAACGTCGGCGGCTCTGCCGCTACCGTCACAGACAATGGCGGGAATGTCGGGTTTCCTGAGTGCCAGAAATGGTGGAAAGATATAGTCAATGTTTCCCGACTTGAAAGGCGAAGGAGGCGGGACGCGTAGCGTGTGCGTTCGCGGTTCTTGGCACGAGTTCAATTCAATTGTCGCCGACTATTTAAAAAGCTCGGCAACCGCTCTTTTTCAATGTTTTCTACTATTTCTTGATGCACACATGAACATAATCAATAAATAATTGAAAAAAGAATGAAAAAAGCGAAAAACGGGCTTTTCAAAGAGTAGATGGCGGTTGAATTGAACACGTGGCAAGGACCGCGAACGCACACGCTACGCGTCCCTCCCCTCTCGCCTTTCAAGTCGGGAAACATTGACTATAGCTCGGCGTTTGTTCTTTTTTATATAATTGCTTGAAAACTTGAAAAGTTGGAAAAATCTGGATCTTCGAAATAAAATTTCAGAGTGAAAGAAATATACGTTTTGGTACCGCAAATCTACGATACCGAAACATTGTGGATAGGATCTAACTTTTGGAAAACTTCCCTACATCGTGACGTAGTTATGGACTGCGTTGATGGTGTTGATCCCTCCCTCCAGAACCGTGCAAACCACCGGAATCTTCCTTCCGTTGCTGCCGTACGTCGCGATGTAGTTCTCAAAGTTTTGCCGCAGATGCAGGTCAGCTCCAAATCGTCCGGTGGTTCCATTGTCGGCGAGAAGAAAATAAGAATGCCGATCATTGAGAATCCCCATATTCACTGTCGCTTTCAGAGAATGAACATCGTAGGGGACGTCTTCATTTTTTCCTATCTAAACGTCACGATCGGAAGAAGAATCACTGGGCTCAAGTCAAACCAATCGCTCTTTCCTTTTGATGATTCCCCACGGAGCAATGCCGATCGTCACGATTTGAGACCTCATTCTGAATCTTCTTTCTTCAAAAAGCTGAGACTTCCAGAACTAACCTCGCCGAGATTCCTGCCTCATCCAGAGCTTTGGCAACGTGTCTGACCACTCCAGAGTCCAATCCGCTGGTGATGATCCAGGCGCCGGTGGTTTGCGCCGCTTTGAGCATTCCGCTACGGAAAATCTTGCCCAGGCGATCTTGCAAGCTTTTGGAAGTTTAGACTCAAGTCTGATTCAAGACAGACGCTTACTCGAAATTGGACGTGCCTCCGTGGACGGTGATGACCAGTCGAGGTGTTTCGAGGCCCCAAACCTGGATGAAGATTTTATGAAAAGACTACAGGTTCGAAAAAAAAAACAGTCTGAAAAAACAGAAAGTTCCGAAGATTGAAATTTTTTGCTTCAGAACACTGTCTTATTCTCTTTCTCACCTTTTCCATCAGGTACATTACATCCAGAGGATCAGAATCGTAAGCCAACCTGACGTATTGAGCCTTGTGAGCATGAGCTCCGCCCTGAGTATTAATATACCTTCATTATTTTTCTTACCCCTGAGGAACCTGAAAAACGATAGTGCCGAATGCGTCGGTTGGCGACGTCTTTGTGTTGTTAGCGATGGTCCAAGTTTCGTCCTTGGGCAGTCGTGTGAAGACGTAGAACCGCGACTGGGCCAACGTCGAGTGTGTCGTCATCTTTCTTCCACATCCACATCTGAACTTCGGCAATTGAAAGACCCCAACTGGAGCTGTACCTCTCCGGATCGCCTGCCTGGGCGATGAACTTGACGCACTCGCGCTTCTCGAAGGTGTTCTCGATCCAAGGGGCGCTCAGCTTTTCGGACTTCAAAAAGCCAAGTGTGAAGACGCACACCGACCGCGAAACCGGGCAAGTTACGTTTCAGCGTTTTCATATTATATGAAGTGCAGCCGGTTATTTCGTATAGGTTTGAAAACTTATAATATAGCAATCACCGGTACACGTTTTTTCATTGAAAATAGAGCTTTCTCCAATTTTCAGTAACGTGCCAGAAAGAAAAAAAATCGACGAAGCCGTGAAGAATGTTATCACTTACTCACTGCTTTGACCAACTCAAATAAACTTTAATTATCTCTAAACATTTAAAAAAAGTAATCGAAGAAAACAACTTTTTAATGAACACTTTGCGGATCCGATGGAAAATCTTTGGCTTTTGTTGTAAAAACACATTTTGCCACAGAACGACGGAGATTCACAGCCATGACGCATCGCGCCGCGCAAGAAAAAAAAATAAAAGTTTTTGACGAGTTTTCTTTTATGCCGTGTTCGAAGTAATTTCCGCGAAATGCAAAATACCCGTTAGAGAAAGGAAAAGATCACTAAATTTTGGAGAGTCAGAGATCATTTTGCATTTCGCGGAAATTACTTTGAACACGGCATTAAAAAAAATTTTTTCTTTTCATTCAACTTCATTTTTAATGCCGTTTTTCATTAGAAATCTGCTTTCTGGGTAATAAACTATTCTTTCTGTGATGCGCATCGTGTCTGGCAGTTTTCTCGTTTTTTTTGCAAAAGATGATGAACCTCTTGTTTTTCTGTTTTTCTTCTGCTCATGTCCAACAAAAATGTTTAACAAAACTAACCAAGGCTCTGGCGAATTGGTTTGGATTTTCTAACAACTTCGCCGTCGACTTTCGTGACACGTGTTCAGAACGGAAGGAGGAAACGCTTTGGACGGTGTTGGCATTGCACACAGAGTTTCGAGGTACGTTCAGCTTGTTCAAGAACGATGCGCTTCTGATGTCAGTCATATTTCTTTAATGTCCTCAGATAGCGAGAATTTTTGCTTCACAATGAAAAAGCTACTATTCAATTTTTTGAAAATTCAAATAACATGTGAAAAAATCGGCCAAAGAATCAATTTTTTTCAAAAAATTCCTGCCTTCTTCACAGAAATAGTTGGACGCCATGTTGTTTGCAGTTTACTCGATAAGATTAGTGTTTTTGAAGGATCATCGTCAAACAACAAACACAAGAGGAGAAGTGAAAAAAGACAAATAGTGAATTTTGAAAAAAAAAAAGTAAGGTACGGATATTCTAAGATTTTTCGTTTGAACGTAGGAGCTTGGGAAAAAAAGATTTACTTTGACAAAGTTGAAATATATCGGTAAAAGCAAAATAAAAATTTTAGTTTTCAAATTTTCAGGTCCAAAAAAACTGAGAGTGTGATTCACGCGAAAATCTTATGAGAAAATTCCAGTGATTCAAAAATTATAATCTTGATAAAATTTTTTTCAGCGAAATTCGAAAAAAATATAATAATTTTGTTGAAAACTTATCAGTTTGAAATCAATTGTATTGGTTGCAACTTTTCTCTGCAGTAAAAAGCTCGCAATTTTATCACAAGTCCAAAAGATAAAAACACAGTAAGATAAAAATTAGGATGAATAAAAAACTCGTTCTGAACAAAGAAAAGAAAAAGCTCACCGATCAGTAAGAAGAGGCTGTTCGAGCCCCAGGTTCTCCACATCGCCATCCATGTTCCTTCTCAGAAAGTTGTTCGGCAGCCCATTTCTTCCTTCCTTTTTTTATTACCAAAAAATGGCGTCGACAGTTTGGCAAAGGCAACAAAAACGAGGTCGACTCGGTCGGTATTAATGCAAATCCGCCGTTGTCGTTTCGTTCCTCGCGTTATTTTTTTCCCCTCTTTTTTCCGAATACTTCCGATCTATTGAATCTGAATGATGTAATGGAGAATAAAAGTACAAAAAAGGTTTCGTGATCTTTTTTGTAGGAGACACTGTAAAGGGATTTCAATCAATTGAAACTTTCGAAAAGTCAGAGAGTTTTGTTCAAAAATTGATCGATTTCGTAGACCATTGACCTATGAGCATTTGAAAAAAAAATTGAATGGACTTAATAGTACAAATGAAGGCTACTTAATATAAATGAGGAGAAAATTTGAAAATTTTATCAGTTTTCACATGGATGATTTTCGACTTTCATAACAAAATTGTCAGAATCCGTAGTATAAATGCAAATGCTCGACTCAGGCATGTAAACAATTGCCCAAAAAAATCCAATCCAATTCAAATGAGCTCTGACGACAATTGACTTTTTTTAATATTTGTAACTGCTAAAAATATTTAAAAAAAGAACGAACGCAGGTTTTGGGCAATTATTTTCAAATGCCAATTTTCTTCGAATTTTTTAAACAATCCAGATCCAAAAGTCATAAACATATCAGAGAAAAAAAAATGGACCCGCTCAAACGCAGAGAGAAAATCCAAAAAAAAAGGCAGAGGATAAAGCCAGATGGTTCCCTTCCAATTTGCGCTCTAGGGACAATTCAATAAAAACTTCGAAATTTCCTGTTGTTTCTTTTAGGCCTTTCACGTTTTTTGAAATATTTTTTCGTACATTGAGACAAATTATCTTTATATTTTAATATCGTAAAAATCAAAAGGGTGAGGTCTTTTTGTAAACAATTTCGAGCTAACTAAAAAAAGAAGACCTTAAAAAAATTGTCACAAGAGATTTAACCGAGTTTTGAAGAAGTCTATTTTAATTCTTAAAAGTTGTTCAATTTTCCATCTTTCTCAGAATTTGAAGTTGCTTTTTTCTAGAGGGAGGCATGATTTTTTTTTTGGGAGGCATGATAGCTTTTTGTAGTTTTGGAACGGCCGAATTCCAAAAGACTGTGTGAACGACTTAGAGAAAGGTACTCATAAACGATTTTCACGGTAAAACGACGAAAAGATGAAAACGGACGGGAATTGATAGGCGGTTGATGTGTTGATGAGTGTTATTGATGGCCAAGTGTTCTCTCTGTCGCCCACTTGTCTTTCTTCCTGTGGATTCGTTTCGGGTTGACTGTCCTTTTCTTTCTTCTTTTTTTTTTTGATCTGTTTCTGCCAATGATTCGGAGTTCCTGTTTCACAGTTACAACTTGTTTCGGCGTTATTGGTTCAATAATTTCGCCCTCTCAAGTTTTTATAGACTGTTTGAACAAATTGGATGCTTTCTGAAGCCATCTTATGAGAAACCGACTGTTTTTGTGCACTAACTAATTCAGGCCAAATTTTTTCGATAGTTTATATTCCGATGTGAGATGATAAAGTGGGAGATTCTTACTAACAGCTAGGTTATATCTGAGTGGAAAGAACGTACAATTTACTCGTAGAACTGACTATGGAAGCTGTACAACTCTATACATGAACACTGGGAGAGTGGAAATGTTCCGGAGAAACGATGACCGTTTCGTAGACAGGCGGCTCGTCGTCGGGCAACGGAGCCATTGGAATTTGCGGATGTTGGTCCGATTCTTCGTAGGCTGGAGGCTGCAAAGTTCTCTTCTCAGCGATTTTCTGACAAGGACTTGTTTCATTCAAAGCAACTGATGCCTAACTTCAATTTTTCAAAAAGAAACTTCAGTCGTTCTTTCATCAACCCGTTTTTTTTGTAATGACCTCGAACCGACTCATCTTCTCACCTACTTTCAAAATGAATGGAAATCGCCTTAGTTTTTTTTTATCGGAGAAAAAAAACTACCTTGGGACGATTGAAGAAGTAGGCTTGATGAGAACAGACAGGAGTCGCAGCGAAGTATTGCGGTTGCGACGACTGCGATTGAGACCGGTAGGAGATTCTCTGTTTGGAGCACAAAGAGAAGTAGATGTTGACGCCGATGAAGAAGATCAGAGCGGCGATCAAGAGACCCAAGTAGATCAGTTGGAGGACGCGCTGAAATGGCAACATAATAGTAATAGCTTATTCACTGCTATTATTTAGCATTAGAAAGATGATCAAATGTATTTTCTTAAAAGTAAAAAGTCATAAAACATAACTAAATCTCATTCGCCGTGACTTGAAACAATCAGACTTGTCTGTGCTCTCTTTTATCTCACCGGAAAGGTCATAAAAATACAAAAACAGCCCTCAAGCACAAAAGCTCCACGGATAAATGAGAGGGCGCAGAGATATTAGACTACATTCAGTCATAACATGGCTATATGAGCAAATGATAATTTTAGCATATCAAATCTCACAAGTAATTTCTGAAAAACCGCTCATTGTCAGACTCAGAGGTGGAGGATTAGGAAGGCAGCCCTTGGCTTGGCGGCCAAGCCAAGCCATTGGGCCAAGCGATAGAAATGAGTCATTGACTTACTATTGAAAAATTCATTTCTGCTTTTGGGCGTTTATGGCTTGGCAGGCAGGGCGGCCAGTGGGCAGCCATCCTCCACCTCTGGTCAGACTCATTTTAATTCAAAAGTTTGAGCGTACTCTTTGGATCAACCAACTATACTCGACCAACAATCACAAGTTCAAAAACTGCTCAAAACTGACGGAAAGGTATCTGTCATCGGCGACATCATGGTCGATCTCCACTTTCTGCTCCTCGAGCATCACCTCGACGTGCGAACTTTCCAGTGGCAGGATCGGACCACTATTTTGACTCGATTCCAGTTCGTACGTTTTCCTCTGCTCACACTGGATACCAGTGTAGCCTGGGAAGCAATCGCAGATCTGAATTTCAAAATCTGCAAATTTCTGCCAACTTCGCCAAAAACCGAAATCTTTTCCAGTCCTTCACATCGTTTTCCAACGGTCGTTGGCATTCCAAAGAAGAAAAACGGAGCTTCAGCGCAACTGGAAAATTATCTGATCATTTTTCAAAATAGGGAAATTTCATTGGAAGCGAAGTTTTAGTTTTTCCACAGAGCTTACAAAAATCCTAATTGACCACTTCCTAGTCTGTTCACTAGTTTATGCGGTAAATTTCATTATCAGTGAGTTCTCTGAAAATACAGTCTGTTGCTGCTACGTAGTTTGACAGCTGCACATTTTGGATTGCGCGTAATTCTCAGTTTTTTGTCGACCTTTGACAACTTTTTACTCTTGTCTTTGTTTTCCATATACTATAACTATAATTTTTCGTCTATTCAGTAGTTCATACAATAAGCCGAGTTTTTCTCTTATCAGCGACCTCCGGTATCGAGTTTTTGGAGTATCCCGTGACCATCGAAAATATATCAACAAAATAACATGCAGCTGTCTCTGATTATCGTGGTTCCTTGATTTACTACGTTGAAAAAAAAAACAAAAAAGTTTCATTTTTTAAAATTATAAACGGTTTCTATTGAGGAAAAAGTATTTCTTGTGGTTAGAGACGCGATTTGCATTGAAAAATAGCCAAAAACCTATTGTCATCTTTCCTCCGAAGAAATCTACGCTTTGAGTTAGAAATTTTTATCTTTAGTCAGGAAATTCAATCATCATAAGCGAAAAAATAAATTCGTACTTCAAATAGGTTTTTTTGGTTTGAGGACAGCAATTAAAGAGAAAAAATACTGAATTGGAAGTAGCAAGTTTTATTTATGAAGAACTGAAAGAATGATGCAACGAACTGAACTTGAAAATAGGAATACCTGATGTTTCTGGGTCTACCAGAAACGCAGCGACTGATGAACTCGCAGTGTTCGCCGTGGAAGTCGTAGCGACAGATGCATCGTCGCGGGAAGAGAACGTGTTGGATGACGTAGGAGCCGAAAGGATCGCAGCGCAGTTCTTCTTGGTAGGGCTCCAGATCTTAAGAGAGAATCAGGCTCTATTTATCGATTGATTGCTTACCTATTGGTTTCATTGGGATCTCAGCAACTGCGATCCAATTTGCAGCAAAAAATGAAAAGAACAGTAGTTTTAACAACATTGGGAGAACGCCGTCGGCGGCAAAAGAGAGAGCAAAAGGAGGAATAAGAAGCGATTTGGCTGGCACACAGGAATCGATGCTTTTTGTTGATAAGGCCCTCTTATCACATGGGTTGTGTGTATCAAAGACGTTTATTGCAATCCAAATTTGTACAATAACAACTGAAATTGGGAACTCGTATTCAAATTTTCAAATTCGAAGGTCAGAAGGAGAAGACTTCACTCGTCCCCCGAGTCGTCGTCTTCTTCGTTTTCTGGAGCTTGATTATCCTGAAGAAAATACTTTTTCAAAAATGTAAAATAAATTGAAATTTTTTTTAAGCTCGAGGATAGTTTTGGGAAAAACTATGTTAAAAGGTTTCGTCTTTGAAAATAGAATAAAAGTTTTTTTTCTTAAGAACCAAGTTTCACTCCAGACTACAATAGCTTTCTTGGAATCATTGAATCGATAAAAACGAACGCTTTCTTCAAAAGACGGCTCATTTTCGAAAGGAAGCGGAGTCGAAATGACAGGAGACGGGGCATCCTGAGAAAAAGTGCTGATCCATGTTCGAAATCAGAACAAACCGCGTAAAAATCGCTTCCCGAGTCGATATGATCAGCTATCGTCGTGTAGAGCGCGTGGCGGCGGTTCATCGGAGGTCTCAAATTAAATCATTTGTGCGATGTTTCAATGTGAGGAATAATTGAGATTATCTGTTTTCAATTCACTTCATAACCGTTAAAAAGAGCAGAAAAAATTTCCTTGAAATACAATGGTTTCAAAAAAAAAAGTTGAAAGATACTAAATAATTTTTCTATCCAAATAGGTCAACTAAGAAGTTTGCTGACTCTAAGCTTTTCTCTTTCATTAATTCAGACACTCACGGCAGTGGAGAAACACCAGCACGACTTTCATTATCCAAAAACTCGCCATCACTGTCCATTTCTCGCTCACTTTCCGTGACAACGATGTCTGAAACTTTCGGATTTTCGAAATTTGGTGTCAAACATAATAAGGGACATTTTGCAAAAAGCTCACTTGCCTGAATGGTACTAAAAATAAGAAAGCATCATAATCAAAAAGCCTACTCAGCCAATTCTTGAGGGGCAGTGGTCGCACAGGCAAAAAGAAACAGATCAACTAAAAATGCTGTTTTTTTACAATTGACCTAAAAGTCAGCAGAAGGTTCTAACGTTTTCCGATGCCCTCAGGCCTATGGTTGAATGGAAAGTCAGCTATAGATTAAAAAAGCTTACATGATCACGAGCTTCGAAGTTAGCACAACAATACTTTTCCAATAACTTCGAATTCGTTCTAGCTAACTTTTCTTGAATTTACAAGTCAAGCAATCTCCTAAAACTCACGCGGACTCTCAGGTTCGATGAGGTCGAGATGGATGACAGGAACTCGGATTCCAGCCACGACCTTGTCCGACGTCGTCGACGAGGACCGCCGTTTCTGGAGTGAGTCTCGTTTCTTGTAAGACTGTACCGATGTCCTTCTGGAGTTGGGCAAAGAACTGGAAGGCGTGGCGGTCTCGAAAGTGATCTGAAGACTTTCTCTTCACTCAAGAACCTTGGAAAAATAATCTACCAGAGGTGCCATCATAGCTGTCGACGGTTTGGGCGAAAGATCTTCACTTCCACCACCTCCAAGACTTCCTCTCTTTCCTCCACCTAGCAGAAGTGTCAGCTTCCGGTTCATTTCAAGAAGCATCGTCATTTCTTCTTTCTGAACATTGAAACAGGGATCGGGTGATGGAATTCCGGAAACGCACATGTTTAGCTTCAATTGTTTTCATTTTGGATTCAAGTTCCCGCAGCTCGTCCCTTGTTGATATTTCCATCGTCGTCAAGTTGTTCACTCTGCAATATTCACGACGTTGGTTCAGTTAGCAATGAAAAATCAAATCTGAATGGACATTTTCCTACTCCGATTTTGATTTGCCATCAACCTGTTCAAAAATGAAACGATCTCAGCTGTGTTTCGAACCCAAACGGTGATCTGTCTTTAACTTTAAGGAAATATCCTCTAACCTGTGCAGAATAACGTCGGTCCTCTCCGCAGTCCGGTGTATCCGCTCTTCATTGCTGCTCTGGTTGAGCTTCTCCTTCTCTCGCTTCATATCTTCCACACTTTCCTCCTCAAACGCGTGTACCCTCTCCATTTCTTCGGGTGATAGGAAAAGCTCTGAATTGTTCATCTATTTCCAGTTCAAAAGATAGAAATACTCAGAGAGGCGTCGAAGAGATTTCGTCTCTGGAACATGCGATTGCGGACGCGGATCCAGCGAATCACCCAGAGAATATGATAAATTATGGTGAATGGCGGAGGAATCCACGGCGTCGACTCGTACTCCATTACCTTGAACCTTTCGATTTTTTGATTTTACCCTTCTTTTTTCTATTTTTGTCGCAAAACATTTTGTCAAGCCAATTTCTTTTTCAAACCGTGATTTTCCTCAGGAGACCAAAATATGAATGAAAAACTACCAAAATTTTTCATTCAGAATTGGTATTGCTGTTTTTCACATTCTTTTCATCCTAATTTTAATTTTAATTTTTTTTTTGTAAATATTCATTTTTGATATACCTGTTGATATCTGTCGAAAAGGAACATCTCCCTGGTCATCATGATTCTTTTCTCGAACACGTAGGTGCAACAGGCGACCATCACGTTCATCAGAAGGACGTTTGTCGCCAACATGAACAACGTGAGGAAGATCGGAGCGATGAAGTAGCCAGGCACGCAGGTTTCATCTGATCATCTCCAATATCATGGCGTCTTGGCCAACAACTACTCACGAGTCACGTTGAGCTGGTTGATCGGAATGTTCTGATCTTCGTGAGTGTCCCAGACTGTAATTTATCACCATCGAAATAATTTGAATTTTGTCGAAGTGAAAGCAAAAAAGCAGTTTCTTTGTATCTTCCTTTTATCAGCGATATTTTCTCATTCTAAAATTAAACTTCATTCAATCAAGCTAAAAAGTAATCAAAATGAAATTTCAAATATTTTCTATAATCTATCTTCTACTTCTGCTTTTTGAAAGTCAATTATTTCTGCTCTTGTCTGTGCTATTTTTCTCACTCTTTGATTTTTTCGAAGTTTTGAACCCTCTAAACTATAACAGCCGAGACTCAGCTTTGTGCTTCGAATCATTCCAAATAATGAGCATCAAACTGACTTTCATCGCCGCAAGTGTCGATTTGCGCAGCGTAGACCTCTCCGTAGAGCATAAAGTAAGGCTGGAGGAATATGTTTCTGAAATTTATTACATAAAAGAGTTTTTTTCTATTATTCACCTCAGTAATATCCAGTGCCAGTCCTCATAAGGGAAAGTTATCGATTGTCGGATAAGTCCAAACGCGAAAAGTGTCACGAAAACCATCACGACTAGAGGCATCATTTGAGGGATCTGAATTAGATTAATCGTTTGTTCACTTTTTCAAAATGATCATGAATGTGGGGTTGAAAATCATGTCGAATTTTTTTTGTTTTATTGAAAGAAAAGGTTTAGAAAAGAAACTTTTTGCCTCATTCTTCTCTTTTCATTTCACTTTTTTGTATGATTATCCCCACCATTTCGGCTGTCATCTGGATGTAAGGACCGAGAGAGGGCTGGACGCTCAAATAATCGATCAACTTCAAAGACCACATCACCGAGTTGACGATCAGAAATATTCTTCCGAGCATTCTCAAATAGAAAAAGGTTATTCGAGTCACTTCTAGAGGAGGACCTAGTCGCGGGGTGCAACCGAATAAAGAAAGCGATGATAAAAGTGGCCAAGGCGAAAGACAACGTTCCATTTCGATAACTGAAGAAAAATACGCGCAGTTGTTTGAGAATCGGCTTCGTTTCGTCCATCATTATTATGCTCACCACCTCAATTTTCCAATATCTTCAGTATAACTTGTGGAAAACCTTTCTCAACATTTCCAACCCCCAGACGACGACATAACAGAACACGAACCATTCTGACCAGGATGGATACCTAAATTTTGTTTCTTTTAAAGTATTCTCAAAAACTTTCTGGTATAATTTTTTCTATGATTACCAGAGATTTTGTGGAAAAGTTTGAAAGATGTAACTTTTGTTAAAGATAAACTTTTGCGTTTTGATGAGAAGATTGTAGGCGAGCATGCAAATGAAGACGGTGAAGGCGAAGAACCAAAGCCAGTAGGTAGTTATCGGAGCCTTGTAGAACTCGAACAGTTTCTTTTTCCATGATAGTGGTCGTTGCTGAAAATTACTCCTGACCTCAAGAATTGACGTCAAAGCTTGTAACTAATCAAAATCAATAACTTCGAAATTTCTTTACAATTCTTTTTCTCTTTCTTTCTTAAACATGAACATCTGAAGGGGGAATATAAGCAGTCAGGTGAGGTCAAAATTTTACGTTTATTGATTTGTGACGTTTCCCTCCATTTAAAATTGTACCTTCTTTTTCTTCGAAAATTTAATTTTTTTTCTCTGAAAAATTTTTTTGAAGCGTTTTTTTTTAGAAAGAACCGCCAGAGGTAGCGGAACGAAAATCTATTACTTCATGAAAGAAAAGAAACCGTGAGAATATGAACGCCGGGTTGTCCTGAGACCATCTCTTCTGAAGGCATCGGCGTCCTCGTTGGGACCGATTCTTCGCGGTCCTCCGGCTCGTCGGCATACAAGTCGCTGTGGTTCATGATCGACGGTCTCTTAGACGTCCTGTTGATATCTGAATCTCTTCCGAGTCGTCTTGAATTCTTTCTTTCTCACATCTGGCGGCGTCAGCATCATCATCCGTTTCATCTACCGTAATCCTTGCAGCCGGTGCCGCAAGAACCGGCGCCACAGAATTGGTCAGCGATTTTTTGCCCTTTTTGATGGACATTGTTCGAGAGCGATTTCTGCCTAAAACTCCCATTCAAAATGATCAAAGTTGAGGTCAGAACCATTGACCATGGTCGGCGCTACGACGATGCCTTTCAGCACGCTAACTTTGTTCTTCTTCTCCGAAATTCGGAACTTGTCACGGACCAACTGAAAAGTTCACTAGTTTGCAGTACTCAGCGAAAATTGAAAAAGTAGGAAATTTTAAGTGTTTAAAAACCAGAAAAACTTTAATCACAATTACTTATTTCTATAGAAATCTATAAAAAAATAGCAAGCCCAGAACTTCGATCTTTTTTTTGAAAAATTTCCCCAAAAGAGTTTTTAAAAAGTTGAAGCAAGATAATGAATTTTAATTAAGCTTCAAAAACAAAAAAAAAGCTCTCACATTCATTCAAACTTCTAGTTGGAGGGATTTAAAAAAAAGCTGACCTTCTGAATACTCAGCGGCTGCTCGCTGAGACTGACAGTCCTCTTCTTCTCCTCCTTCTCCTCGTCCTCATCTGAACTCGAGTCGCTGCTGTCGGAGAGTCCGTCGACAGAAGAAGCGTCGGATTCCCAGTCCTCGTCGTGTTCCAGGGCCGTTTGAGGTTGGAGCATGAGTTGCTCTTTCGTTTTGAAGCCTAGCATGAAGATGAGAGGCGGGACCAGCAGACAGCCAAGGACCTGGGCGTTCTGGTTGGTCTTCATGAGCAAGCCGCCTTGCCAGAGGTCGGACAGCAGCATTTGGCAGCTAGAATTTCATTTTTCTTCATTTCCTATTGGCTGAAATTTCCACCAAGGATGAGCCAAGAAAGGACGATGTTCGCTAGTGGCGGCTAAGGACAGGCAAGTTTCACCGCCCCAATTGCTCAATTCGCAGGTCAGAAGCTGCAAAGTCGTGTCGCGGCTGTGCTTCGTACAGTACTCCAGAACTTCGACGGCAAGGTCGGCGAATTCACTGGAAATCGGAAGAGTGCAAGTTCATTTCTGGACTAGTTGCACTTTTTTCAAAGGAAAAACTGGAAAGTCAAACCGCACTCCCGAAAAAATTTCATATAAAAAAAAGAAAACAAATTGAAAACAAAAATACATCAAATGATTTATAAATATTGTGTGTTTGAACCAAACAGAGTAATCACACTACATCTCAGAGACTGCCACAGTTTTTTCCTCAAGCTCAGAAATTCAAGATAATAACTTTGAAAAAAGATTATCCTCATAATCCGATGCATAGAGTGATATTACTACCATTAGAAGCGTAAAGAAAATCTAAGCCCAGTGATTTTATTCAGGTCTGTGAAGGACTCATAAAAGCTGAGGAAGACACGTTTAACAAGCCCATTCAAAAATTTCAAAAAAAAAAACTTCGCTTAGAAAAACAATTTCCTTAATTACAAGTGAATCGAGTTAATCAAATGGGACAGTTTACTTCAGCCACTCCAGTTTATCAAACTCACCCGCTATAATCGGAAAACTCCTGACTCATGCCGATTTCGCCCGTGGTCAGACTCGCCGAACTTGCCAGAGACATACAGAGGCGACTGGCCACCAACGCCTGCAGTTTTCGTTCTTCGATTCAAAGATCTTTCGAAAAAGACTTTTGCCATGGCTTCCTCGCCGTGCTTCCACATGAGCATCGCCATCGAGTGACGTTTCGTCAGCACGGCCCAAATCATCAACTCCGAATAAGGAAATCGGAAGGTGAAGTCGACGTTGTTCTCCTCTTCAATGTTAGAGAAGCCATCATCGTCTGGAAAAGCTCTCCTGTTTATGTGCTATTTCAATGTTTATATGGCCGTTTCAGCGAGGGAAAAAAGACGCAGACAGATTAGACCCTTTCAAGTCGTTGCAAATGAGCTATATAGAGCTTTTTGAAATATAAAAAATCGAAAGAGGAAGAAATTCAAATCAAATCTGAAACCTTCATCATCAGAATTCCTGGACTGTTTCCCTCCGAATATGGAGATGATCGAATGGCGAGCGCTGTTGAGCAAGTTGATTTGCATCGAATTCATCCGATCCCTACCAGGACCGTTGCTCTGACCGAAAACCTCGCCTCGCAAGTCGCTTTCGTCGTCTTTGTCTCGTTTTCCAAACTGAAAAATTTTCTGATTTCGAAGTTTTTGGCAGTTTTGTTAGGAGTTGGTTGACACTAAATGTACGATTTCAAAAAAAAAGTCCTACGATCAGTTGCAGGAACGAATCTTAGAATTGAGATAGCCATACTAGAAAAGAATATTGAAGTTTGCTATTAAAAATTTTTTTTCGAAGTTCAGGCCAATAACTAACATGTCGCCGATTGTTGAACAAATAATATTGATTCTTGAATTCGTCCTTGGTATAGTTGGACTTGTACAAGTTTCCCATCAAGTCCTCGATCAGCCGTCCCACCTGAATCATCGAAAATTCGATATAAAAATCAATCAATCAGGTAAACCTCCATCAATCGAATGTGATGCTTGGAATCGACAAAAAGGTTGGACCGAAGAGTGTTTTGAGGCCCTTTGTCCTGGATTTTTAGTCAAGGTAACTCAAAGTATACTTTTCATAGATTTACGGTATTGTAAAGGTGCTCCAAACGTCCATAGGTCAGAAACTTTTGCATGGAGACGCCGTTTTCCAGCAAAAGCTGGACGAAATCGATGCGATCATTGCAAAGAGCTTCGATCATGGCGTTATGAAGATCTTGGGTGGTCCATTCCTGCAAACAAAAGTGAAGAGTGAGCTTCTGGAACTGTAATTCTCCCAAATTCTTTCATCGATAAACATTGTTCTTTTGAATTAAAGCGTTTGTCGAAAAAATATCAATATTCCACTAGTCACACCGATTGGAGATTGATCATTCAAAGATTACCGTCCCATTGGCGAAAATCTCAGAGCGAGCAATATCAGCACGATTCCAGGCCAAGGCGAGCTGTAGTTGTTCAGGCGGCGACAAGTTCTGACCCTTCAGAAGACAACTCATGATGGCGTGGTCGAGGTCTTCGCGCTGAGACTCGCCGAGCCGGAAGATGGTCATCTGAAGCGAGCAAACTTCAGAAGACGTGCGTCTTTCCGTACGAGATGCTTCTGCCTCGTGCACTCGATGATCTGCTTGATCAACTTCTGGGACATTTTCACGTCGTAGCCGAAAATCTTCTTCACGATGCTCGTCATTTGGCCGCGCACGGATTCGGACAGGTACCTGGAATTATTTTTTCGAAGATCTGTGATTTTCAGTCTGTCGTACTTCAGCGTTTATATTTTCACAATTTTCACCTAGTTCATTCGTTGTTTATGTTAGGGCAGGGTTGAAAAAAAAAAACTTCGATTCCGTATCTCGACTTTTTTTTGAAGTAGATTCAAGAAATCAGAGGTTTGTTTGAGAGATGAAATATTTGGAGATGTTCTATGGACCAAAGTTGAGATACCATAGACTATGGTATCTCAACTTCTTTTTTCTCGAATAAATAAATTTCAAACTTAATTCCTTTCCAATGCATTCTCAAGGCCACATTATTCCCAATCGGTAACTGACCAAAAACGCCTCCTTTTGGATACACCACACTATTTTTAAACATTTGTTTTTGATGCCGTGTTCAAAGTAATTTCCGCGAAATGCAAAATGGTCTCTGACCCTCCAAAATTTAGTTATCTTTCTCTTTCTCTGACGGCTATTTTGAATTTCGCGGAATCACTTTGAACACGGCATGAGAAAACTCTAGATTTACCCATCCTCGGCGACGGTCTGATGAGCGAAAGCCAAGATGTCAGCGGCTCGGCCACTGCCGTCACAAACGATAACGGGAATCCGAGGAATCCTTAGCTCCTATCGTAACGCCTCCTACAGTAATCCTCACGTGATGACGTAGTCGTGGACCATTTTGATGGTGAAGGCCCCGCCCTCCAGAACCACGCAGATCAACGGAATCGCGCTTCTTTTCTTGTCTCCTTGGGCCAAGTACGTCTCCAGACGCTTCCTCATGATAATCTCTGCGCCGTATCTAGGAATTCAAGGTTCATTTTTGTAATTCATTTCCCAATGTTATACTTAGTTACCTTTAAAAAGAAATTTTCAAAATTTTCAAAATTTTTTGATCTTTGGGCCATGCAGTATTTTTTATTCAGGTCAAGATTTTTCCCACTGTACTGATTCCATTTTTTCAAAACGACGTCAAAACGTGGGTGATTACCATTATTTATATACTTACGATTATTATGAACAAAAACAGTGACGTTGGATTGAAGTGAATTACATCCTTTCCAGTATTTTGATCCCAAGGGACCAAAAAAACTAAATATTTTATCTATTTTTTTTCTACTGAAACTGATTTTTTTTCGAGAAAGTTTTATATTTGAAGAAAAATTTTTTTGAGGCATTCTATTTCAGCTAAAGATAGGTATAAAATTTATGACGTACGTTCAAAACTTTTTTTTTTCAAAGCCGATGACGCGATTATCGTGATATTGTACCTGTTGACAGTTCCATTATCTGCGAACAAAAAGTAGGAATGTCGATCGTTGAGTTCCTTCAGACGCGTGTTATTGTACATATTGGGAGCATAGGTTACTGTATGACCCTGGAAAAAATAGCATTTATGAAATATATTTTTCTTTTCCCATTAGACCAGTTGGTCTTTGAACTTCTTCTTCTTTTTCTTTTTCTATTTTTATCTTTTTCCTAGCTCCACAACCTTTCTCGACCCGGATTCACTGGACAACTGATAAGTCAGTAAATTTCGCTGCTCTTTTGGTTTTAATTTGTCTCTGTGATAAGCGGAGACCTTGCCCACAAATCGGCCGCGCTTTTTGAGCATTCCCCAAGAGGCGATTCCCATCGCCACCACGTGGTTTTTCGTATGGTGCGAGCCGTGATCTGAAACCAAAGGCCTTTTGAAGACAGGATTGGAAAATCGATTTGACCTTCCAAGGCTGTCGCGACGTGCTTGACGACGCCTTCATCGAGGCCTGACGTCAGAATCCAGGCGTCTGTCGACTTGGCGATTTTCATGATCCCTTTGCGAAATGTTCGAGCCAATTTTGGTTGCAAGCTGAATCATCATTCTAGTCGTATATAGGCGAGACTAGTGGTTAGATTGCTACTCCCGGTAGAAAAAGACTTTAAAAAAGTTGGGAGCTTCGCCACGTAAAATGATTGAAAATGGGTTTTTACAGTTATATTCTCTTTGAGCAGCATTTTTTAAATAAAAAATTGCAATTAAATTAAATGGAGAATTATTTTCTCCGAAGACTCTCTCTATCAATTTTTCAAATCTATCCTATTCTTCATAATCTTTACGAACATAGACAAGACACCGCATAATTTCCCGATAAGGAAGCTATCAATGACGTTACCGGAAAATCGATAACTTCAACTGAACTTACTCAAATTTTGTAAGACCGCCATGGATAGTTATTATCAACTTGGGTGGTCTCAATTTCCAAACTTTGAAGAGCAAATGGGCAATGTCTTTCGGATCCGTGTCGAAGGTCATTCTTGCAAATTGTACGTGGTGAGTTGTCCCTTAATTTCGAAATAAGAACTCTATCAATTAACGAAAAAATTGAACTTTCAACAAGAGAACAACTAAGCGGTATAAGAATGAAAAAGCATTTTTAGAAGCTCAGGATGACCGAATCCTACACGAAACTAACTTATCGGTGGGAAAGAGTTTTTTTTTCTCATAAATTCGTTTTTCTAAATTAAAACCTTCAAAAATAATTGTTCCATAGGTGTCGGTCGGGTGTAGCTCTGTGTGATCTTTGATGCTCCACCGTCCTGGACCCGAATTCTGAGAAAATCACTCGTTTTTTGAGTCGATGCGCAGCGAAATCCGACCTGCGTATCGCTGTCATTGTCTGTTGAGACGACTTCTTGAATTCCTGGCAACGTCAAATGCAATCTTGTCGCGATCGGTTGATTGGAAATTTCTTCGTGGTGCTGAGTCTTCGATTTTCCGCAGCCACAACTAGAATATGCTAATAGACGAATTTAATAAAAAAAAATGTGGCTTCACTCAGAAATTGCTCTAAAAATAATTAGACTAACCGGTCGGATCCGAACTTTTGCGGAACAAATTGACAACATTGTCTGATTTTCAAACGCGCCTCAATCCAGTTTGAGCCTTTCTGAACTTTTTGCAATTAATAGATTCTCAAATACGATCAAACCAAAGAGGAAGCTCTGGTGGCGTGGCCGGAATGACTGGAGGCAGAATTTCCTCTCTTAACATAAATATATAGTGTTCAGAGAGAGTAGAATTCTATCACAAGGAAAAAACTCAAAAAATGGAAAAAAAAAGTTTCGCATGAAGATAGACTGTTTGACATCTAGAGGAAGTCTAATATTTTGTTTGAAAAATAAAATCATCAGCTGTTAGGTCGAAAACCTTTCTAGGACCGATATCCGCTAAATGAAGCATGTCCTTCCAGTCGAACCCATGAACATGGCGAGGAGCCGAAGCAAGAGGGGCGCTGGCATCTACTGAAAGTTTATCCGATCAATAAAAAATGATTATTTTAATTATTTTTAAACTTAACTACAAAAATTACTCGAAAGTTTTTTTTTAATGACAAACACGCGTGTCTTTCAGTTGTTTATCTTGAATTCTGATTTCAAGCCAAACTTTGTTTTATCAATTCCAGAATTATTCGAACTCACCGCTATTACTGCGCACTTTACGTCTCCTTTTCTTTCTTGAATTGTCTTTAGCTTCAATTGTAACGTGGTTAGCTTTCAAATTGTCTTCGACTGCTTTCTAAACAATCTCTCAATTAATTTTCGATTTTTTTTAACTGACGTGAATACTGGGAACTAGGCTCCCACGCCTCCTGTCCATTCTGATCTGCAATTTTAGAAGCTCTTTGAGACTTCAAAGTACATACATTTTTTTTCGAACTGAGAAAATTCATACCAGGTTTGAAACAAATAAGATCTTCAGTTCAAATGAAACCGATATACAGATCAATAAAAAGTGAAAGTTTTGCTTCTCAAAAATTTGAAGCGAGAGGAAAAATAATAATCATTTTTCAGGGATTACTGAATTAATAATGATGTACGATAGGCTAGGTGACATAAAAATCAGGCAAAAGTTATTTGTTCGATAAGACAAATGATAGACGGTGCGCGTCCAGAGGCCCTTGTGATAATAAAAGTGAAAGAAAATGATAAAACTGATTGGTTTTGATGCTTAAAGGTTTTTTATGGCCTCCAGGGGGAAACTTTTGGATGGTTCAAAGAACTCTTGGAGTGGATGAATTATCAGAGAACTTCGAACTGCCGATCTATACCGTGAAAGAGTGTTCACATAATATATAATCGAATAAAAATAGTGGATTGTTCAATGAATTGAAAAAAAAATTTTTTCTTTCGATCGATCCTCATTGAACTTTTATCTGAGCTTATCTTTGAGGTTTCATTCAGCTTTTAATTTCTCGCCTTTTTTTTCTGCAGTGTTTGAGCCGTTTCATTCATTCAAACTCTCAAATTCTTATGCCTTGTTCAAAGTAATTTCGGCGATTTAAAAATAGACGCGTTATTCGTTTAAAATGATTTCAGGAAATGAGCAGAATTGGTATTCCGGGAAGACGAACAAAAAGTGAGTCCTACAACGATATATCGTTGGATAGGCATTTTTACGGTGAGTTTTACGCGCGAATTTGAAATTTCAGTAGAAAATGCTCAAATAACTCCAAAATTTTGAGTTTCCGCGCAGAAGTTACAGTAAAAAAGGCATATAAAACTATATATCGTTGTAGGACTCACTTTTCCGCGCCTTCCCGGAATACTAATTCTGCCTATTTCCCGAAATCATTTTAAACGAATAACGCGTTAATTTTGAAATTGCCGAAATTACTTTGAACACGGCATTAGACTTGCCATGGGGTGTAACTATTACGCAACGTAGGCGCACTTTCAATGCAAATTACTGACGCAGTTTTCTTTTTTTCGAATTTTAAAAATTTTTTTCATAATTTTTTTATGATATTTTTTTCGGTTTAGTTTGAAATAACTTTGTCTATGATATAACTTATCACATTAATATATTGAAGTTTGAACTTTTGTTATATATCAAAAAAATTATCATATTTGTTGAATTTGGAAATACTATATTATTACAACTGGACCGAGAATTCGTCTGTTTACTCTATCGTAAAATAGTTTTCATAGCAGGATGGCCGATGACGCGTTCGATGCATTTGGCGATACCGAAATTGGCGATGACTCTGTAATAAGATTGTTTTCTATAATTTTTCACTCATTTAATTTTTCAGGGCTCTTCCGGAGATGAAAGATCGAGAAGAGTAGCACCAAACAAAATGCAGAAGGTAACTTTGATTCAGAATGAACAATAGTGGTATATTTTACAGTTGGATCGAGATAAGCAACAGCTAGCCAAGGAGAATGCTTTTATTTTGCTGAATGACCTCCAGAAAAGTGCCGGAGGCGATGTCGAAAGGTCGGAGTACGTTCCACCTGAGAAGAGGGTTTGGAAATTGGATCATCATATGTCAAAGTGTCCTGTTGTTCAGGCGAGAATGGATGAAGACCAAAGTCTCGAAACTCGGGATGAAGCACCAGAAGAAGATGAAGAAGACGGCGATTCAGAAGACATGAGAATTCAAGTTCACACTATCAAGACGGACAATGAGAACTGTGTTCATGAGGTTGCTTTTCACGACAAATATAAGTATTTTACCTTGAAAAATTTTTCCTTTAAACGTAACTCCAATTATTTGCCATGATGAAACTTTTAGGCTACTCTATGCGTTCTCAAACCTTCAAGTAACCGTTTATTTAGATATCCATAACTTTGAGTGAATAAATTCAAAGTTTTTCTTTTTGAAGTTTTAATGGACATCTTGTTTTGCTTGACTCAAAGTTGGACTTCAGGTGGCGGTCCCTCCTGGAATGCCTTTCGCTCCACTTTCTGTTCCCACTAAACAGCCAGCCAAAGCTTATCCTTTCCAACTGGATGCTTTTCAGGTGAGGAAAGTAGTTATTTCTTCTCATAACTTTGGACATTTTAGAAAGAAGCCATTCTATGCATTGAAAATAATCAATCCGTATTGGTTTCTGCACACACTTCTGCGGGTAAAACCGTTGTAGCCCAGTTAGTCTTCTTTCTTTTCTTTCATCCAACTTTCTCATTCATAAATCTTTTTCTCTTCAACTTTTTAAGTTAGTTTCATTTTGTTCAGATACGCGATTGCCCGATGTTTGAAAGAAAATCAGCGTGTAATCTATACATCTCCGATCAAAGCCTTGTCAAATCAGAAGTTCCGAGAACTTGAAGAAGAATTCGGGAATGTCGGCCTCATGACTGGTAATCTTTTTTTGGCTATGTGTTTTTTTGATTTATTTAAATAGAAACTGATGGTAAAGTTTCATACGGGTAATATTTCAGTAAAAGAAATTTTCCCGAGCTTATTAGTTTCAGGTAAAAAATTTTTTTTTGGGTCTACCAACGAAAAAATCTTTTTCTTCAAATGAGGTATGGAGAAATTTCTACACGACACCATTTAAAGAAAGTTTTTTTCATTTTCTTGCGGATATCATTTTTGAAAACTTGTCAGAACTTCTTCCTGCTTTTTTTTGTATTATTCTCTTATTGAAGTCACTATTCTTAGTCTTTCATGATGTCATTCCTCTAGGTGACGTCACTCTGAATCCGGACGCGTCGTGTCTCGTGATGACGACAGAAATCTTGCGGTCGATGTTGTATCGAGGCTCGGAAATCACAAAAGAAGTCGGCTGGGTGATTTTTGACGAGATCCACTACATGAGGGACAAAGGTTTGACATTTTTTAGATCTTTTTTTAAGTTTTCTCAAAATAATGAATTGAAATTATATATATTTTTTTCAGAACGAGGAGTTGTTTGGGAGGAATCGATTATTTTGATGCCGAGTAATGTCCGCCACGCTTTCTTGTCCGCGACCATTCCCAACGCCAGACAGTTTGCTCGTGATTTTTTGAAATTTGCTTTTTGTCTCGATATTTTTTGAATATGTCCTGAAAAACGTCGAAAAATTCAGAATGGGTTTGTTGGTTGCACTCGCAGCCGTGCCACGTCGTCTACACGGATTATCGTCCCACGCCTCTTCAACATTTCATTTTTCCCGTCGGAGGAAGTGGCCTCTATGAAGTCGTCAACGTGAAGGTGAGGGATAGACTTTGCTCGATTTCTTTTGATATAATTGGAAAAAATCCAGAAAAAAAGAGTTAAAAGGAGGTTTTGTAAGATTTTCAGACTGATCTTACTTTGAAAGTGTGAGGTGACACCTTTTTACAAGCTCTGCGATAATTACTTCAAATCGATATTTTTTCGATGCAAAAATGGGATAATTAAATGAGGCGAAAGAATGAGTATGAAATAAGAAAAGTCACAGGTTTTTTTTTGTTTTTCTTTAATCAAACGAAGTTTCCAATGAGTTGTATGGAAATTTCTATCAATTTCCATATCAATTTTTTCGGGCAAATCTTGAAAAATTTAAGAATTATAGCACACGACTGATACAACTATCCTTTTTATAACCTTTTTCGAAATTAAACTCAATTTTTCCTCGCTATTTTCAGTTCGAAAAATCTTTATATTTCGCTAGACGAACTTTTTTTTTAGCCCCACCGGAAAAAAACTTTTTTTAAAGGGAGAATTTCGCGATGATAAGTTCAAAGAAGCGATGAATGGATTGGCGATGCGCGGAGATCAAGCTGGAGGTCCGCAGCAAAGAAAAAGAAAAAAAGGAACCAAAGGTCTAGTTTATTCAAAAATTGGAAAACAATGGAAGAATAAATAAAAACATATTTTGTTGAAAAGTTTTTTCTTTTTCATGAACTCAATATTGGATTTCAGGGGACAACAACGTGCTGCGAATCATCAGAACCATCAAGGAGAACGACATGTTGCCGAGTATTGTCTTCTCGTTTTCGAGAAAAGAATGCGAATCCTACGCTTTGTCTTTGAAGGACATGGACTTCAATACGAGTTTGAACCTGGAGAAAATTCCATTCCATTTTGTTTGTTCAGAAGAAGAGCGAGACATGGTGGGCAAGGTCTACAACAGTGCGATCGACAATCTTTCTGACGACGATCGACAGTTGCCGCAGATTGGAAGTGTGAGTGGCGTTTTTGAAATTTTTGTCGGGAGTCTTTCAAAAAAAAGTTTTACTAAGGTTCTTTCTGCATTATTTTAAGGCTGTTTTTATCTTTTTGTACCGTAAATCTTGGAAGAAACAAAGTTTTTTTTTAGGTGAATCTAGCTGTGAGTGCAATTTTTAATCTTACTCTTTTTTTGAAAAGCTTCGAGAAGAGAGTTGAAAAATATCTATATAATAAGCCGAAAAGAGTGACCATTGAAAATAATCAATCCCTATTTGGTTTCAATTTTTTTAAAAGAGTAATATTGAAGTTATTTGAGTCAGTGAAAGTATTCTGTTCAAGTTTGCTTCATTAGATTACATTTTTGTTTAGCTCTTTTCTCTGTGGTGTTCTTACCCTTCAATAGCTTCTGTTCAGCTTCTGCCTCTTCTTCGACGAGGAATCGGCGTCCATCATTCTGGATTGCTCCCTCTGCTCAAAGAAACCATTGAAATTTTGTTCGGCGAAGGTCTTCTGAAGGTGGAATTCAGATTCTCTGGTTTTTGATAAGAAAGAGCCTTTTAGGTTCTTTTTGCAACAGAAACTTTCTCGATGGGACTGAATATGCCCGCCAGGACAGTCATTTTCACGTCGGCAAGAAAATTCGATGGTCAGGATAATCGGTTAGTTTGATAATCTGGATCTTCATATGTAGATTGAAGAAAATTGTTTTTAAAAAAGTTGTCAATTAGTACGAAAATGTGAAAAAGGAATATTTTATTTTTCATCAAACTTGAAGAAAAAAATTAACCAAAGAATTAGCCTGGAAAAAAACAGCTGCTAAATAATTCTTCTCCAGAGCGCGATTATGCCATAGTTTGTAATGAAATTCTAATCGATTATTTTTGTTAATTTCTAATTCTTACCAATGAAAAACTTGAGATTCATCACGTCTGGGGAATACATCCAAATGTCGGGACGAGCTGGAAGACGTGGAAAAGACGACAAAGGAGTCGTCATTCTGATGGTCGACCACCAGTTGTCAGCTGATGACGCCAAGCACATCATCAAGGTCTCAAAAAACATAAATAAACAAAAATTCTCAATAATGAAAGGGTCATAATCGTTTTAAAAGAGTGAAATGAGGAACGTGCATGATTCAAATGAAATATTAAAATTTTTAGGGAGCCACAGATCCCCTCAATTCCCAGTTCCGATTGACCTACAACATGGTGTTGAACTTGATGCGCGTTGACGACGTCACGCCGGAAAATATCGTCAACCGGAGCTTTTTCCACTTCCAGAAGCTTTCGGAGCTTCCTGAGATCAAGCGAAGTTTGAAACTCTCTGAAAGTGCAGAAAAATTATTTTTTTTTTAGAAATTAGAGAGAAACGACTGGAAATCACGGACAAGGTCGTGCCAAGGGAACAGGAGCTTTCTGGCTTTGTCGCTTTGGAGAAGCAGATCGAGGAAGTTCGGATGAGAGTGAAGGAAATTCAGCGGTTACCCAAGCACTTGATTGGGTTCATGCATGCTGGCCGGTTGCTTAAGGCAGGCAACACTCGGAGTTTGAAAATACGAAAATGAGGGAAGTTCAGGTTGTCAGCGGCAACAGGAACTTCGAGTGGGGAGTTTTGGTTGATTTCAAAAAAAAGGTCAACCCCGATGACGCCAAGGAAGTTATCTATGTTTTGGAGGTTCGTTTGGTCTTGTCTTTGTTTTTTTTTTCTTTTTTGAAAACTTTGTGCGCTCCCTGGATAATATCATGTTTTGTAAGGAAATCACCTCTCATATTTGAAAAAAAAAAACAGGAATCAAAATAGGGTTAGAAAAAACGTTAGCGAAATGTTTTTTGTAACGATCAGACTAAGAATTGGAGAGTTTTCGCTGATCCATCGGGTAAACTTTATTTCTGCAGTTTTCTTCAGAGTTTGTCGATCAAATTGAAAAAAATTAGTTCAAAAAGAAAGAAAAATTTAAAAATCCGTGCTGTTTTTCAGGTACTTCTAGCCGTAGCCCCTGAAAGCATGAAAGATGTTTCGAATCCACTTTCGTTGCTTCCTGGATATAATCGGAAAGATGTGAGCTGAAAAAAACGATTTCTCGAAGTTTTTGATGGATTTCAGAGGTGCTGGACGGTGGTTCCTATGACTTGTGACAGGATCGACGAAATTTCGGCGATTCGCTTGAAATTACCCGAAGATTTGTCGCGCCCAGATGGGCTGAACTTGTTCGACAAAATGATGAGGGTTCGTTAGAAATAGAAGACCGACAATTGGAGAAATTTGTCACTTTTTTCGATCCATTTCTTTCCAGGAAGCCGCGAAAAGATTCAGAGACGAACCTCCTTTGCTCGATCCAATCGCTGATATGAAAGTGAATAAAGCCGTTTTCATGAATATTGATTGATTTTGTTTAGATCGGAGACAACAGGTTGCTCTCGGCGGTGGAGAAGGCGAAGCAACTGAAGAAAAGATTCGAAGACCATCCGCTGCGGTCGGATAAGAACCTCGAGCACTTGAGGGCTCAGTTTGACGAAAAAGTGGGAATAATACCAACTTTAGGGAATCGATAGATACTTTCAAAAGTAGTCTACAATTAGAAAAAAGTAGACCGGATGAAGAGACTCTCAAAATTTTTCGAAGGTTTTAACATAAAGCATTCTTTTCTCTTCTTGAGTCAAAAAAAAGTAAAGATAAAACTTGTTTAAGGCAGCACTGAAGGCCGAGCTTGCTGCTTTGAACAAGGAGCTGAAAGAAGCCGAAAAAACGACGAAAAGCGAAGAACTCGATAATCGACGACGCGTTTTGAGAAGATTGGAGTACTGTGCCAGAGACGGCACGATCGAGAAGAAAGTCTGAGAAATCGAGCTTCCAATCAAAAGAGAAATGGCGCAGGGTCGGGTGGCTTGTGAGCTGTCGGCGAGTGACGAGCTCATCTTGACCGAAATGCTCTTTAGCAGCACGTTTTCTAGTCTCGACGCCGCTCAAACTGGCGCTCTCTTGTCCTGTTTCGTCTTCCAGGAGAATGGCGCCCAGCCAAAGTTGAGCCAGGAGCTCTCGGGCTGTCTAAGAACTTTGCAGGTAGAGTTAGGAAGAGAATCAATGATTTGAAGCTAGAAAAAAAAAGAAAATTTTGCTAAATTTTCATTGATGAGTTTTTTTGGTCCAAAAATTTCCGGCATCTCAAAGTTTTCCATCTTCCTGTTTTGTTGTAAAGAAATAAAACGAAAGTCTTCTCAGGAGTTCGCCAAAAAAGTGGCAGCCGTCTCGAACGAATGTCGATTGGAAGTCGTCGAGGACAAGTATGTGAATCAGTTCAAAGCCGGCCTTATGGACGTCGTTTACAACTGGATTCAAGGCGCCTCTTTCGGAGAGTTGGTCAAAAGTACAGATGTCTTCGAAGGTCAGTATACTCGAAAAAAAAGTAGGAAAATGCACAATTTTTTAATGGGCACTCTCAAATAACCATTTTTTTTCCATTATTTCTGTAATCTGAGAATTTTGAAGGTTCATTACTTGAAAAATAAAGATCTATTGCCAAAAATTTTTCTCCATGGTTTAAAAATTAGGAGGCCCCGAAGTAAATTTCAGCTAAGTTTAATCAAAAGTTCAAACGGGGGCCAAGAAACGTTCTTTTGTTAGTTTAGCTGTTGACTGACGTTTTCATCCATGGAGAAAGTTAGAGAAAACTGAAAGAAAACGAGAAAATTCGATTATCATCTCTCTTTCCGAAGTTTCAAATGATAGTTCAAATTCACTCGTATTTTAATAAATCTGTTACTATAACACTAATTTGCAATATTGATTGATAAGCGCGCTCATCTGATAAATCGAGTTTCTATGCTCATGTACTTTATTCTTTTTCTCTGAACTGCGGAAAAAGTTCATCTTATCAGTATCTCATGATGATAAGACGTTTACTGCTGTCTTGAGAAAAAAAGAACAACTATAGGAACGATAATCCGGTGCTTGCGTCGGTTGGAAGAAGTCCTCCGCGAGCTTGTCAACGCGGCGAAAGCCATGGAGAACAAGGAGTTAGAGGAGAAGTTCGAGCTGGCCAGGACCAAGCTCAAACGCGACATTGTCTTCGCCGCCTCGCTTTACCTTTGAATATTTATTCTAATGTACTGCGTCTTGTTGAGTTTCCCATCCTTTGTTGTTGTTGCTGATGTTTGCATACAGGTTCTTTCGACTCCGCCCCTTCTCTCGGTTTTTTTTTCCAACTTTTATCGACCACAGAGTTGAGTTTTCTTGTTTGTACAGCCGCCCTCCTTCTCCGTTTCTCTTTTCTTTTTATCTCTGATTTGGTTCTTGGGCCCTTTTTCTTTTTCTTCTTCGTTTGACCTTGTTGTTTTTGATAATTTCTGTCTCATTTTTTTTTCGGTTCTCGAATAAATCGATAGCTGAAACGGTTTTTTTTAGCATGCTATTGATTATAATAGTTGGACTACTCACTGCCTTTTTGTTTAAACATCTTTATTGGAAGCGACGGAACTTCCCTCCAGGTTTTTTCTCGAGAGATTCCCATCTTTTCAATATGTACAGGACCCACACCATTACCCTTTTTGGGCAATCTGACTGTTTTGAAGAACTACGAGCCGGGATACGAGTGCTGGAAGAAGTTAAAGTAAGGCTTCTCTCACACATCTGCTCTGTGAACAGAATTGATAATTCTTCAGATTGGGACATCTCGCAAGTATATATATATATATCCTTATTCTTTTCACACTGAGAAAAAAAAGAAACTCCAAAAAAATCGAAAACGATATAAATTTCTGAGAATTTCTTCATATTTGCAGTCAAAAAAGGCCTAGAAACGTGAAAAACCAATTCCATTTTTTCAGCATCAGCAGAAATAATAGGGAACAAAAACCAGTTTTCTGGCGAAAGATGAAGATTTTCCGTATCTTTGTTCTCTCTTTGGTAAGTTGTGTGAATAGTGTTTCGAAAAAGTATTTTACAAACGAATTCTATTAAATCTTGAGCTTCACTATCCAGATTTCCTTTGAAGAACAACTTAGCAAACGAAAAAGCCAATCAAAAACCACCAAAAGGAAACTTTTTCTTAGAAATATTTCTCTAGAGAAGACTATGGACCGGTGTACACGTTCTGGCTGGCCTCGCTGCCGTCGGTGGTCATCGCCGACTACGAAATCATCAAACAGACAATCATAAAAGATGGCGGAAACTACGTGGGACGTCCCTATTTCCCAATCTCCGGCAAAATGCGTGGTTTGATTTTTCATTTTTCCTCGAGAAATTAATCGGTAGATCTTACGGTAAGGATTATTGTAAAATTTTTGATTTCCTTTTTGTAAAATGTTGAACACCTTTCTATATATGATAATTCAGATTTTCAAAATTTTGAGAAAAGGCGAGGAGCAATCAAAATAAAACTGAATTTTGACAAAGAATAAAAATTCAGGAGGGCAGCTTGGACTGATCGAAGCGGTGGACGATCGATGGGTCCAACATCGTCGTTTTTCCCTCCAAGTTCTGCGAGACTTCGGCCTTGGCAAGAACTTGATGGAGGAAAAAGTTGGCGGGATTTCTAAAAAAGGAAAAGATTGCGATTTGCAGGTAATTATCGAGTCGCAGAACTTGATCGAATTGCTGAAGAAACAAATGGAAAGCGGACCTGTAGATATTCAAAATAATGTGGATTCAGCTGTCGGCTCTATAATCAACAATATTTTGTTCGGCTACCGATTTGATGAAGTGAGTGAAAAGAATTGCTCAGAAGGAATATATTTTCTTTTTGCGGTTGGGAATTTCCTCGAAATCAACCAAAGCGATCCTCGTTGTACCAGACAAGATCTCGGAAATTTTAGATTGCACAACTTTCTAGTTTTTGAGAAAATACACATCAAAGTCGAAGAAATCGTCAAGATCCGTTTAAAAAGGCTTTTTTCGGGATTTCCTAAAAACTTTCATAAGAACTCTACGAGGTACTAGATTGAGGTTCTGTACGTCTGTCACTTCAAAACGTCCTATTTTTCAAGATATTCTTCAAAACTCGCTCTTTTGGACATTGCTATCCATAAAAACAAGAAGCGAACAATTGCGATTTCTAAAATTGAGTGGAATCAAGAAACTTGAAAACAATTTTGGAGAAATTCAGTGTGAGTAGCAACAAACAAGCTTTTTTTGATAGTTGGCATCTTTTTTTTTTGAGCTTTATCACAATATTTTTCTCATTTTACTGTTCAAAACTACACATTGCTCAAATGTATTCAAACTCAACCTTTCCAGTCCAACATGGAGCAGTTTTTGACGATGAAAGTCGGCCTCGCGAGACATTTCGAACTGGCGGCTCATCCGATCGGAATGATCATCGGCATGTATCCGTTCTTGGAGAACTTCCCCTACTTCAAAGACCAATTCAAGAGTTGGCATAGGAATTCTGTTTCTCATAGTATTCAGAATTGTTTCAGTTGTCGTGAACAACTGGAACACCCTGTACGATTTGTTCGGCAAACAGATCGAAGAGCACGAGAAAATCATCGATTATGACACGGCTGAGTACAGTGACTACGTAGAGGCTTTTCTGAAGGAGAAGAAAAAACACGAAGATGAGCCTGATTTCGGAGGATTCGAGTGAGTTTTCCGTTTGGGCTAATCTAAGGAAATGAAGCGAAAAAATTTTCATAAGTTAAGATAAATCTAATTTTACGTATGCTTTATTTATAAAAATTTCAGTATAACATTGTTATTCAAAAATATCTCTTTAAAAAAGAGCAAGTTTTTTTAAAAAGTTTGCCGCAATCGTCTTCGGACTTTATCTTTGTCTTTTTTTTCGCGCTTTCTTCTTTTTTTATTGTCAAAAAGAAAAACTATTTTAAAAAGATAATTTTTAACTAAACTTCAAAAAATTAACTTTAAAAAAATCATTCAACGCTTCCTATTACAGAATCATGCAGTTGAAGAACATGTGTTTCGATCTTTGGGTGGCCGGAATGGAGACCACGGCCAACACTTTGTACTGGTCCGTCCTGTACGTACTTCTCGACGAGGAGGTCCATCGGAAAGTCAAGAAGGAGCTTCGTGACGTCATCGGCAGCGATCGCGTCATCACCAGCACCGACAAAAGCTCGTTGAACTACGTAAATGCGACGCTCAATGTGAGGCCCTTCTTTAATGAATTAGTCTTTTTTTCACAGGAAAGTGGAAGGAAAATAAATCTGGTCATATTCTCATTCGACTTGATTTTTAGAATTGGCTTACTTGAAATAATGTTTTCTGACTCGTAACAGTTATTTTCCTCCACAGGAAATCCAACGACTCGCCAACCTTCTTCCACAAAATCTTTCTCGAGTTGTCGGCAAGGATACTGTAATCGGCGGACATTTGATCAAGGCTGGAACCATTTTGACCCCACAAATCTCAGCAGTTTTGTACGACGATAAGGTTCAAAAAAAAAAGTTTTTTCCGAAAATAAATAATGAAATTTAGATCTTCCCTGACCCTTATCGATTCGATCCAACAAGGTTTTTGGACGAAAACGGCAATGTCAAAAAAATTGAAGAGGTTTTTTTTTAGATGATATGGATATGTTCAAAAAAAGATCTTTAGTTCATCCCATTTTCGGTCGGCAAACGACAATGTCTCGGAGAAGGCTTGGCCAAGTTGGAACTTTTCATTTTCTTCGCCAACTTCTTCAATCAGTTTGATGTGAGCTTTGATGACGACCAAAAAATTTAGATGGAGATTAAATTCAGGCCGAATTCGATCCCGCTGGCGGAATTCCAACAACGAAAAAGCGGTTTGGCGTGACGATGAAAGCAGAAAATTATAAACTTGTTTTGAAAAACAGTTATTGATTCGTTTATTTTCCATTTATTTTATTATTCTTGACTCGAAACGCCGTGGTTGCTTGTGGAAAAGCTTCAAGCAGCAGAGCCGCGTTCTATTTTCAGAATGCCATATGAAGTGATGTGCGTAACCGATTTAGGTCGGATGCACTTCTCAACTTCTTCTTCTTTGCAGCTGTGACGCGTCAAGCCATTCCACGTGCGACCACGGGTCGAGTACATCTTTTTTCAGACAGTAGTTTATACTCAAACAAGCACAAAATGTACAGAAACTTGAACACGAGACGAAATAAAAATTTTTGCAAGTTTTTTTTTAGTTCGACTCCAAAAAGTTCAGTTACGAGCTCATTATCCACGGAGCGCAGTTCATAATTCCGAAAAAAAACTGTCGATGGAGATGCTTTTATCTTTAAGCAATCAATGGAACAGTCATAACATGTCGATCTCCTCCTTCTGCCTGAAAATACTTAACCTTTTGAAATTAACTTCCATGGCCATAACTTTCTTTTATCTGACGAGTCTGCGCTCTCTTTCGTCTCACCATCTCTTTCAAAAGAAGAGCCGGGGAGGAAAGAGAGTGCAGACAAGCCAGACTGCTTTAAGTCGTTGCGAAGATACTTTAAGGAAAAATATATCTTTTTTTTTCCAAACGAAAAAAAGGCAACAAAATAAAACTGACATCGAAAACTAGGGCAATTCGATCACATTTTGGACCCGCATTTTCGCGGAGGATTTTTATTCGAATCGAAGATTTTGGAAGTATTTCGCCGTTTTTTTTGTCAACTCGATATATCATCTTGTCGCTGAATTTTACCTGAAGGATTAATTCGAAAAAATTCAGATCAACTTTGTGAATCAACGAAAAAACCTTGAAATTCTGAGTTACTTCAGTTTTGTTGAAGATTTTCAATGATCTCATACCACCCGTTGGTTTGAACTTGAGCTGATTAGGCTTCACGAAAATGTTCGGCGGAGTTTTTGGTTCAATCGGAGAGTTTTTCACGAATATGGGGTCCTCATCAACCTGGAAACTCCAAAGTTAGTTGCAATATTCATAAGACTCAAATTATCATCCTCTGAGAAGAATTTTGAAATCTAGACAAGTGTGACTCAAGTTCAGGAAATCGATAGACTCGTTTATAAAAGGCTAAATTGATGAAAGATATAGCTCAATTATCCCAAACTTTCCAATCCAATATTTCAACCTGTTTTCTTTTTTTTAAAGCCGCTTCAGCAGCTTTTCGATCAGCCTTGACGGCTACGATGATTTTTCTCGAGTTTTCCAATTTTTTCGCTTGAATTTTTGCTAACTCTTGTTCGATTCGCTCTACTTGTGAACTACTAAAAACTTTTATTTTTGAAAGCTAGAGAAACTATCCAAACCTGATGCTGCTGGAAATCGACGACGTTTCTGTTGTGGCAGGACTTCTGGGCAGTTTTCGGGACTGCGAAAAAATATTTTTTTTTAATTTTCAAAAAGCCTACGTTGATCTAGCCAGCGCTAAGAAGATCAGATGAAATATTTCAACACCACTATTCTTCTTCAACAAAAAAAATAAATATTTTGCACAGAGACTCTTTATGATTTATCATCTTTTTTAGTCCATTGCGTGTAACTAGTCTCACAGTCACTTATGCACCAGCAATATGCCGTTCCGAATCCACAAAGTCTCATGAGGTGAAACTGGGGGAAAACGAAACAAAGAAACATACCGTAGTTGAAACTTTTTCATTAGTGTCTTCACTTTTCGCCACATCCCTGCTTTTCGATGAAAAATCCTTCAATAATCTTGAGTTTTACGGGTAATTTCTGAACCTCAGAAATTCGATCAGGTGAACGTACCGTTCTTCCCCGTTTTTTGGAGCATCCAACACTCGAATAAACCAAGAGGATCAGAAAAACCGACGCGAGCATTATGAAATGAAAACGACTCGTGAGAATTCTTTTTAGAAAATAAATCTGAAAATCGAAAACCTCTAAAATGAATCATTTCTACATCTTTTCGGGTAAGCTTTCAGTTGCTTGAAGTCTGAGAAAAGGTATCAAAATTTCATGCGAAATTTTTCCGGCTTATTAAAAATTTCAGAAAATGGGTGATCAATACATGCCGATAGACGTGAGTTCAATTTTAAAAAAGAAGAATGAATAAGGATTAGAGATTGATTTCAACAATATATTGGCTATAAAAATCTTTGAAAAAAAAAATTAAATTTTCCAAAAACAAAACTCCTTTTTGCACAATTTGGCGGGGATAGCTTTGAAAAAATCGACTAAAATCAATACTGATTAATCGGGATTGGCCAGTGAGAGAAAATAATCTCCAAATGCGGAAAAATCTAGTTTTTTTTTCGGATTTTTTACCAAAATTCTCTATTTTATCATGGAGCAGGGAGCTGGAGCTGGAGCTGCACTTCCGCCACCCGGAAATGGTGCTCCACTTCCACCGCCGCCGTCAATGCCGTCAGCGTCAGGTGTCTCTTTGGATGACAAGTATTCTCAAGAACACAACTACTTCGACGACACCAACGATGCTGCCGTCCACAGCGCTTCGTTCGTTCCGAACTCTCTTCTTATTCAAATTTATTTTTGTTTTTCAGCTCGAAATATTACGGACTTGTCGCGCCCGTCAGTGGAGAACGAGTTATGACTGTTCGTGGACGGAATTTCAAAGAGGCTCAGGTTATTATCTTTATTAAACACGATTCATCATTTTTGTTGAAGAAAAAAGACATGATTCACTGCCTCATCGCAACAGTCGTCGTTTCTATCATACCAGCCATTTTTGGTGTTTGTTTCGCTCTTTCTGTCATGGGTGTCATATAAGGCAATAAATATTTCTTTGAATAATTTTGTTGAAGTTGAAAAGTATTTCCACACTTGAACGATTTCACGCACCGGATTGCATCTTCCCACAAAAATTTTTTGAAAAAAAAGCGCTCATCAAACGTTTTTTTTAACGCCGTGTACGGTACCCAAGAAAGGTGTCTGCACGTTGATCATACGGACTATGCACTTTACTTAACGACTTTGAGTTTTTGTTTCGGTTTTACTCAATTGAGTCAACCCGGGTTGTCAACCCAGTCATACCCATTAATTTTTTTATGGTGTGTTCATCGGACAAAACGAAAATTGTTCCGAAACGCGAAAAAATTGCTTCAAAACAAAAATTAGTACTGTTTTGGAGCAACTTTGAACACGATTTTTCGTTTTGAAGCATGTTCCGTTTCTCCAATGAACACGCCATTAGCTTTGTTTTGAATTGGTTTAGCATTAGTTTCATCATTGATTCATAAAATAGAGGCCTGGGCCGAGAAAGAATAAAATTTACTTGCGACTTTTTTCTCGCGCGTATATAATCACTGTCATTTCAAAATAAAAGAACGTTTTAAAAGAACAAAAAAGAAAAAGATACCGTAAATACAACTTTTTGCTTTACGAAACAGCTTAAAAGACGGCGGACCACTAAAATCTGAAAGCGTAGATGCTCTATTTTGATCTATTTTGTTATGGGGTGTTTTTGACCGCCAAAAAAACTTGACATGCTGGCGCGTGCGGAATAGGCTATATACAAAATCGGACCGACTTTGACCAAACTGCCTCAAAACGAACTTTTTTTTTGCTGAATTTTTTTGCAGTTTTTAGAGTGAAAGGGCGTGTTCGCGGCAGCTTTCTTTCTTTTGTGCTTCGTTAACGTCTAGCGCGGAACACGCAGTAGGTCAAAGGACGTCAAATCGCTGGTTCTTCTATGTAGAAGTTAATTTTTGATTATTCGGTAGATTAGTAGTTTTTCTTTCCAACTCATGTTTCGTTAATTTTTCAATACTTCATATTTTTCTGTTTTTGATTGCTTTGCGTCATTTTTTTTTTTTCTTGTTACAGTTTCAAGCGAAGACTCATATCAAGGTCTAGGAGAGTCAAAAAAATAATAATAAGTTAAATTCTAAATTTATTGGTTTTTAAGAAGGTTCTCGTTCTTTTGCTCACATTCTAAAGATATCTATAATGTTAATTGAAAACGTACAGAAATATTCTGACTCACAGAGGAACCTTGTTCGAAGTTTCATTTTATCAGTATTTTATCCAAGCTACAAAACCAACTTGATATATTTACACTCGTGATAGATTTGGTTGGATTTTTTTTGAAAACTGAAGAAAAACTCGATTATATTAACTTTCAAATTGAGTCAAAAAAAAAAAATAGTAAAAGGTTTCTTTTTTTTTAATGAAAAGTATCACTTATTAAAATTCCTATAGTTGTTTTCATTTTTTTTTCAGACTCATAGTCCTCAAGATTGTTTGAATCTTCTTATCAAAAAAATGAAGAGAATTTATAAATGAATCCCACGTTCTCGGGCGAATGAGCGACGGCGCCGCAGTATTTCTGTACAAAACCGGGAGAAATCTCAAACTTTTTTATTCTTGTTTCGCAATCACAATTTTATTTTCTCCTTACCATTTAAAACACTTCATTGGAAAAAAAAAATCGATTTTTTCAGCTCGAACATAATAATATTTTGGGCGGAATTCCTCCATTGGCTGCCTTTTTTTCATCTGATTGGTAAGGTCTTTTTTTAAATTACGGATTGTTTATATGTGATATCGATTAGGATGACGTTAAATTTTGTTCCTTTCGACTTCACTTCGCAAATTATGTGGTTTCAAAGTTTCGAAATTTGAGAAAAATCATATCGCTAAAACTTCAAATAAAAGGAAGTATTTGGGAAACAATTGTTTTAAACAGTTCACAGACTTGTTATCTTGAAGGCATTCACGACTCGTTTGAAAAATGAATTCGCGCCAATAGAGGTCAACAAATTGCTCTGCCGAACTTTTCGGCGGTCGTCTTTATATCATTGATTAAAAGTTCAAAGGTTCTAAAGCCCGTTTACGGCTGGCTTGGGACAGCGAACGGGCGGTTTGGTTTACGTGGCGAAGGTAGATCATGGCGACTATTCATGCGCCTTCCATCAAAGCCCCATTTTATGACTTATTTAACTTTCTCTTATTATTCGTCGATTTAAGAAAATCTAAAAACCAATGAAATGAGTGCAAACATGAAATAAACTTAATAGAAACAGTAATAATTCACCAAATGAGGCTCTTATCAAAGGCGCATATTTGACCGCCATGATCTACCATCGCCGCGCAAATGAAACCGCCCGTTCGCTGTCCCAAGTCACCCGTGAACGGGCTATATTTTTACATTTTGTCTCAAACCAGACGTGAATGCTTAAAGTTCATGATATTGACATTTCATCCTTTAGAGATCATTCAAATGTAATTATTATATTATTTAGCGATGGTGTTGGGAATAATCAGCTTGTTTTTTTCGCGTGTTTTTTTGGCTATGGCATTTTTATTTTGAGAAAGAATGAAGAGAAAAAAATAAGATTTGGATCTAGAGTTTGTTTTTCGAAGTTCCAATTATATCATAATATTCCAACAGCGCGGAGGGAAATGTTTGTGTGCTTTGAAGATTTGATAGATTTCCAATTTTGCAGTCAAAAACAGCAGCAAGAAAATGGATTTTGAGCGACATTGTTGGCGTCGACGGTTTTTTTTCGCCTACTTATCTTTATTTTCTTTTTTTACACGTTTTTCTACATGTAAAAGCTTCCGTAGCGCGCTATTCCCCCTTTTCAAGACGTTATTCCGATAAAAATGTTGCCATTCGGCTCGTGTCCGTGTTTCTTCTCTTCCTGCGGTCAATTGTCTCCGAGTCTGAGATTCGACTCTTACAACCTCGGCCAGCTCTTTTTCCTCGGAAATCACATGGAATCTCAATCAGATATATACAGGCCAAACAATCAAAGGCGCCACTTTCTTCGAGCTTCACGTTTTTTTCGATGAAAAAATTTATTACGCTCCCTTTTTCCTTTTTTCAAACCTTTCCCAACATAACTTATCATCATTTCTCAGCACAGTTTATAAGCGTTTTTCAATTATTTCTTGTTGATCTATTTACCTTCATTAGTTCTTATGTTAATTTTTTTCTTCGCTCCGGCCCCTTACAAGGAAAGTGTGTAAGGTGAACAATGCAGATCTGGTCCGAACTTCTGTGGTGGATAGTCCTAGGTACCAGTACTCGAAAATAAAAAGAAATATCTGCTAAGCGCCAGAGGGTATTGAGAAATAGCCTCTCGAAAATGTACGGAAAAAGCTCAAAAACTGATTTTGTTCAATTTTCCAACTTCCAAAAGGCTAAGCAAAAAGGGAAAATGCTGACGATGGGACACCCTCTCAAGCCGTACATTTTGAGACCCGAAACAGTTGCGCGAAATTTTCATCTCTATTTACTTATTCAATTCGTCATCGTCTATCACAAAATTTCCTCAGGTTTATATTACATAAAAAGGTCATTTCGGTAGGAAATTCATAATTGAAAAACTTTGTCCAATTTTTTCGAAAATTTCAAAAACAAAACATTTTCTTCTAAAGAAAATTAAATTTTCAAGTACTTTCGAAATTTCTGTTGTCTAAAATCTGCGATTGCCCTGGTTCAGCATTTTATATTCCGTTCAGGATCAACGGACTAAGAGCGAGCGACTTCAAAATGGAGCGGCATTTCGGAAACAACGGTTAGCACAATTTCATTATGACTGCCAACTTATTTCGGAAACTAATTATGTTTTTTACTTATTTAAGAAATAAATCGTAGATCGGGCTCTATTTTTGGGGTAATTACAATTAGGGAAGAGTATTCAAAGCCAAAAATAAAATGTCTGCTGTGTGCCATTGGGTACCGAGTAGGTAGTACAGGTCGAAAAATTGGGAATCTGGAGAAAAATTTTGATACAATTTTCTGCGCTAACTCGAGTCGAAATGATTTTTATTGGTATCCTATAACACTTAGAAGGGCAGTTATTATTATTATATATATTTTTTGAGTTTTTTTCTCTTGATTTGAAAAAAAGTTGCTCTTTTTAGTTTTTCCCATCTATTTTTTTCAAATCAATAATCTTCGTATCTGATTTGCTTTTCATGCTAAATTTTTTCAGAAAACGATCATCTTGGCGCGGAAGAGCCTGTGATTCAAACTGACAGAAGACTGCGTATTTGGCTTGCAAATGAGACAAGATCTCCTTCTCCAATGCGTCGTCGTCGATCGGCCAGACCTTTGGAGAGAATATTCCTCGGTCCACCTACCGCCGCTGAAGCTTCAATCACTGAACAAAACCGGACGAGAGGCCTGATTGCACAAGAGATAGTCCAGTTAGCGAGCATGGCCTTCGCCCCGACAGGACAAATCTCTGACTCTCCTCCTGAAAACGAAGAATACTTCCAACTTTCTCCTCAATCTGAGGAATCATCAGAAGAAGAAAGCGAGGAGGACGTTTTAAGCTCAGAAAATCATTCAGTATATGATGATGAACCTCCACAAGAAGCACCAGCTCAGAATTATGTTCGTGGACTCCTTCAACCATCTTTTTCTGGTTTCACCAACCAACAGCAGCATCAACATCCCCTCCATGTAGCGAATGTTCCGCAACATCAGAGATCATTCATCCCGATCGATATACCTCCGCAACCTGTTTTATCCTCTCATCCAAGATATCCATTTGCACCAACTCAATACATGCAGCAACCTCCAATGCATCACCCGCAGCAGCCATTTCTACAGACGGGTGCAAATAATGAGGAATTCGGACATTCACTTCTTTCGCAATCAGGGCAAGGGACTTCCCAACATTACGGTCACCCTATGCCGAATCCGCAGTCGCAGCTAAGTCAGTCGGCTGCTCAACAATTTCCATCTATGGCACAGCAGCAGTGGCAATCAGGGCAAGGGACTTCCCAGCATTACGGTCACCCTATGCCGAATCCGCAGTCGCAGCTAAGTCAGTCGGCTGCTCAACAATTTCCATCTATGGCACAGCAGCAGTGGCATTCAGGGCAAGGGACTTCCCAGCATTACGGTCACCCTATGCCGAATCCGCAGTCGCAGCTAAGTCAGTCGGCTGCTCAACAATTTCCATCTATGGCACAGCAGCAGTGGCATTCAGGGCAAGGGACTTCCCAGCATTACGGTCACCCTATGCCGAATCCGCAGTCGCAGCTAAGTCAGTCGGCTGCTCAACAATTTCCATCTATGGCACAGCAGCAGTGGCATTCAGGGCAAGGGACTTCCCAGCATTACGGTCACCCTATGCCGAATCCGCAGTCGCAGCTAAGTCAGTCGGCTGCTCAACAATTTCCATCTATGGCACAGCAGCAGTGGCATTCAGGGCAAGGGACTTCCCAGCATTACGGTCACCCTATGCCGAATCTGCAGTCGCAGCAAAGTCAATCGGCTTCTCAGCACCAAGGTCGCCCTATTCCGAATCCACAGTCGCAGCAAAGTCAATCGGCTTCTCAGCACCAGGGTCGCCCTCTGCCGAATTCGCAATCGCAGCAAAGTCAGTCGACTGCTCAACAATTTCCATCTATGGCACAGCAGCAGTGGCATTCAGGGCGAGGGACTTCCCAGCATTACGGTCACCCTATGCCGAATCTGCAGTCGCAGCAAAGTCAATCGGCTTCTCAGCACCAAGGTCGCCCTATTCCGAATCCACAGTCGCAGCAAAGTCAATCGGCTTCTCAGCACCAGGGTCGCCCTCTGCCGAATTCGCAATCGCAGCAAAGTCAGTCGACTGCTCAACAATTTTCACCTACGACACAGCCGCAGTTGCAGTCAGGGCAGACGCCTTCTCGGCAAATCCGGCCCATGCAAACACAGCATGTACTCGACGACGCTCCTGGACCTAGTCGTCCGGGTCCTTCAAATGTTCGTTAGGATTTCCTCACCATTCATTTTATAATCGAGCATCCCACAACCAAACTGAAGTTCTCAGAGTTTTCCAAAAAAATGCTCTTGAGTGAGATAGCAGAGCACAGAGAAAGAGACTTTAGGGCAGATTGACATTGCAACAGTCCTGGTTCCATTATTATTATCTTAAAGTGAAAGAAAATTTAGGATTCAAGTATTAGCGATCTCGAAATGAGTCGTTTTGAAAAATTTCGGTTAGTTTGAAACAACTTCGATTCGAAAATAATGAGTTTTTTTTCACTTCTTTAAAAGGTCTTTCAGGTTTTTCCGCGCGGTTCACCAACCAGAAGAAATTCTCTCAAACTCGAAGCCGAATTCGTGGAAAGTTCAGCTACAACCGAGCAGTTATCGATGGCTAATGTTGGTTTGATGGTTTTTCGAGGAAGTCAGTTGAGAAACTATAGTAAATCGTGAAGCTTGGCTTTTGAACTTACCTTTGTTCGGTTCCTTCATTTTGAAGAGACACGCGAAGGTTTTTCTAGGAAGTTTGATTATCTTTTTTTCCGTATTTTTTTTTATAGATTTTTTTGGATATTTTTTTCGGTTATACACAAGAAGCTTCCGGAAAAATAAATAAAAGTTAGCGAAATGGGAAGACTGATAAGTCTGAAGTTCAGGTATAAAAGATATTTCCAAATTACCGGTGGACGCTGAAAAAAAGTTCATTTATGCATAGAGAAGTTTGAGTTTCATTCGCCACACTATAAATTAATTTGAGCCCGTATGCAATAAAGTGGAGAATAGTTTCAGCGATTTTCCTGCAACTCGAGAACAAGTTCAGTTCGTCCTTTATGACTTAGAAATGTGCTCTCTCTACTTTATTCCACACTGGCGGGCTTCAGGGCTTTTCTTCTTCACCTGCCGAGTCGGAAAAAAAATAAATTAAAATGATATTCTTTTTTTTTTCGGATACTCCGCAGAAAATTGAAAAAATGATTACGATTTTTGATAAGCGCTCGCTTGAAAAGTGTGATTCAAAAGATAAATAATCTTCGGCTGAGGTCCAAGGCGTCGTCGAAGGTTGACTCAAAATCCGAACAGCTCGAGGATTTTGCAACTTAAATGAACTTAATTATAACGTTTTTTTTCTTTCAGAAGTCGGTTGAAGTAGTTTCGGGTTTGGCTGCTGAAAAGGAGGCTGATAGAAATCTCTCGGTTTCGACAGCAGCTGAACAAGCAGAAGAAGTGCCTGGACCAAGAAGATCACCAAGGATACGCCGTAATGAAGGTTTCGTACCGCGATTATTTCTTGAAGCGAAATTTATCATCAGCTGTGGAGCTGCCGCCAAATAGAAAACAACGAGAAACAGATTCTGAAGAATCTTCCGGAGAGTCCGTTCCCGAAACGAGTTCTAGGACCAAGACTCTTCCCGTGGTTTGAATATTGATTTGAGAAAACTCTCCCCTTCATATTCCATTTTCTAGACCGTAGAGCAAGAAGAAGTTGCTGTTCAGTCAAGTTCAGTCCGATTCGAGGAGACGACTGAATCTAGAGATTCGCAACAAGCTTCTCAAGTTCCGGTATTTTTTTCAATTGACAGCATCTAATGCATGATCATGAGGGAAGATAATTATCACAGAAAAACTGTTCAAAATCGGAATAATTTATAACGAAGTTTGTTGAAAACTTGACCATTTTTTCAATCAATTTTCTTCATTGAAGCTGTTGGTCAGAACCTTTATTTAACAGGTCGCCTCGGATCGTACTCCGAGAAACGCCTCCATAGACGAAGACGTGATTATCGACGAGAGCGCTCATCTTCTTTCGGGCGGTCCAGCGTCTACGAGTTCATCGCTGGACGATATGCACTCTCGGATGCAACCGCAACCTGGGTTCGAAGCCCAAGATGTCCCAGGACCTTCTTCGCAGCGTAGAGAACTCCAAAGATTTGAACATGAAACGGCCGATCCGGCGCGAATTCCTTCACCAGCGCTTGAGCAGGCTCAAAGCTCTCCGGATTCGATAAATGAAGCTCCTGCGACGCCTCCACACAACAGCCAAGCTCCTTCTCAGCCAACATCTCAAGAAGACTTTGAGCAGCGAAGAGAACTCGTATTCAATATGCGAATGAGCACCCCTATACTACCTGATCAACAAAGACATTACTTCGAAATGAGTGCTGATCCCGAAGGAGGTCATCGGGCGGAGGTCCAATGCAATTTTTCTGATGTTCTTTTGAAGAATGGCAAAACAATAACAATCCGGAGCTCATATTCGTGTGTTCCTTTCCACACACTACAAGAAGATCCACGTGCAGCAGTCTCACAAGCTGTGGAGGATGCGCATGAACCAGTCATACAGGCGGAACGAGAATTGCAACCAGGAAATGCTGCTGCATCCGCTGAACAACCAGAAGAAGAGCCCGGGCCAAGTCGATCGCCACGGAAACGCCGTAATGAAGGTTTTCCGCCGCGATTATTTCTTTAAGAGGAAAGTTGCCTTCAGCTGTGGAGCTGCCGCCAAACAAAAAGCATCGAGAAACTGAACCTGAAGGATCTTCCGGAGATCCCGTTCCCGGAGCGATTTCTGCATCTAGGCTAGAGGCTCTGCCTGTGGTTTGAATATTGCTTTAGTAGAATTTACTGTTTCACATTCCATTTTCCAGACCGTAGAGCAAGAAGAAGTTGCTGTTCAGTCAAGTTCAGTCCGACTCGAAGAGGCAATTGGAGATTTTCAGCTGGCTTGTCAAGTTTCAGTACGTTTTGTCGAGAAAAAGACGATATCCAGATTTTTGGCTCGTTTAATGGTTTTCCGCTAGCTTATTCTCTAGAAGTACTCTTTCTCTGCTTTTTTGAAATGCAGAAAGAAAAATTTTCAATCTTGAAATTTTTTTTTCTAGCTGTGAACTGGCTAAACTGGTTATCCGTCATTTTCAGAATTCAGAATTCATAACTCAATTTAAATGTTTAAAGATGGCTCTGTTACAAGGTTTACCTGGACCATCTACAGCAGATGACCGGGTGGTTAGTTGTAGCTTTGATTTTTTTCTATTGTCCCGAAGATATTTATTATGGATGCAACAGGTCTTTTTCAGCGAGAAGCGGACGCCGTCTCGGAAAAAGATGTCAGCTCGTCTTATTATATACCGGCGTCGAGATGCTCTGAGTTTCAGACTTATCAAAACCTGATAAAAGAAGAGTCGACCGACAGCTCCGATCCTGCGACTGCGGGTTTGTTTTGAGAAGTGTAAAATTCGACAAAAGTATTCTGATCGAAATTTTTATTCGTATTAACAATACTTTGCTATCGTCATGTATTCTGTTTTCCGAAAAATAATTCTTTTTCTGTGACTTCTCGGGTTGACGTTTTACTGACAGAATAATTTTTTTTTTCTTCACTTCCTTTACTGCTCTAATACGTTTTTTTTCAGTGGAACCGCCTTCCAACCCTGAACAAGAGGTCCAGTTAAATCGAAGAGACGAAGTTGTGAGTTTACCAACGAAAACTACTGGGGAAGCATTCATCGACCCAGAAGCAGTTGTTTTTCCTCGAATTTGTGATTCTGGATCATAAAAAAAACTAAATTTTCATGAAAATCCTCTTTTTTGAAAATGTTTTTGTCAGGTGTCTGATGTCGGAAATGAGCAAGAGTCTCACGATGTGCGACGAGTGGTGGTCGCCAATCCAGATAATGACCCAAAGTACTAGTTTAAATCTAGTTTTTGTTCAGTCTTCCTTTTTATTTCCCAGGATCCTTTGAAAATATATTTTCATTTCAGTTTGAACGTGGAGGATACACAAGAGGGGAGTGACATCAGTGCTTCTGCAGGTTAGCTTTTCATCAATATCGCAAAAAAGGCAAACATTTTCGATAGTTACACTACTGGTATATTATAGCCGCTGTGGAACATTCCGAGGAGGGACATCCAAAAATCGTTGTGACAGGCCCGGGGTCGTCTGCAGGAAACACCCCGATGGAAGATCAACCAGGACCGAGTGGCCTCGGAGAAGCGAGAGACGCCGGGGGCGACACAGAAGGCAGGGAAGAAGGACCCGCCAGAAGACTCAGACCGCGTCCTCCCACGAGTCCGACAGTGGGAAGAGGAAGTCGTACCCGAAAACTGTACAATCCGAAGGGAGAGCGTCCCAAACGCTCAACAGCCAAGAAAAGTCTGAACTGATCGTATTTTGTAGCGTCGTCATTCATTTTTTATGAAATAATTAAGGTTTCTAGAAAATTATGAGAAACGCTTCAAAACCATTTTGAACGAAGCTTCTTGCACTTTGAGAGTCTGAAATTCAAATTGAAGTCAGATTGAAAAAAATAAAGAACTTGAAAAATAATATAAAAAAATCGGTTTCTTTTTTTGAAGCTCATTGGTTCTAGCGTCAAAACTCTGTCGAAATTTTCTCATGATTTGTTGATTATTCTTGAAAATAATTTCAAAATTTGACAGCACCTTACCAGACCCTTATCAAATTCAACTTCACTGATATATTCGTTTTATCATAGGTTTTTCAATTTTTAGTGTTTCAAGCACTTTTCCTTGTTATTTTCTTTGTTGCGTTCCTTGTTATACGATTTACAATATGAAACGTTGATTGATTCTCGTTCAGGCAGATTCTTTGAGCCAAGCTTTTGTTCATGTCCTTGATTCGTTTTTTTTTGTGTTCTAAAAGCAGATGGTAATATCAATCTGATCTCTTTTTTCATTTTCGACCATTTTTGTTCGAACATTATTTAATCATTTTGTTGTCGTCGAGTTCACTTTCATGTCATATCTCGATCTGACCCTGAATTGATCTTTCAATCGTATCTTTCTCTCATTTCTTGTGCCATTTTGTTAATATTCCAAAGCAAAGCCGATTTTCTCAACCAGGAAATCCATGCTAGTAAAATATCATAGGGTACAATTTTTTCATGTGCGCTCTTGTATGTATCTTGCTTGAATTTTCATTTTCACACTTTTAATGGTTAGTTATGTACATTATTTATTCACGTGCTCTATTTCTTATTATGGTAATAAATGTTGCAACATAACTTTTTTTCAGGCTTTGAATCTTCCGGTGTAGAGCCCTGACTCAGCCTTTCAAGCCTAGAAGCCTTTCTTTCTCTTGAATATTTCTGTTCAGCTTCACGATTTCGCGTTGACGGTCATTCCTGACGTTAGTCGAAAGATTCGCGACACTTCTAGCTCGATCCACCGCGTCGTCTCGTTGGTTCACGCGAAGTTGTAGTTTCTGAAAGGTTTTTTATTTGACTTTTTAAATTTCCTGATATAAATGTCATGACTGAACGCTCAACCGACTTTTTAGATTTCGGCGGCATGAAGCTCTGATGAACTCAAAGTTTTTCAAAGTGCCGTTTCTCGCCTTTATTCATATTCAGATGACGTCATTTATCACCTTCTGAAGAGCGTTCAACGTCATCCAAGCTTCGTGATGTTTTGCTTTGAGCTTTCGAAGAACGATTCTTTTGGCTTCGATTTCCTTGTCGTTGGCTCCGCTCAACTGCATAATCTTCTGGTTGAGCTCCCTTGCTTTTGACCTGATTTATCAAAATCCGACCTTTTTATATCTTTGATAAACCTCAAATTATTCAACTCTGCCTTGGCGACGTCGTTATTAGCAGATAATTGCTTCTCTTGACGTTCTGACTTTTTTTCCTCTTGTGATTGAAGTTTAATTAGGTTCAATTGGGATTGTAAGTGAGAGATTGCTTCGTCTTCTTTTTCGAGTTCAGCTTGTAGACTGTTTTTCTGAAAATTCTGGTTTAAAAGATTTATATGAATATGGCCTGTTGAAAAATCGGTTGACTGTTTTTGAAAGGCCAAAAGAAATTACCAGTTATTTCGTATAACAGCGAAATTTATTTATTTTTTCCTTCAATTTTATTATCGTATTGCTTTTTTTTAATAAATTAGCGTACGTGACGACATATCGAAAAGAAAAATCAATTACAAATGGGAATTTTTTTTTTTCGAACCTGTTCTAAAAGATGTTCTCTCAGATCGTTAGCTTTTGCTAGTTGGAAGCGAGCATATGTATCAACGTCAGTGTGAGGGGTCTAAACAGAAGAAATCGGAACGTTTTTACTTTTTTGAGGTAGAGAAATGGTTCGAAAGTTGCATTTTGAATTGGTCTGCAGCCGACTCTAAGCAGTTTTTCCTATTATCTTTATGGATCCACACGCAAGTAGTTTTCGGTTAGACACGCTCTGGACTGTTCCTCCCATGAGCAAGCCAGGAAGTATCGAAAATACTGCGAACTTTTCATTATAATTGGGACGAACCTCTTCCGGTTGTGAAGTCTTGCTCATCTCGCTTTTTCCACTGCTCGACGCACTTGATCTTATTTCCTATAATTATTATCGATCGTTTAGATTTTCAAAGCGGCAGTCATTTAACCCTCGTTTTTTGAGGTTTTATTTTAAATTACCGTAATTCGAGGCAAACTTTGGCTTCTGCGCCCCTTTGAGAAGATGTCTTCTCGATCACTTTCTTCTTCTTCTTCATTGTACAACACTTCCACTTCTTTGCGATTTTTCAATAATGTGTGCTGGAATAACGTCTGATTCTTATTTCAGAAAATGAGTCTTACCTGTTCTGAGTTTTCTTTTCGAATTTGCTTCTTTCTAAAAAAAAAGTAATAATAATGTCTTTATTTCTTAGCTTCTTAGCTTGGTTAGAGTTATTGAATTAAAGAAGGGAAACCTACTCTAGTTCCAAGCCAATTTTTTCCCGCAAGTCTTCAACTTGCCGCTCGTAACTTTGAATTTCATTCAAAAATCTCGCATTTTTCGACTCCTGCAATCCATCTTTCTCTTTTCTTTTTTCAATTGGGAATGACCTGGTGAACTTCATTTTGCTTCAAATCCTCCAATGCCTTTTTCAAGTCTTCGTTTTTGGTCAGGATTTTTTCAAGTTCTTTATCAGTTTTCACTAATTTTTCGCTCATATCTTGTTTTTTCGTGGCGATTCGTGTAATTTGTGCCTTCATTTGGTAACCTGAAAAAAACTTTCTGGTTTCTTTTTTAAATAACCAGGATGAAGAAAAAAAGAAACTGACTATCATTTTCTGCTTGAAGAATCATTTCCTCCATATTCTTGAACCTTTTTGTGGCCTCTTTTTCGTTTTTTCGTAGTGTTTCGAGCCTTTCGAGAAACTTCTCGCGTTCTTTCTGGACTTTTCCGATTTTTTCTTCGATTTTTTCGTTGTTTTTGGCAAGCTTCTCGTTTTTGGTAGTGATTTCTTGTAGGGACTTGTTGCTGTCGAAAAGATTCGTTTTCTAAAAAGTTAAAAAAAGATTAAATGATCGGAAAAAATCTTATTTAGGGTAGTAGGAAAAATAGAAGCTTTAACAGGTGGAAAAAAATTTCTGTTCGTTCATCACCCCCCCTATGAGGAACTATGATTTATTTCACCTGTTTTTTTGGCAAACGTAGTCAGACTTTTTTTCAGAGGATGTAAACAGCTTCAGTTGTGTTAACAACTAGAAACGAGGTCAATTTAAAAAAAAAAGGTTGTGAAATTTTTAGCTTTCGAAAAGGGAAATGAAATATTTAAATATAGAACTAAAGAGAGTTTTATCTTTTATACAAAATTTTGAATGAAGAACTTTTCAGATTTTCGCAAGCCTTTTCGAAAATTTTTTTGGAAGTATGATAAATCCTGAAGTGAGAATTTTAACAAAAAAAAACCATTAGCTGTAAATGGTGGTCGAGTTGAGCGTTAACGTTGTCGACATGCTTTTCAACGGACTTTTCGTACTTTTTGCGGCCTTCCTGTAATTATTATATGTAAATATTTTTCTTATCTTATCCAATAAAAAAATGATAAAGTTAGAGTATCTGATTTCTTTTTTTGATAATTAGAAAATAGTCACATTTATACGAGTGGAAGCTGTGGGAGCGGCAATCATTTATTGAAGTTTTTTTGAAAGTTGATTTTATCTGAAAAAAATTTTTCATTTCAGTGAATTAAGAGAAACGAACAAGTTGAAAAATTCCTGAACAAATCTGCGAATGAAGTAAAAAAATTAACAGATGTTGGAAAGGAGAAGGAAGTCACAAAGTATGAATCAGTTTTTTGTTGCATGTCTCTCTTCTCAGAATTTTTTGTGGTTTGCATTTAGCCAGGAGAATTTTTTCTCAGAATCAGACTTTTTCTTTTTTCGATTTGAAACATCAAAGCTCTTTCGATTTCGACTTTTGAGAAAGAAGCCCTCAATTTTATTTTCTTCTCGAAATATTTTGCGATCCTGTAGCTCAATTTCTGGTTGAAAAGATTTTCGCTGGAATGCTAAAAAGTATAAAATAAGCTTACTACATTGGGTAAAAAGTACATAATAAAAAAATCGTTTGAATTCAAGATAATGAGGTCCCAAAATGGTCGAAACGACGTCAAATGAAGCTTTCATTTCTATATTTTGATAGATTCCGTTTCAGTTCTACGAAGGGTTAACTTAATAAAACCTTATGAAGAAAATCTTTGAAAAGTTCTTTTTGAAAAAATTATTTAGTTATCCAAGAAACAAAACGAATGATTCATGAAAAAAACAGAAAAGGGTGCTTTTTCCTTGAAAAAGTTCTTCCATATGGCAACGTCTCCATGGACGACAGTCAAACAACAAAAAAAAAGAGCTTGAATACTTTTTTCTCCTTTTTCGATGCGTCAGAGAACAGAAAAAAGGATATTTATACATCTTTATATTACAAGGATTCGAATTGAATAGAAGAGAAGGTGGCCGTGGAGACGTCAAATGTCTAATCCTCTCGAGATATTTTGTCAAGGCGGATTATCCCAGCCACAGTACTTTTCAGTAGTCATGAATCGACTCTGAGTAACTAGTTGGTAAAATTGAGGTCCAGCATCATTCTTTCCACGCGGTTTTTCATTTCAATTCTTTCTTTTTTCCTCGTCATCTTCTTAGTACAGATACTCGATCACCGTTATAAACTGAAAACTTTCATGAAAGTCTCAAATCGTAAGCTTTTTTCCTATTGATCCCCATTTTTCGTGCCCTATGAAGCTCTTGGAGCCAATTAATTCGGGGCGAGTATTTTGGTCGTTTGCACTTGAACAATAACAAATCTTTTCGCGTTCTTTTTATTTTTGAGTCGCGTTTGGCGGCACCCAATTGATCTTGAAAAAAACTTTTGATTTCCGAAAAAAGTTTTCTAACTTCAGAAAGAGGAGAAAAAAAAAATGGAAGAACTACTGTTGCGAGTGTTGATGCACGCCATCTCCAACTTGGTCTCCATTCCGACTTTTGTTATTTTATGCTCTTATTCCTCACTTCATCAGAACTTTCGGTGAGTTGCTTCATTCTGAAAGAATACCACTGTTTATCATAAAATCTCCTTTCCTAGTGATTAACTTCTTGATTTATTTTATGACACATCATTAAAAAAGGCAAATACACCAGTCGATGGCTAATATTTTGAAATCAGCTTCAAATTTTCTAGTTATTAACTTGTCTTTTTCGAATTTCATATATTTCTAATTATCAAATTCAATCATTTATAGCTGGAAATTGATTTTTCGCTCAAAAATATCTAACAAGAGAGATCATTTCGCTTGACGATTCCGAAATTTTAGAAAAAGAGCCCTGGGTTTTTTGGAAGTTTTCTCAGTTAATTTTGAACCGTTTTTTTTAAAAAGTCATCGCTTTATCCTCGATGTTACGAATAATGAAAAAATCGAAGTCACTGAAAAAATTCATTTTTTTTTGATTAGTCAGTTCCGTCAGGAAATAAAAGAAGCTCTATTTTTCCTTTTCTCAAATTTAATGCCCTTATTTTCAAACTTGCACCTTGGGCAGCTGAAAAATGAGAATAATAAGATGACGCTATTTTTCGAAAGCGTACGATTATCCAAAATCGGCAGAGAACATTTTTCGATTTGCAGAACAATCCTCATAATCATCACCATTTCGGGCAATGTTATATCGATCATGTCCTACGTGCAATGCTACTTTATGTACGTTGACAGGACGGTATTACAAGATGTGGGTTTGGAACAAGTTTTCCTGAAACTGAATGGTCCAGAGGAAAATATGAGAAACATAGAAAAGGGTCAAAGTTTTGAACCTTCAGACTACTGCTGATAATTTTTTCAAACGATTTTTCTCTATGTCAAAACTTGGAAAAATTTATTGAATAGTTCTTCAATCAATATGCGACAGACTCAAAAGTACTTTCGCGCAAGCACATCGGTAAGCCTGAGAGCAGCCGACCAATAATTTCAATATAACTTAATTTACACCGTAACGCATTGAATTTTTGGGCGCCGTAACCAGTCAGAAATGTATTAAATCCTCAATTTCAGCCTTCTGATGCCATATCGATAATGTTGTACATTTCGACGTTCACCTTCGTCTTCGCCAACCTTTGTCTGACTTTGGAAAGGCTTCTCGCCGTTCAATTCGTCGCCCATTACGAAAAGTACTCGGCATACAACAGTGCAGCTGCCGTGACGGCTTTTGCAACGGTTGATTTCGATCTGTCAAATTATGAATGTGTATCAGAAAAGTTAAAGGTAGTCCCGGCTGTGATATCCGGCGCAGTGGTCTGTTTCCTGCAAACAGACGTCTTGCCAGTTTGTATTCTTCTGCTCGGATGCAGTACGGTCAGCGCTGTGGTTGGTCTTTGTTTCTTACTAGAAAGGTCGTTTTGTTTTGCGCTTGGGAATGTCCTGAAAATTGGTTGGAAAACTTGTTGATGTACCCGCTGAAGATCCGAAAGATCCGAAACCAGCCATTTCCGAGAAAACAGGTATCAAAGTCGAAGAGAACCGACAAAGTCCGTTAAAATAGACTAACTCAGGACCTTTATTTGGTTTATCAAGGAATATTCTGGCCTATTTTTAGAAAACTCTAAGAGCAAAATGACCTTCCGAGATGTTTCTGTTGATTTTTTCATGTGTTCGAAAATTGACGAAAATTTCAAAAAATGCTTTTATTTTTTCTGTTTTCTTTGATTGTATTCAATTTTGCCAAAATAACATTATGTATGCGGTCGCAGTGTCTTTTTGTTTAATCCTGTTTTTTTTTGAAACCGACCACGTCTCAAAGAAAAAAGTTCTGTTCGATTCTAATTCAGTTAACTGTTATCTTTTAGTAAAAGTACAATCACTTCCAGATTTCATTGGTTCTGCGGTACAAGACGAGGTCCAATAAAGTCGTTTCGATGGACTATTCGCTGAGGAAAAAGTTCCAATGGGAAGAAAACCAACGGACGACGCCACTCTACCTCTACATCTCCTTGAATGAGATCTTCTCGGCGATTCTGATAGCCGTCGTCATTTACCTTTACAAGACTGACTATAACAATATTTTGTTCACTTCAAAGTTCGACGATCACCTAGCCGACGCCCTTGACGTTGTGAGTTGTTTGTATAGTTGTGAAATTAGATTCAAAAAACCTACGAAGAGCATTAAAGAAACAATCGTGATATTTTTTCGCAATTTTCAGTAGGAACTGAACATTTTTAAGCCAGTATTGACTATATTTGGGTTTTCATCGCGTGAACCGGAAAAGTTAAAAGTCTTTGGGTTTAGATCTCGGCCTACCGGACCTTATTCACCCATCTTGCCGTGATCTACTACAGCAAAGTCCAGCGAACGGCGCGAAAAAGGAAGCAAATGACAGAACTCTCGTCGGCGCATTTGGCAACCGAGAAGTATTTCGAATCCATCAATGAAATGTGGAAATGAAGCATGGATGGCCGCGGAGCGGGTTGTGTGCCGTTATCGAAGAGAAAACGAAGAAATTGAGAGCTTTGCTTCATTTTTTTCTGTAAGTTTTTGTATTATAAAGAGTTTCGTCCACAAATGGAGAGGCATTTCGAATGGGGTCAAAGAGTCGATTTGAAAAAAAAAAATTGAAATCAAAATAATAACTGAGGTTGTTTCAGGTAATAGTTTGATGATAACTTCAAAAAGGCAAACTGTCCTGTATTTTTCTAAGATTTGTTTCAACCTTCATTAATAATCTTGAATCTTTAAAATAAAGAATTTACTCGATTTTTTAAGGTTTAGTTTGTAAAGCTTTATTCGTTTAAAAACAATAACTTAGAAATGAAAGGAAACAAGGGTGAAGGGAAATAGGAAGGAATCATGAAATAACCAATAATTGTGGTTTCTTCTTCAAACGGTGTTCTTTTCAATGTTTGAAGACGGCTGTGCAGCGGACACTCGACGCATCAAGTGTGCCCATCGGCGACGAATTCACTTGCCAAACTCCTTAAAAGTCTTTCTTTCGATCTTTTTGATCCAAAACAATCCGAGGCTTTTGTGTTTCGTTTCTCAATGGCTTCTCTTGAATGAAAACGTGGGCGTGTATCCAAAAAAGTTTGATATTTTGATTTCCATCTATGCATTTTTTAATCGATTTTTAAAATGTTCCGTGAAAAAAATTTCTTTGAGAGCTTTTTCCAGTTCTAGTTAAAATCTTCCGATAAACCTTGATCTGAGCATTCAAACGTGACGGTGGTGGTCTCAGTGAGTCTGGTCCACGTGCCGTTGCCTCCGTCGATCTCCATGACCGAGTAACGATCCTGGCAAGCGATGGTCGCCGCCGAACATTGGAACCTCGTGAAGATGGTCGACACCATCACCGGAGTGCACGTCTCGCACGTCTCCAAGTACCGCGGTACTTCTCGGCACATACAAGCTCAAAGAAAAGGACGTCGTTCTTTTTATTATGTCACATTTGAAACTCGGCTCTCTCAGGAGAAGTTTTACCGACTTTGCTCAACGGAGGCTCTCTATGGTTTGCTAAATCTTTCATTTAATTATTTTTTTTTTTTTATTTAAAAGGCATTTAAGAAAAAGACATGTTCTGTTTGAAATCATCACGGAACAGGTAGTGATAATACCGAAGCTCAAAGCAAAGGTTTTTTTATTTCTTAAAAGTTCTAAATAAGTTATCCTTTTTTAGGATTCAGAAAAGACATGAATAGCTTCCAAAATCGCATTCTTCGAAAAAAAAAGCATCATAAATAGAGAATAAATGCATTGGAAGTTTTGTTATCAAAGATGAGTTATTCTTTTACCTCGATGCTTATGCTCAAAACTCACAAGTTTTAGTTGTCGTTGGCTCCGTAGACGTCGTGGTGAGAGTGGTCGATTCGACTGGAATATCAATTCTCAGAGGATAGCCTTCAGATGACGTCAGCCATCCAGAAGACGTCGTCGCGGTCTCCACGGTGATTTTCACATTGTCTATTTTGTTGTTGTTGTTGCCGTCAGGGTCCGTCGGCTTCTGTTCTGTGGGCTGAGGCTCAGGTTGCGGTTTGGAACAAGGTGAGCACGTCTGACTCTTTTCGCTGTTGTTGCTCTCAACGTTTTCAGTTTTGACTCCTTGTGCACGTGGGTTATCTGAAATTCATTTCGTACAAGGTTGGAAATATGTATGATAACAATCTGAAGTTGTCATTTATTTTCTTTAAAAAAATTTTAATCTTTCTAACGATCGAAAATCCATTATTGAAGCAAAAAACTAACCGTAGTGATGATAATAATCAACGCGAGAGCTGGTCCAGGGCTTCGGCGCGTTATGCGGAGCACAGGCTTGGATTTCGACCGTCGACACCAACATGGTCAGCCAAATCCACATCGCTCTTCCCGCCAAAGTTGCCATTTTGGTGTCGGCGTCGACTAGACCGTTTATATAGACCGTCCGAGGGCACTCAAGACGAAAATTTGCATAAAACTTGGAGGCTGGCGCTAGTTGGCGGCGGCGGACCGTCTCCTGTCGGTTGCAGGCGAGGGCGCCGTCGACGAGGACCGGCTCCACATCGAGATGCCATCCCACCAGAACTCCTGACCGTTGTCCGTTATTTTTTGATTTCAATTGTGGGGTCTTGCAAAGTTAGTCAACACAAGATCATTAAAATACCTTCTAGGTGGCATCTTCAATGAAAATAATCAACAGGAGAAATCAAGAAGGGTGAGGTTCGAAATTTTTAAGTTGGTTTTTTTTATGCTCAAGGTGGGACTTTATAAGGAAAAAACGACGTTAACAATTTTCAGACGATAAAAAGGGAAAATACTTCAAAATTTGATGTCCACATGGCGCGCATGTGCCTGAGTTTTCAAGGGATTTTTTTTGGAAATAACTGTATTTCTGACTGATAATGATCGATCCTCACTTACTGGTTAGTTTCCGACAGTGAAAATATTTCTCTAGTTCTTTTTTTCCGAAATCTTCTTCAGCCAGACGTTTTGGTGGTATGAAAAAAAGACCAGCGAAAATTCAAACGGCGACTTTTCCGATTTTTTCATATGGCTAGAGAACTTTCCGAGGGCCACCTTTCCGCCGAATCTTTTTCCGACTTTTTTTCTCGGTAAAATCTTCGTTTTGAATCTTCCTATATAAAGTAGGCAGTTTATTCATGATTAAAAAACAATGAAATAGGAAAAAAATGTTAATAGATGTTTTATAAATCGAAAAATATAAAGGCAAAAAGTCGGAAAAAGTTTCGTCGGAAAGGTGGCCGTCGGAAAATTCCCTAGCGATATGAAAAAATCGGAAAAGTCGCCGTTTTAATTTTCGCTGGTGTTTTTTTCATACCATCGACGTTTTGTGTCATTTTTTTTCCTAAATGTTCAAAAAAGTCCATTCCTAACCTTGGTGACGTAGATGATCATGACGAGCCACATAAAGAGAAGCAACCAGCCCAAGGCGCAAATTTCCTTGTCGCGACGGTCGTGGCACTCGCTCCCACATCCATCGCCCATCTCGCCGTCTCATCGGCTGAAAACGCGGCCAATTTCTTCTCCGATTCTTTGCTCCATGGACAACAACCGGCGACTTCCGAGCATGTCGCGCCAACGCAACGATATCGTCTTCGACACGGTTATTCCTGAACTTTGTCGCGATTATCTTAACGATTTTGGCGATGATTCACTGTTTATCGCTTTCCGTGACGTCAATTTTCAAGAGGATTCAGATGCAACCAACGAGAAAGCAGTGGAAGGAACAGAGAGGTCAGAATTTACGTTCACTTTTGTTTTTAATCTTGTAGCTCATAAAGAAGAATAATGAAAAAAAATTGATATTTTTGAGATAATCAAAAAAGGCAATCCATACAATCTCAGAAAGTCTCAATTTTTTTTCAAATTTCTGTCGAAGCATGCTGAAATAAACCTCCAATAATCAAAAACCACAGAATAAAAATAAAAACTCTTCCAAACTACTTTTTTCTTTCTAACATTTTGAGAGAGCATAGGGCGGTCGCGTACTAATCGCTTCCGCACAATAGGCAATCTTGGCACCTTTTCAAGTTTTTTTTTTCTGAAAAAGCCGCCCTTTTCAATGGTTGAAAAATGACAAACGAGTTATAACTTTTCGAAGGGATTTAATAATCAGCGTGTCCCAGGACCCTCATCGGCGTCGATGGCGTCAAATGCAGTGCCTCTCCTTTCGTGGTGACGTCACTTCGGCAGACGCGAATGCCTGACGTCACTTTCTCGGATTGTGGAGAAAATTGGAAAACTGAGCTTTCGGAAATTCTGAAGATTCCTCCAGATAGAATCACGAGTTCCCAGGACGGCTCCACCTTCTACTGCAAGGTTGGCTTTGACAACGACGCCACGGTGGAGCATTCCATAAATGACGTCATGAAGGCTCTGCGCGTCATTATTGTATGTGGTGTCGTCATTGAATCGATTGATAAGCTCATGCTCCCTTTTGTCTTCGTCGGAGAGTTGGTTATGGCTGTAACCAAAAGGGAAGAAAATATATTAGATGTGGAGTTCTTCAACTTCTTGGGATCTCTCTGCGGCAAGATCAAAGGCCTTCGATTTGCCCTCGATATCGAGAAAGTCGTATTTGATGTTCTTGAACAGTTGAAGATCGACTTAAAGTTTTTTGGAAGATTGGACGGCTTTGCTCAGATTGGACTGGACTCCTTGAAGCTGGCCATTTTGGAAGCACATATTCAGAAGAAAGTTGCAGTTCCTCTGGATCCGGCCTTCACAATGCAATGCAATAATCTGGATGAGCTCATCAAATACCTCAGACAAAAGACTTCGCAGAAAAAAAAGGGCGAGGATCCTTGTAAGAAACAAGATGAACCTCCGAACTTTCTGATACCTTTATCATCTCAACAGATCAGTATTCTATTCATGGTCGAATGGGCGCCTGAGGAGAGTGATCAGCTTTTGGAAAAGTTACAGTTCAAAATAGCCAATCTCAACTCTAAAAAGTTTTGTAAATGCCTGAACTACTTGGTAATGACCCACACCATTCTGAGAACAACGTACAGCAAAAATGGCTACCAAACGATAACTTCTGCGACGGAATGCTTCATCTCTACTTCCAAGTCGAAAAAAGAAAAAGAATCTGAAGAAATAATCGCGCTCCAAGTCGATATTGATCAAGATGACGTCACCTTGATTTTTCATCACATTGCGACTGACGGGACTTCGATTTCCATTTTGACAAGACAACTACAAAATTTTTATAACAAATATAATTTCCACGCACCTGATCGATTTCCTCAATATTATGACTACATTCAGCAAAGATCCGTGGATCATACCGAAGAAATATCTTTTTGGAAGGCCTATCTTGGTGATGCAAAATCTAAATGCGAAATTTTCCCCACTGACAAACCTAGAAGCGTCGATCTATCTTTTGCAAGCAAGTCAAGAACTTTCGAAATTCCAAAACCGGTCCAAAAGGCTCTTCAAAAGGCCTGTGTCGAGTTTTCAAGCTCGTTTTTCGAAACGATAATGGCCACATTAGGATTGACTCTGAGAAAAATGATAGGAAGAGAGGAAATTATTATTGGAACGGCTGTCGATCTCAGGACGTCCAGTTATGCTCAAACTGTCGGAAACTTTGCCAACCTTGTCCCGGTGGTTCTTCGAGGCAGTTCCGATAGCCTAGTGGAAGGTTATCATAAAAGTTGTCGTGATACAATTCGCCTATGTCGACGCCATGCCTCGCTGCCTTTCGACAAGATCGTCGGTGTTTCTGACGTCGTCAAAACAGAGATAACCTCTCCTTTGTTTCAGATTCTTCTGGTTAACGACACTTTTGACGTTGTTGATTTTGATCATATCGATTCTGGAGCTTTTTTTGCGAAATATGACCAAACTTGGTATCTTCGGAAAGGTCTTGCCGGCTACTACCTCGTTGCTGAATATCGAGGAAACTTATTTCACGAGAGAACGATTGATGCCATAGCGCAGAACTTTTTCCGATGTTCGATAGCAACTCTGCACTCTTTGAAAATCAAAGATGTATCACTTTTTTCAAAAATTGAGCAGAAACAGAAAGAAAAAAACATCGACTTTCCGTTGACTACATTACTGCAGTATTTCTTGAAAAATAAACATGGAACTTTTAAGTATGAGGAACAGGAGTTGAGTTATGTGGAGATCAAGCTGAAAGTCATCCAAATGGCAATACTCATTCGAAAAACTTTTTTCAAAACGTATGGGCATTTGCCAACAAATGGTAATTGTGCGGTGATTAAACTGAAAAGAAGCTTCGACCTGATTATTGCTGTTTTGGCTTCCTGGAAGCTCTCTCTTTTCGTTTTCCCAATCAGCGAAGCAGTGCCAAAGGCCAGAATCGAACATTTCGCACAAACTTTAGAGAATCCGATTTTTATAACAGACCAGTCCGTTGAGAAGTATCCATATATTGATGTGACTAGAATTTCCCAAAGGAAAGAGAAAAATTCGAACTTCCACAACGCTGTCATGAGCCATGATTTGAGCTACGTCACGTGTACCTCCGGATCTACTGGAACTCCAAAACTCGTCTGCACAGAGTTCCACGGTCACGCTAATTTAGCTCTGAACTACGCGATCCTTCTCAAAATCAATCAAAATTCTGTGATCTACCAACTAGTCAATCCATCTTTTGACATCTTTTTCGCCGACTTAGGAAAAGCCGTCGTCCATGGAGCATCTCTGACCTTCGCTTCGGAAGACATCGTCAATGAACACGAGCTTGAAGACGTCACACACGCCTACATCATGCCGGCCTACCTTTCCAGATGCAAAGACTTCTCTATTTTCCGATCTATGCAGAGCATCCAGTTTGGAGGAGAGCCAATCAACCAAAACTTGCTCAAGGAGCTTCGAGAAATCAAATTGATCCAGGAGTTCGGGCTGACGGAACAGACCGTCTACTCTGCCTACACTGAAATGTCAGAAAATACAAATACTCGAGAGATAGGACCTTGTTATTTGAACGTAAAGTTTGTGTTTCGAGATGTCGACGGAAGCCTGGCTCCGAGGGACTGCTTCAGGGCTCAGTTGCATTTGGCCGGAGTCGGACTCATGCGTGGGTACTATGGAGCTGGAGCTGCAGCCGACGAGTTTCCAACTGGAGATTTGGTGATGACGTCATCGGACGGAAAACGGTTTTTCGTTGGCCGAGGCGACAGTCAAGTCAAACTCCGCGGCTTCCGAATTGAGCTCCATGAGGTTTGATTTTATAAAATGAATAGATTTATAAAATTCGGTAGTTCATAAGTTTAACCAATTTTTTTGTGTCAAAATTACAAAAATATCACACACATTTATTTTTATACCCGTTTTCAAAGTTCTGAAAAAAACATTCAAGTAAAATTATAGGTCGTACAAAAATTTTTATTGTACATCATGGAAAAATTCTCATCAAAGAATGGAAAAGAGTGAAAAATTATTATTCAGATTGAGAGCGTGGCAAATCAAACTGAATTTTGTCGAGAGCTGCGTTCCTGTCGTTCAGCAAGAGAAAGTCCGTCTTTATTACACCTTAAAAGAGAAGAAATCAGGTATCAATTTTCGAAAACTGCTGATGAATCACCTTGAGCAAAATCTTCCATCTTATATGGTCCCGAGTAATCTCATACTGCTCGATACTATGCCAACTACTGCCACAGGCAAATTGGACCGTCGGAAGCTGCAAGAACTGTCTTTCGAGGAGCAAAAACGGGAACAAGATGAGTTTGCAAGTCTGAGTGAAATGGAGAAAACGCTTCAAAACTATTTCGAGCAGTTCGTTGGCCTGGAAATTCCAAAAAAAGTGGACATTTTCGACAATGGTGTCGATTCAGTAATAGTCATGCTGGTAGCGCAGAAGTTGAGGAAAATTGGAGTTTTGGTGGCGCTGAAAATATTTTTCAGGTTTAGAACAATTGAAAAAATTTGTCAAAATTTCAACAAGGAGAATAAAGCGATCAAAATTGAAGAGAACAAGGGAAGTCATGACCGAATAAATCTCAACCACATTCAACAGAGGATGTTATTTCTTATGAAGATGGGCGAGCCGGTTCATCTTGCGTTCAGAATCTGGATAAAAGGCGAACTCAATCGCCGTCAGCTTCTTAAAGCTTGCAACTTTGTTATTCTGAACAATACGCTACTGAGAAGCTTTGTACAACGCATCCAAGAAAGTTACTTCTTCCAACCTTTGTCAGCCACGGAATGTTATATTTCGCTCGAATCTCCTACAGTCCAAGAAGATCATCTTGTTCAAATATCCCTCGCTAAACTGGACATCGGGACCTGGAGGCTGGACTTCAAACTGAATCATTTGATTTGTGACGCCAGGTCGCTAACAGTGATGACTGATCAAATCATCAAATCTTATTTCGGTGATAAGGTCAGCTTTGAGAATTCTTTCTTGCAACCGTCTACAAGCACAAAAATATTGGAAAAAATAACTTACAAACCTCTTTTTGCCGATTCCGATCTCGGCGTGACAAAAATCTTCAGGGAAAGCTTGGTTTTTGATGAGAAAGCCGCGGCGAAACTCCACAAATGCTCGATTTTCGATCTTTTTGCCCACTCTTTTGCCAAATCGCTCTGCCAAACTTTTAAGCTGGAAGATTTGATGTTCGGAGTGACATTTTCAAACAGAAACGAACATAATTGGAACACCATCTCAATGCTGGCCAATACACTCCCGATATCTGTCAGCTATCAAAAACTGAGTGTGGAATTTGTTGCCGAACTCGTGAGAAAAAGAGCTGAAATGTCAAACATTCCTCTGACGGCGCTGATTCGAAACGGAAAATCTTTTGATTTCGTTATCAATTATCATCATTCTGCTGCTCCGAAGAACTGGAAAGTAGGGAGCTTCGAACTGCAAACTGAAGATATTTTTCAGGAAACTCCCCAATTTCCACTTTCTCTTACCATCTTTAGGTCGTCTGAGGACAACTTTGAACTTTTGTTCGAATATTCAGATGCCTTAATTTTGGAACAGGAAGTTTTAAACGTTTTCGACATTCTCAAAAAAAACCTGACTCAATCCGAAGTGATGGATACAATCATCGAGATCTTTTCAAAAACTTTGAAGTGTCCAGTCGACCGAAATTCTAACTTTTTCGACCTTGGAGGACATTCTTTGTTGGCTATGACCGCTGTAGACCAGCTTTGTGACAATCTCAAAGTGATCATTCCATTGAAGTTGATTTTCGACAACCCGAAAGTTCAAGATTTGGCAGAGGAGATTGATCGGATAATTGAAATAAATAAAAAGGTATGTAATTTTAAGGCTCAAATGGTAAACGAAGTTGAAGATCAAATCAAAAAAACAGATGAAAACCAAGAAAATACCAAGCAACCGAAAAGAGAAGTAGAACCAAAAGAAAAGAAGAAAATGGAAAGCAATGGAAAATCATTCAATACGCGACATGGAGGAACTCTAGAGAAGGAAAAGTTGAAGCGAGAAGTCAATAAAGACATTCATGCTGGATCTATTCAGAATCTTCAAGAAGAACCTGCGAAACCAGACGAAGCAGCTCCATTCAGAACAAATTTTCCTCTGTCCAGCCAACAACTTCAGATGTTCTACCTCTCTGAGCTTGACCTGGGAACCGAATACCAACTTCCCTTCATCCAAGTCTTCCCAAAATCTGTTGATATTTCTTCAATTCACCGCGCCCTGCTCTCAACCATGCAAGAACAAGCCGTTTTTCGGACTTCCTTTCATTTTGATTCCAATCTCGGCACTCCCATCCAAATTATAAATTCAATCACCAGATCTTACATCGCTCTCCAGCCAATCGAAGTTGAGAAAGAAAACGAAGTCAATGAGAAAATAAGAGAATTATGTCATCAGAAAATCTCTTTAAGCGGAGAAGTTCCTCCGGTTAGAGCGAATATTTTGATCACCAGTTCTAGAGTTATTGCCTTCCTCCATTTGCATCACATAATCAGCGACGCAAGATCGACTCAGCTCACCAATCAGAGCATCGCTAAATTCATGTCGTCAGACCAATCTCCTAGGAGACTTCAGAATTCCTACGTCGATTATTGCATTGAAAGCAAGGAGATCAAGATTGAAGATGGTTATTTAGAGAAAGTCGCTACGAATTCTCAGAGAAATGCGTGGGAATCCTGTACTCCTCAGGTCCGAAAACTGGACATTTCTAAAGAACAAGTTCACAAGTCCAACTGCTCTCCATTCACCGTCTTCCTAAAAGCCATTTCGAAAGCCATGAGCTCCTACTCGAAATCTGGAAGTATAAATATTGCTTTCCCTTTTGCTAACAGAAATCAATCAACTGATCAGATCTGCGGGTACTTTCTTAACAATCTGGTGGTCTCAATTGATACCGACGATGACCTACAAATGATTGCCAGTAAAGTGAATGACGTGATAACTTTCAATTATTCGTTTGCCGGGCTGCAGAAGTCTTGTCGAAGGATTTCGAAAGATGAAACTCTTCGAATTTCCGACGTCTACGTCAATTGCCGCTACGACTTGGAGTACGACGAGACGGACGATGAGAACTTGTTGAGTTTGGTTCCCTTGAAATGTCACTTTGCGGTCGAGTTTGACATCGATTCTCACCCTGGCTTTTACAGAATAAGCTTGAGATCAGCTTCTTTAACTTCTGGGGAGATCTCAAAAATTCTAGCAAATACTGGGAAAGCTTTGAGAATTTCAAGGAAAACAAAAAAAGTAAGATTCTCAATATCTTCTATGGAAAGTTCAGTTGACGGAGGGCAGCGGGATTTTCCTGAAAAATCACTGACAGCGCTTCTCAAAATGTTTCTCAAGAAAGGTGATCAGAAAGTATTCATTGATAATTTGTTTGGAACTTGTCTTACTTACGGAGATTCTACAAAGAAAATCTTTCAAATGACCTCGGCTATCCGGAAAAATTCCTTCAGAATACGAGGCCGTTTTCTGAGGTCGGATGATGTCATTGCCGTTGTTGGGAAAAAGTCGCCGAGAACAATTTTGAGATGTCTTTCGGTTGTTTTTGCTGGTGGCGCTTATGCTCCGTTCGATGAGAAGAATCTGAACAGGAAAGTATTAACAAGGCTGGAAAGTTTCTTTGCTTGTTTTACCGACAAGCCTATAGAAGGTCTTTCTCACTCTTTTTCTGTTGATGAACGACTCTCGGAAAATTCTGATGTTTTCTTTCAGAACCTGCCTAATAACCTGGCCTACGTCGTTTCAACTTCTGGAACAACTGGAGAGCCCAAAGGCGTCTGTATCGAGCATCGGTCTGTCGCCAACCTCTGCTTCACTTCGACTCAAGACTTTTCCGTGAAAAGTTCTGATGTTATTTATCAGTTCACAAACTTTATCTTCGATAACAGCGTTCTGGAAATTATGATGACCGTTAGCAATGGAGCGAAGATGATAGTCGAGGAAGAGCCTTTCGATCCGAACATATTTTCCGAACTAATAACTCGGAAGAAAATATCTCACTGTTTGTTGTTTCCCAGTTTGGTGAGCACCTTTAATGATGAGCAGTTGAGAAGTCTGGCCAAGCTCCGATACTGGATAGTTGGAGGAGAAGTTCTTCCTCAGAAGCTTCTCGATAAAGCTTTATCCGTGGGGGTCAGTGTTATCCAAAACTATGGACCGACGGAAACAACGGCCTATGCCGTTTCGAGAAGAATGAGGAGGGGAGATGCCTCGCGGACGATCGGAAAGGCTGTTCCAAACACATTTGCCGTGATTGGAGAAAATTCAGAACTTTGGATCGGAGGTGTTGGAAGAATGAGAGGGTATTTAAATGGCAAAAACAGCTTTTGTCGACAAAAAGGCAGAGTTTTCTACAAAACTGGAGATCTTTGCTCGACTTCCGAGGCTGGTGACATCGTATTCCAAGGAAGGACGGATTCGCAAGTTATTTTTTTTCGAACTTTAATGGATAACATTTTTTTTTGCAGATCAAGATTCGCGGATTTCGAGTTGAGCTTGGAGAGATTGAAAGCTGCATTGAAGAACTGGAAAACGTTCAGAAGTGTGTCGCCATATTCGATAAGGAATTTCAGCAAGTTTTTGCTTTTGTCGTCCCGAAGCAAGCTGATTTAGAGACAATCAAAGTTTATTGCGAAGAGAATTTAGAGACGCACAAAAGACCGTCAAAAATAATCTCTTTGGAAGCTTTTCCTGTTACGTCAAACTCAAAAATTGACAAGGAGAAGCTACTGAAAAGAACTTTTGAAGTGTCTGTTCCGACCCCAGAAGGAGAAGACGTTGAGCAGAAACTCCGGAGGATCTGGGAAGAAGTCTTGGGAACGTCGGACTTCACTTCAACTGATCACTTTTATCTCATCGGTGGCCATTCTCTGCTTCTAATGAAGCTCCGTCACTCAATTTCATCAAAGTTCGACCTGAATCCCCCGATTTCTGAGCTTTTGCCAATGCTTAAATTTTGCGACATGGTCAATTACCTTACGTCATCGAAAAAATCTATGACGTATTTTGAAACCCACGAAAAGACGTCTAGTTCAATTTTTGTTTTCTTCCCTGCACTTTATGGTGGCTGCACAGCTTACTCATTTTTAGTTGAATGTCTTCGAAAAGATGCTGGAACTTTGATTCTTCTTGAAGAGGAGTTTGGAAACAGCCTCGAAGATCTAGGGACGCAATACAGGAATCAAATAAACAGAAAAGTGAATCAAAAAGAAGAAAGAGAGGTAATATTCATCGGCGCTTCTGCTGCTGGGACCATGGCTTTTGAAACTGCGAAGCATTTCCGAAGAATTCGATTAGTTATGATTGACGCCGGAACTTTTTACAAAGAGATTGGCAAACTCTCGTATCACCAGCATTACGAGGTTCGTTTGGTTGTTTCGGCCCAAAAAACACAAAAATTCCTCCAAAAAACTTTTTTGGTTTTTTTTTCTTCAAAAGGAACTTTTTCAGTTAGATTCCATGCTGAGAAAGCATTCAATCTTCCAAAAATTGCGGTTTCCAGGATCTTAGGAAAAATCTCCAACTCTACGAAGTCGACGCAACGAGCATCGAAGAGATGGCGGAGAGCTCCTGGAAGTTGCTCCAAATGCTGAGGACTTATGTCCCGAAGAATTCTCCTCACCGGATCTCCGTTTTTTCGATTGATGGGTCGGACCTTGGATGGAAAAAGTTGGATTTATCTAAAAAATAATTTTCTGTAGTTGAAAATATTATTCAGATACTGTGAAGAAGTCAATGTTGAGAAAATCGGAGGCGATCATCTGACAATGATGGGGAGAGATCACGCGGCTGGACTCGCGGAGAAAATCAGGAAATTTTTCTTGATAAAATGATGATAGGCGATAGAGGAAAATCAAGTATCAACCTCATCTTTATTTTTTGACCCTTCTTTGAGAATTCTAATCATATCATTAATATCAAATAATTTCTTTCAGCCAATCGTTCAGTTCTCTCAATTCGAAAAACATCTCACAACTGTTTTCAACGAGACTTTATTCAAATAAGTTCAGTATTTCGAAATTGTATATAAATTCTTTCCACGTCAGTTCCCATGAAATGCAAATAGAATAGTGTTTGTGCAAATAATCGAACCTACCTTTCGTTTCCCCGCAAAAAAGCTTTGCCGTTTCAGCTTTTTCTCTCTTCGAAGTGTAAATTATATATTGCCTTCTTCTAGATAATTTGCACTTTCCCATACTTTCCCGTCGAATCTACGTCATCCCTTGACGTTGTATAGTTTCTATTTTAATCCATTTTTATAACTGTTAATTATTTCCTCATTGTTTGTGTCACAAGTTAATTAACTCACCTTATGAAGCAATTTTTTTTCTTTTTCAGCTTCTTCGTGTCCAAAAGCAATTTCATTATTCATTCATTTTTTTTTTTGAAAGAAAACCCTGATTAATTGAGAAAAGTTGGCTTACGTCCGAATATTTACCAATGCAAACAAGAATGTAGTCTGTTCGCCGCGGCTCGGGAACTCGAAAGTTTCAAAGCGCAAGATTGAAACTTATTTCAGCATGTCCTGAAATTTTCGAAAATTTTTTCACTGCACCGGATCCCATTACTTGGAGCGAGAGAGCACATACGAGATAGAGAGTTTCAGAATGGAATGTCTGCGCTCTCTTTTCTCTCACCGGCCGTCTCACTGTTCTCCACGATTTCGTATCGTCCGCGCCGGTGAGAGAGCAGGAAGCGCAGACAAGCCAGGGTGTTTCAGGAGAGGCTAATGCGTTCTCGGAAGGATTCAAAAAACTCAATCGACAAAATCAAGTCGATGTTATAGTCAATGTTTCCCGACTTGAAAGGCGAGGGAGGCGGGGAAAGGGGCGGGGCGCGTAGCGTGTGCGTTCGCGGTTCTTGGCACGAGTTCAATTCAACGGCCAGCGAGCATTCAGAGAGCTCATTTATCGCTCTTTTTACTTCTTTTTTAATTATTTATTGATTATGTTAATTTGTGCATCAAAAATTAGTAGAAAATACAGAGAAAGAGCGGTCGCCGAGCTTTTTACATAGTCGGCGGCGATTGAATTGAACTGGCGCCAAGAACCGCGTGCGCACACGCTACGCGTCCCGCCCCTTGCCCCGCCTTCCTCCCCTTTCAAGTCGGGAAACATTGACTATACAGAGCCAACTTTTTTTCTGGATTTAAAATTTTGGGAAACAGTTTTCATTATGATCTATAAAAATGGAAAAATTCTTCAATAAGAAAGAAGCGACAGCTCCGCTGAAGTCTCCGGCAATTGATGAATCATCCAATTGTCAATATTGGGCAGCTTCACACCAGATGACATCATCTAACCTGACCGTGGATGAGAAAATTCCATAATACCGTTTCATTTCTGTTTGAGAATAAATTAGACCCCATTGAGAATTCCAAATCAACAAATAATGGCAAAAAAAAATTAAAGCTTCTATCCGATCTTCTGTTCAATTTCTAATCAGTCATGAGCATTAAAAACCATCTTCTGAGATGAATTTTATGGCTTTCCCAATATTTTTGATGAATCATGGATGTTTGCCTTTTTATCAGCGACGAAATCAAGCGTCAAGTCAGAGTCATAAGACTGTATCACGAAATTCTCCAGCTATCTCCTTTCTTTCTCTTTTTCCGATTGAATATAAAGTCGTCTTTTTCCAGAAATAAACTGATCTTTCTCGACCTTGGACCGCAGAAGTGGCATCGAAAATGACCGATGAGAAGGTAAAAATGTCTTATTTCAAGTCAGATATCAATACTTCATTTAACAGGTGAACCCTACGACCTACGAAAATCAAGCTTTCCAAACTTCAAATCCTCCGCCGTCCTACACAGTAAGATTTAATTTTCATTTTCTCAAGAACTCTCATTATTCTATGTGAAAGTAAATGGTCAATTACATTTTGAACTTGCAGGAAGCCTCGACTGCGCCTCAATATCCTCCCGTAGGAGCTGGAGTTCATCCAGTTTATCCGCCAGGACAACAGCCAAATGTTGTCGTTTACACCTTGGATCAACCTCAACAGGTATGTCTCTAACTTTTATTTATCCGCCTATTCGGAAATTAACTTCAAACGAAAAATAATTTTCAAATGTTCAGGTTCACGTGCAGCCAACGGTCGTCGTCGTCAGAGGCGTGAAAACTGCGCCATCCTATGATCCTTACTTGGAATACTGCCCAAAATGCAAGGTTAGCTTTAAAAAGTTAAGTTTTGGAGAATAATCAACCTTTTTCCAGACGAATGTGGTGACAAACACGCACTACGAGATGGGTTTCTGCTCCTGGCTGATGCTCTTTCTCGGAATTTTCCTCTTCTTCCCACTTCTGTGCTGCTTTTGCCTCAAAAGCTTCAAAGATGCCCGCCACTTCTGCCCCAACTGTGGAACTCTACTATCAGTTAAACGTCGATAATTTTTGATTTCCACCTTTCATCTTCGCATTATTTCTCACGCAACAAAATAACCGGTATTAATTGAAGTGGTAGCTGCACAATTGTAAAATAAACTCGTGACATGTTTTTTTGTTCGATTCTTCATGAAAATAAAATTTCTCAAATTAAAATGTAAATTGAAAGAGAGCATTTCTTCTTACAATTTGAAAAAAACACTCAATTCAAATTTTTTTTAATAATAGTTTTATATGATTTTTTTATTCCTAAAACGGCAGAGATTTTTTTCTGACATATGTAAAAAAATTTAAATAAATTTGAAAAACACTAAAAAAAGAGAAAAAGTCGTTTGTCACAGATGTGCTCCTTCGCAAAGCGTGCAAATTTGTGTCACTGTGAAGTAAAATAGCGTTTTCGAAATTTTTTTAACGATAAAAAAATTTTTTTATGGCGTTTTTTTATAACTTTTTTTTTCGGATCGCAAAAACGTGTTCATGTTTCGGATTGCAAAAACGTGTTCATCGGCACACCAAAGTTACTGCAAAACAGCACTAATTTTTGTTTGGGATCATATTTCTTGCGTTTCGGAACAATTTTCGTTTTGTCCGATGAACATGAAATGAAATGAAAAAAATTTCATTAATTTCGAAGTTTTTTTTAATTCAATGCGACCGCCTATAAAAAACGACCGCTTACTTTGTGCTCCATCGTAAATTTAAAAAAAAAAACGGGCGATACTTTCAAAAAAAAATAACTGGAGAGAACCACTGATCAAAAACAGTCGAAAAATTGAATTTTTGTTAGATTAAAAGCCAGAAAACGCCCGTTTTTCATTAATTTTCGATAGAGTACAAAAACGGTCGTTTTTTATAGGCAGTCGCATTTTGTAAATGCCCGCACTTTATATGCCCACTGGTCTAATTCACGACCGGTCGGGCACGCATGGCCGGCACAAACGTTACCAATTCACGTTCTCGCATTTTCGCTCTGTCTAAAATCTTTTTTTTCCGCGAACGTCATTAATGCACGACCTGTTCTTTTTGCTCAGTTTCAATAAAATTTTTTTATACTTATTTCCAATATTCATGATATTCTTTCAAGTAAATATTCCTTTTTTCTATACTTTCAAGATACCGCTAAATTTTTGAAAAGGTGTTTGACATTATCTGGCAGCTAAAGGGGATTTTTTCGTGGTTGGTTCTTTTTTTCTTGCAAAATGACGGACTTTTATAAACGAGAAACTCCCGGAAAAATGTACAATTCGTACTGTCTCATACCCTATTGATCTATTCCTTGTCATTTTTTTCAGTAAAAAATGAAAACTTGCCAAGTTTTTGTTTCAAAGTCTGTAAATAATTTTTATCTGCACGAGAAAATTTGTTGATTCCGCTCTGTGATAGTAATTGAAAAGATTAGGATTTTTCAATACTGAAATGAAATAAATATCATTATCGAAAATTTTTTTTTATCAGTTTCTAACAGGTAAACGGGTTAATAACTATGCGATACCTTGAAAGTATTTTAAAAAAATAATATCTACTTTAAAATGAGAGGAAACTATGCATTTTCAAAATAAATGTGGAAAACTAAGAATAATTAAGCAAAAAGGACAGTTTGTGCTACAGTCAATTCCGCGAAAAAATAAAAACGGTCGGGTTTTAGTAACGTTCGCGACCGAGCAAAAACGCGAGCAGTCGTGAATTAGTAACGTTCGTGCCGGTCGTGCACGCACGACCTGTCGTGAATTAGACCACGCTGCACCATTTTTGCAGAGTTGTTCATATTTGAAATGTGTTTACTCTTTTTTTTTAGGTTTCAAATGTGTAAGGTTTTAGATAACAAGCTACTTGAACTAAAAAAAAAATTTCAAACTCGTATTACCGTGTAAATTAATTAGGTATATATCTTTTTTCCGCTTGATAGAAAACCAATTTTTTTGTTCATTTTTGAAAAAAATAACTCTCCATTTTATCTCTTTTTCGCTGAGCGACAAATTAGAAGCATATATAAAAATATTAAAGCTGCGAGATTTATGCGATGAAATTTTTCGAAAATAAGAAAAAAATCTGAATAGAGACATAAGCTTGGATTGTACAATTGTAGATAACTTTTTGTATAGTTTGAAAAATATTTTTGAAGTTTTATTTCTGAAAGTTTTTTCAATTTTTTTGACATAGCTTGGATTTTTTTCACAGGCCATAAAAAGTCTGAAAAAAGTATTGAGAAGTGCCTGCCTCTGCATTCAAAAAGTGGCCGTCGCGTTTTTCGCTTTTTGCGTTGCGTTCACAAAACGTTCGCACTTTATAGCACACTTCTGCCTATCGATCGATTTTTTCAATTCACTCTCATCGCGTTTTTTTCCGTTATGTCTTTCTTCCAATAATTAATTTTTCTAGACGTTATAAATGACTTGATTTCCAATGGAGACTCTCAAAGCTCTCATTGATGCAGCAGAGTCACGAAATAAATGCGTTCATGAAGGTTCGAATGAGTTATAACAACATAAAATAACAGTAGGATGTTCAGAGAACGAAAATGATGACGTTTCGTGTTCTGAGGCGCAAATCTTTTCGAACTCTTTGGAACTTTCCGAGGTTGACTTCTGCAATGAGAATGACTTGGATTGGGCCGAAATCTCTGCCAATTTGAGTTCGTTTCTCACTTAAAAAGGAGTCTATTTGTTTTTATAGGAGGAATCAGAGGGGAATCAGACGCGAAAAAGCGGAAAAAAGCTCGGAAAACAACGGAAGAAACTCGGGAAAATGATCGAATCAGGGCGAAACTACGGCGTGCACGTATGAAAGGTACAATATCCTCAAAATTTCTTTTCAAAATTTCTTTTCAGCTGCTCGAGAATCTGGGGCTATTGAGAAAGCTTCATCTGCCGATTCTCCAAGCCAGGAAGAATGCGAATTTGATCCTAAAGGTTTTTTGTTTTCAGTTCACTGTTTACAACTCTTTTCTCCGAGTTTTTTTGAATATTTCTCAGGTTTTTCTGAATTTCTGCGGTAAATTCTTTTTGTCTTAATTTAAAAATTTCAGATAAGATTTCACAATTTTCTCCGTCGGATGCACCTCAGGATCGAAATTCTGTCGACGAAAGTGAGTCTCAGGAATATTCCATCTAATAATTTCAGCTTTGAAGTAAATCCACCCGGTCTTTCCTTCGATGACGGGCCTCTCGACACGGATTCCCTAGTGAAAGAGGCTTTGAATTATCGACCGAAAAATGAAGATCCGGGTGGGTTTTATGAAAACGAATTTTTTGCTTGAAAATAAGATGATAAATAATTGAATTTGCGAGCAGAAAAGTTGTTTTCCAAATTTTTTAAAGTTATTTTTGTCGCGAATTTTACGATTTTGAACTTTCAAGCTGTTCTCTGTTATTTGCACATGACAAAAAAACAAAGAATTCGATAGTTTATTCAGATTTTTTTCGCAAAAAGTAAAGGGAGAAAGTTCCATTTTTTTATTTTGCATTTTTTTAAAAACTGAAATTATCCGAGCATAATGGAGGAAAAAAATGCTTCCAAAAAAATAAGTCTCAAAAAAATTTTTTTATTTTTTTGCAAAACAGCCAAATTTTTTTAAAAGCAAATCAGATTGGCTTATATTAGAACTTAAGGTGGAAGGATACGTTTAACCGAAACGCACAAAAAGTTTTTAGCCATGAAGAGAAATTTAGCCCAGATAAATTTAATAAAAATGTTTTCCCTAGAAAATAAAAGTTTCCAGACACGCCTATTAGCCACGAGCCGTACTCCACGACGAACTGCTACACGGATTTGAGAAAACTTCCGATCAGAATCGTGGCGGGACTCGAGTAATTCGAACCCCTTTCGGATCTGCATCATTCCTGCAATCGATTGCAGCTCTCCTCCATGTTTGACGTCCGGAGTGCCGATGTTGAACGTCGACGCCTTGGCCCCAGATTCCTCCTACACTTTTTACGTTCCTCACAACGACATCACGAAACGGGATCTCACAACTGATGGCGCAGGTGTGAAACTGAGAAGTCTTTCAGAAATCTGATAACTCAAGTAGCCACTTGAAGGTAACTTCGAACTAGCTAATTAGCATAATTGTTATATTCGACGTGACAGAAACCTTTCCGGTGTCTTTTTCTCAACCATTATTTTCAGGCTTGTGGAACCAAAAAGGCAAATCTTCCACGTCGAGGCGCTACTTCTTCCGGAGTAACGGCACTACGGCCGGCTTGGGAAGTTTCGACTTCGAGGTCAAGAAATACACATCGAGGAACTCTTGGGCGATTCCCATTGGCTCCCTCAAAAGAATCATTTGGACGGCTTTGAATAAGGCCGGAGAACCGATCGGCGTCGCGATTGTCTGCTACATGACGGAGAAAGGTCGGTTCAAGTTTTTAAGACGAAATGAAGCATGTTTGAAAATTATATTGATCAAAATAATATATATTTTCATGTTACATACCTCATTACATTCAGCGCGAAATTTTGAACAGACAGGAAAAAAAATCGTTCAGAATTCTCATTCGTTCAAAAGCGACGGCATGGTAACTCGGTATCGAAGGTGTCGTTTTACCAAAGAACTTTCCCCTCGGTCATCCATTCCGTCGATCGACAACGGGCCAACCAAACTCCGCGGGAAATCGCCGCCGTCAGCGCCCCTCTGGCCTGTCTCGACGGACGGCTTCTGGTCAAGCCCGAACAAGTTTATAATAGGTACTTTTCATTTGGAAACATCATCGTTATTCCTCTTTTCCAGGCCAAAATCTAAAAGAGTTTTCAACGCTTCCTTATACCGCGAAAAAGAAGAAAACTACGATACAGGACTAATTTCGGTTCGATTTTTTCCATCTTTTTTTTTCTATAGTGAAATAATCGCTTTCCAGGGTGTTCTAAACGGTTCCCTTTCTACTCACGTGTAATTCTACATATTCTAATCATTTTTTTGAGAAATTATATTTGTTGTGAACTTTTTGTTACTCATGAAGTCATATGCGATGTGATTCAATAAAGATTTTATCATAGGAAGCTTTTTTTATAGTAAAAAAATCACATGATTGAAGCGTTTCGAAATTAAAAAAATACAGAAGTGTAGGATTAGTTTTTTTGTTGAATAAAATTATTTTTCTCTTCCAATTCTTGCTGTTTTGAGCAGTATTAAGATATTCAAAGCGCAAAGATTGATCCATTTCCGCATTTGAGTTTGAACATCAATGATGAATTCGTTTGCAACGTCTTTCTTCAGGCAGAAAAGATTCGGTTTGATAATTAATTGGCTGCTCGCAGATGAATTCTGCGAAGTGCATGATGAGTCACTTTCAGTTTTTTTGTTACCTAAAATAAACCGGTTAGTGTTTACACTTTCTCTTCAACGCTGTTTGCTCAAACTTCTTAACAGATCTAACTTTCCAATATTCCTGCAGAACGATCCCCCACTTTTCAAAATTAGTTTTCAATCGTTAAGTTTATTGGGAAAATGAGATGAAAAAACCACGGAAGGGCCGAACATCGCGTGCGATGGGGCGCAAATTGCAAAAAAATGTCATTGCCGATGGCGATGTATTTTTTTTTTTTCGTTCTCCTGCTGCTGATTTTCATGTTTCCTTCCTATCGATCGCTTTTTCTGTAATGGTCAGCTAGGTCACTTCCGATATGAGTTGTTTATAAACAAACCCAGGCGTATCGTTATTATAATCCACGGCGGCTAATGTTCGCTGTTTTTTGTAGGCGCTCATTTTGTGGAATTTTTTTTCTTATTTACCAAAAAAGTTTCTCCAGTGTTTATATGACTGAATATCGGTTGGTACGGGTCAGCAATGCCATCCAAGATCCGGTGTCCAAAACTTCAGTTGCTCAGGATCAAGTCGTTCGCGTAACTGGCGAGGATGGCGACTGGTTTATTCATTTTAATGTATAAATGTGTAATTTAATGTTAAAGGTTCAAAATTGAGACACTCGAAGGCGTTTCAGGAAGGATTCCTCGGGTTTTAGCTTTGCCAATCACTGAGCCGACCAGGTTTCACTTAATTTTTCAGAATAGTATGATTATTGCATTTCGTTTATATGATAATAGTTTGTATCAGTAGCTCATTTAAGGAGAATAGTAGATATATCCAGATGAAAAAAGTGAAACGCTTGATCGGAATCGATATAACTACGGCTTAATGTGTTTGCTGAAATTTCAAGTGGATCTCGAAATGTTAAAGTATTTCAACTTCAGAAGTCCCGGCCAGTCGTTGTACTGCTCAACGGACGCCTACACCTCAGTTCGGGCCGACGATCTGCCTTTTACTCCATTCACACTATTTTGTCGGTGTTCATTCTATTTAATGAATCGTTTTTTTTCCTTTTCAGTGGCAGCGCCCTCAAAATATCACGAAGGCTGGTTAGAAGGATACAGTTTGAATGACTACGGTATGCAGTTGGGCCCGAAGGGATTGTTACCTGAAGGCTATATGGTCAAGGTCGGTTTCTGAAGTTTGGATTGAATCACGAGCATGAACTATTTTTCTCGGATGCGTTCTGGCGCCAATTCAAAAACTAACACGTTTTTGTGAATCTGCTAGAAATTATCTTTAATATGAAAAGGCAAGGCATCACTTTCGCGGAAATTGATTCAACAGGAAACCTGAGAAAAATCTGAAAACTCGACCATTTCTAAATTTGGCGCCAAAAACGAATCTTTAACGCATTGCATTTGAACTGACCTTTTCAAGACGAGAAGAGCTTGTTATGAACTTGTATCATCGCAAAAAAAGCTTACCTAGGCCTAAAGCGCTTAAAAGTTTATCTTACAATCTTAAATAACGTATTTTCAGCTAACTGAGGACGCTCCAGCAGCCGTCGAAGAGGTGAGAATTCTATGAAGAATGAAAGATTTCAATTGATGGATTCTCAGCACCGAGGAATGACGTCATCTTTCACGACGAATTTCAACGAAGTTCAGATGCGACAACAGCCGCAAGCCAACAGCTACAGTGTCGCCCCGTACGCAAGAGCGAACTTTGATTTTCAGTGAGTTTTTGATTTTTAATGTATTTTCTGAGATGTTAGAGATTTTTAATTGATTTTCTCAGCTTGGTTTCTCTTGATTCTGTAAAGTCTGAGCAAGTTTGGTTTCATCGATTTTCCCAAGCTTTTTTTTATCTCAGCTTTAATTGCAAAAAAACTTTTTTTAATTTCGAAATATTTTGAATTATTTTTTTCGAACTGTTGAATGTTGAAAATTTTTCAGAACTTTCCGATGATTTGATAAGCGAAATTCATGAAGTATCTATTTTTTGAAAGAAAAACGGGACTCTCTTCTTGAGCGATTCAGAAAGCGGACTTTAGTTTTTTGTAGTTTTTTCTTGAAATTTTAAAAACTTACCGTTCGATTTGATACATGCATTTTTTGCTGAAAATTCAGAGGCGAATTCTCAAATGAGCTGTCATTTTCTGTCGATGAAATGATTACTCTGCGAAGGCGGGTGGATGCTGATTGGCTCGAAGGATCGATTGGAGAAAGAATTGGCATCTTCCCATCCAGTTTCGTCCAGGTAAAACGAATCAGAAGAAAAAATACAATGAAAGAGCAGAAAAAAAATAGGTTAAGAAGAATGTACGAGATCGCGTTGTTGAGAAGAAACATTGAAAGTTGATTAAGGAATAATTTCTTCTAAAAAGTAAATCATGATCGCGTTTTCTTCTAACCACAGTTCTAATCAATTTCAATCAGATCATCGTTGATCTTCCCGAAGACAATACATCCAATTCGGGAACTTTGAAAAACAACCGCAAAAGTACGACCGATGAAGGAATCGGGTTGGTTTTTGAAACATAATTCTCATATTTATTGATCCTTTTTAGTCAAATTTCTCAGTTAAATATGTTTTTTTCAGTTTTGCGACGGTTCGACATCCATTCACGGGTCGAGAAGAGGATGAACTTACCGTAGCTGCGGGAGATACTGTCAGAGTCCTCAGGATGGTCCGTTCTCAAAAACTGCTTTTTTTACTGTCGTGATTGGTTGTTTCTGTTCTGATAATGGCCTTTGATTTATTTTTTTAGAGTGAAAGTTTTTTTATTTAGCTCAATAAGTTTTAGCTTCTCCTTGATTGATTCATCAAGAATTTGACGATTTTTTTCGAAACTATCGTTTACAAGGGCAGGGTTCTAAGCGCCTTTTGAGATCTTGATTCTTGTACCGAATGATTTTATATTTATTAATCAGAATCACTCATGGAAAACCAATTATTCATAGTTTTTTTAAAATTCATTTGTTGCTCTAGGGTATGGCTGCGCCTTTTGATGGAAAATATCCCCTTTCTTTCCTAGCTGAACCTTTTCAAATCGAATAATTTTACTTTATTTAAATAGTTGCATACGTCCCACTCCGGGGTGCGGCCTACTTCAGTACATTTTAAAATTGTTTTTTTGTGCGCATAAGGCTGGGCTGGGATCAAGCCGATGTATGAATAGTTGTCTGATTTTTCCAGGATCTCCCAATTAAGTTCTACTGAGACGTTTTTCATTGTAGAATTTCAAAGAAAAAACATCGAGAACGGCTCTTCGCGAAATTTTACACGCATTTTTCATAGTCTAGAAAGGATTTCTGGAAAACACTTAAACAAGTGCATTGACTCCAGGTAAACGATGAATGGGTAATGTGCCGAGATCCGGACACGGACCGGAACGGAATCGTGCCTGTCGGCTTCCTTGAAGTGTACCTCGACGAGGAGGATGAAGACGTGCTCAAGTCCAGTGCAGCGAAGATGTCCTTCAGCACCCCGGCCAACACTTCGGTTAGCCTTTCAGGTTGTCTGGAACGTCTGAATCTTTCTGTTGAAGGTCAGCACTTTGAACAACGACAACTTTAACGCACCGACGACGCTTCCCGACTGGCGAACGTCGACGCGAATTGGCGACGCTGCGGACTGGAATTCCTCGCCAGCTGGAGCGACGCCGCAGCAGTGGGCGACGTTCGGCGAGGATTGGATCGCGCCGGACGCGACGCCGCGAAGTGCGGCACCAGCGAGACCACCGCCGCCAAAGGTTTGAGCGACTGATGACGTGAGAATTATCGTGATGACGTCAGCAATCGTCGGTGCAGTCGCCGAATGACGTCGTCTCCGTGACAGAGATGTTCGGTATGATGGAGAGACAGGTTCGTTAGGAAATGTTAAGTGACCTCTCTAGGAATTTTTTTTTTTTGGCGCTCGCCCTATTTCGGAATTTGATGAATATTGAGGCAATCAAAAAGTTCTTAACAAACGCGATTTTTCAACATAAAATAAAAGCGAAACAGGTCCAAAGTAACTTTTCAGGAGTTTGGACCAGTTTTAATCAAAAATTGAATGAAAAGAGAAGCTAGCGGAAACTTATTTCTACAACGCTAAATTAATTGGAACAGTGTGCAAAGGAAAATTTTCCAAATTCATTTTAACATGATCAGAAAGAGATTTCCTAGGTTTTTAGTTTGATAAAAAAAATTATTATAAAAGAATGTTTTCCTCAAAAAAGTCGACGCTTAGGCTCCTCCAAGGCCAAATGCCCCACTGACCATGTTCGCCACGAGTAACGATCTTCAACTGGCTGGACTGGACTCCACTGCGACTCAGGAAGAGAAAAGAGCCAAGGTAGGGAAATGGAAAGGAAAGATGATTTTCTTCAAAGAAAATGAGGATTTTATGATTTTCTAATTGATAAACCTGTATGAAATCACAAATTTTGAGAATTTTGCCGGGAAATTTGAGCCTGAACACTCTTCATTATACGAAAAGGAACTTTTTTGAATTTGTTTTCTTGTATTACAGATTCTCGAAGAGCTCATCAACTCGGAACTGCAGTTCATCACTGATATCAATTGTTATACTGAAGTGAGTTTCAATTTATGAGAACCCAAAAGAGACATCTTCACAGGTCGTTGATTCGAGCACGCTACTCAGCGGCAAGCAGAAGATCATCATGAAAAATGGCTGTGCCCAGATCGTCCAGCTCTCGGCGACCCTCGTCCAGCTCCTCACCAATGAGCAGTGTCAGATATCAATTCATTCCATTTTATTTGCCTAAGTTGCGAAATTCATTTTTGGTTTGAGAAAAATACAGCTTAAATAGACTTTTCAAGAGGAAAAAACCAACATATGTTATGGAAAGGCGATTTGAGAATAGTGCCTAGAGAGGATTTGAAAAAGGTTTTTTAGTGAAACCGACCGACAAACAGGCGATCGGAAACTGCTTCCTGCAGCTACGGAAACCGTTCGCACAGACCTACGGATTCTACTTCAGGAACATCGAGCACATCAACCAGTTGCTCACCTCTGCTGTAAGCTTCCTGTTTCAGCTATTTTCCAGAAAAATTGACGCTTAGCTGATTATGATTAACCAGAAAAAGTGTGAGAATTCGTTTATTTATTTATTCATCTCTCTAAAACACCGAAAAACTTGGAAGACTTTCTTCGTAATAAATTTTGAATTGTTTCCAAACTTGCTTTTTTTTATGATTTCAACCATTCATACCCCAGCTAAAGACCATTTTGAGATGAAATCTTTAATTGATTATGTGAGATCATTATGAATTCCTTTCAGAAGACTGAAAGGACGATGGAAGAAGCTCTGAACGACGTCGTCCAGAGGATGAGACTCGCTGGCGCCGGCGTCATCGACAGCACGACGGCCGTCGGTCGACCCGTTCAGAGATGTCTCAAATATCCGCTCTTTTTGTCTGAAATTCTCAAGGTTAGTTCTATAACGAAAAAAAGAAGGTTCAAATTCGATTTCATTGGTCCTTGCATATTTCTAATCCATTAGTAGTACCTTGAGCAACTTGAAAAATATTCTTTTTATCTCAAGAATTTAGGTGAAACGGTTGGGTCCTCCGGGGAATTTTTTGAATATATAGGAATCAATCATAATATTTCATTCACAAGAAAGAACAAAATAAGATAAGACTTCAGAAAAAGGCTAGTCGATCGCACTAACTTCATAATCGGAAATTTAAAAAAGAAATTCTAAATATCTCGAAGAAGTAATTTGCTACTGTAGTGATGTGAACTAGACGATGATTTCAGCACACCCCGGTTAATCACTACGATCATCCGAAACTGATGGAAGCCGTCAAGCAAATGTCCAACTTGGGCCAGAAAATGAACGAAAGCAAGCGAAGGAAGGAATTGAGTAATGAAAAATAATGATTGAGAAAACTTATTTGGACTTTTTTCAGCTCGAAAATACACTGAAGAGGAAGGACCACAGTCGTTCGGAGATATGCTTTCCAAATTAACGATCCATTCTTTGGTGAAGAAATCGAATCGGTTCACCTACAGAATGGGTTCTTCACTGGGAGTTGTAAAATTGGTAGGTTCAGTGGGAGAAAAGAAAACTATTTCGGCGAAAAAACTACAGAAGTATGCGATTCTGAAAAATTGCAGAGAAAATAATGTTTTTGATTTTTGCATCATCGAAGGGTGCTGTTGGAAAATTTTTCGACGGAAATCTTCAGGAAATACTTAGACAGTGTAGTAAGACTTTCTGTAATATTGTTATGAATAAATTTCCTCACCCTCAACTTTTCTATTTTACGACTTTTTGCAAGCTTTCTTCAAGTTCAGGGAGGTCTAGCAGATTGAGTAGTCTAAAGCGGGTTTTTTCAAATTTTATCCCTTTTTTTTAATGTACAAGCTTGAGCAAAGTGTAAAAAACCTCAAAACGAAGAATCTAGAGCTCTATTTTGAGCTCCTGAAAGGTCCTTCTGAAATTTGACCATGAAGTGGCTACTTCAGAGTCATATAGGTTAAACTTCAGATTTATTCGGTAGAGCAAATTTGGAAAGAAGTCCACATATTTCATTGATTATTAGAGTTCAAATCTTGCATAGAAGAGCACGCGGGATGATAAATTTCAGCCCCAAAAATTGAGAGAAAAGAAGTGAAAAGGTAACTTCAGACCCGAGATTCTGAGTTCGACCGACTCGTTTGTGAGCTGGACACGGCCGAGCGACGATTGGTCAGGTTCAACTACATGTTGGTGATTTATCGGAAGAAAATGTTCCACGAAACGCGTGTCATCCTCTACAAAAGAATCATCGAGCCAAGTTGATTTTCTCTGTTTCTTTTCAGCTTTCCTCTTCTTTCCAGGAAAAAAGCAAGTCTCGGCTAGTGATGCAGATCATCAACTGTACGTTTTCAACGACGCCATCAAAGATTTCGCCGCGACTATCAATGCCAAGTGATTATCTATATGAACCATTAACATTTTTACGACTCTAAAAAGTTTGAAATTGAAAAAAAACTGTTCATCAGTTTTGTAAATTCAAATCTTCTTTTTCATACGGCTTGAGCGGCGTCGGCGCCCCAAGTCGATTAGCCGAGGTCCTATCCTGATATCAGGGATAATCAGCGGACTGGCTCTAGCGACATATCCGTCCTTGTGTGTGACGGCTGGGTATTTCATTTCTCAAACCCCTTTGTTGGGTCGAGGTGGGGATCGAACTTGTGACCCTGTAGCCCGTAGACTGACACACAACCTGTGCTACGGCGCGCCTAAAATTGGAGATTCATATGAGAAATCAAAAAGAAAAAAAAATTTCTTTGGTTCAGAGTTCGAGACGACGTTGTTCAAGCTCTGCGAAGTTTGCCGAAGAAGCTGATCAAGAAAAGAAACGACAAGTTGATGGATTACGAGGCGGCCAAGTCCAAAGACAAAAATAGTCAAATGGTTCGTGGGAGTAAAATGAGATAATTTGGAAAACAGTTTAGAACAGCTATCAATCTCTCTGAACATGATTTTTCTGATTTTCTCTCCTAAATGTTCGGTTTTATGATTTTGAAGAAATGGTTCAGAGAGCCGAAGCTCGAGAAAAGTACAATGACTACGAGGCGTTGAACACCCAGGTCAAGCAGCAACTTCCCAAGGCGATCGATAACTTGAATAGAGTGAGTTTAGAAAGTTAAAAGTGGAAATGAACAGATTCTTAAGAGGTCATGAAATATCACAGTTAGAACATATTTAGTGCCTGGAAAATTTGAGAAGGTCTGTTATCGTATTGCAGAATAATTGATAAAGTTTGCATCAAGTTTTTCATCCATAACCTTTACGCCCATAAATAGTCAAATTTATCAGGTCCTCCAAGAAGCAATGAAGACGGTCACCTCTGAAGACGAGAAGCTTATGGCGAAGCTGAGAACGTTGTTCGAGGAACAGAAGGCGTTGGCGGCGGCGGACCCGAACGCCCACAGTCGCAAGGTGATCCTCGCCGACTCGGTCTGCTTCGTCAACTACTACGATCACGATCGCCTCAAGCCGCTCGGCAAAATCGCGAACAAGGCGTCGCATTCTCTGAGAATGAGAGCGAGGTCGGCGTCGCCTGAACGGAGTCGCAAGGAGAAGAAGAATGGCAGCGGTTCGGAACCCTCGTCGAGAAATCAGAGAGTGATGATTTGCAGAGAAAAGGGCCAGCGAGAAGCCGAAGAAAAAAGTGACGGTGGACTTGAACGCGACGCTCCAGGAGCAGTGGAGCAAAGGCGCCGTCGTTCCGGAATGTTGGTCTTCATCACTATTTATATCGATAATCAGTAGTTTTTATCAATTTTCTGCTTTCAAATGCATAAGCAAAGTCAGAAAGATCACTTGAAGATTTCCTCAGAGTTGATTTCTAGAAAAATTTAATTTGTCTTCAAAAAGCTTTTCCTTCAGCTACTGTTTTCGATTCCAAGAAAGAAATCAAGCCTATACAGTAGCTTTTCGACAATATTTAACCCTTGCAGCGTTCCACCCACCCACTACCAGTGCTTCTGTAGAAACTCCAACCAAGTTCCGAGCTCAAACGGCCGAGGAACGAGTCACGATTCTGGAGAAGGCCAAATCGAAGTGAATTTCAAAATAAATAGACAAATATCCTATATTCATTGCTTCAGAGGTCGCCTTAATGATATGTACGTCGTCCTCTCACCGTATCCCGCCGATCAGGCCATGATGAACTTGGCCGTCACGGCTGGAAAGGTAAAAATGCGATTAGTTGCGTTATTAGTCTTCCTTTAATTACATGATTTTTTATTCAAAACTGCATTTTTTGTTGCTGATGATGGTAACTGATTTCTTTTTTCTCAAAAATCGTACTGAATCTTATCGAGCAAAGAGATGATTTATTGCATTTTTTAATTTTTGTTTTTCAGTTGCTGATTGTCCAAAAAGACGATCTCGTGCTGGCGGTGAACAAGGAAGTCCCAAGCATGTGGTCAGTGAGCCTGAAGAAAAGCACGACTTATTCGAAAACTTCTAGGCTTTGCTACAATGGATTCTACAACGCCATTCTGCCGAGCAACGTTCTTCGACCCTACAAACAGCAACAAACGATCGAACAAGGCGTCGACGTGGCCCGTTTGATGTCGTCGAACATGGGCAACTTGAACAATCTGAACAATGTGAACACTCGGCCGCACAGTACGCCTCCCAAGTCGCAGAACTTGATAGGTCTGCTTCCGAATTGAAAAATTAATATGAAAAAAATTTATCAAATCTTTTTTTATTCGTTTCAAATTCTCATTTTTTTCTGTAAAAAAAGCAGGTTTTTTTCTCCCCGATAGTACTATAAAAGAGAAATGTTCCCTCTTTTTAAAGAAGTAAAATGTAGTTTAGAATCCGCATTCTGACTTTGTTTGCATTAAATATTCACGTTCACTCGGAGTTAACTTCCCAATTTTAGTGCATACACACAGGGTGCTGACGGTAAATTGCAGACTACAATACTCTTTGAAAATGGATAACTCGCTCTTGTCGAAGCACCTTTATAACAATAAAACATTTTTCCAGACCTCGACGACTTGCTCGGCGGCGGACCGCCCATCTCCTTGGCTCCACTGACCCCGCAACCAGTCGCGCCCTTCCAACTTTCTCCGCTGCCACTCCAACCGACCGCCGCCAACAGCTCCAGCGCTGCTTCAGCTCTTTCTTCCACGGCGTTCGCCAACCCTTGGCCGTCTCCCAACCCTGAAGCGGCCCCTCAGAACTCGAACTCGGCGGCTAACGGTGGATCTATCTTCGACGGAGTCAAATCGATCGATTGGGGCATGCCTTCGGCGATTCGGACGCCTTCGATGCCGAATCTCACGGCCGCGGCCACCCTCGGCCAGATGCAGCCTGTCGATTGGGGACAGCCGTCTTTTGCGCCCGCTGAGCCGTCTCTCAAGTTTCCTGTCATGTTCGACGAATCTCCTGGTTAGAATTTCTGAGAAAATTTTTAGATTGGGACCTTTGATCACAATTGCTCGCCTGAACAAATCTAAAATTTCTATTTTAGTTTTCAGAGAATTATTTTGAGACTCTCTGTGATTCCGTAGCTGCTTTTGAACTATTGTGCTCAATTTTAAATTTATCGACATCATCTCAAGTTTCCATACATTTTAGAATTTCACTTTTGAATATCTTAAGAAACAGCTAAATATCAACGAAATTATTTTTTAGTATTCAGAAATTGTTTTCTGAAAACAGTTTTCTCAGGCGACAAGTCTTCTTTCTCTTCAGCGACCCTGCCTACCTATCAAAACGCGCCAACAAGCTTGAATCAGAGGTATGTTGGTGTTTCAAAAAGAAAACGTAATGTACAGATTTTCTGAGCTGGAAAATAATAAAATCTTCTAACTTCGTACGAAAACATACCGTTCATTTTCATTTTGAAGCGGATAAAGAATGTAGAATTTGTACTTTTAAATTTAATAACTCCTCAGGAGCGACTCACCACAGCCGCTGATTCCTTCGAGACCGACGCCAAGCGTCAAATCTTCCCTTCCGATGACGTCAGGACCACCTCCGTCGCAAGCACCGCCACCGATGCGGCAGACCTTCAGTAGGGCGAACTTAGTCCAATCGATAAAAAGGCGATTTTTCTCTCAGATGCCTTACCTCCTATGGCATCCTATGATGCGGTGCCGGGCAATGGAAGCATGCTTTATGCGATGCCGCCGATGTATGACGTCACACCGAGCTTGAATACCTCGACTAATATGAGCAACAACAGCTTCGGAAAAGGTAAATTCATAAAAAAAAAAGCCGCGGCGACAGGTTAATGAATAATGAGCGAAAGTTTTCAGATCAGACATCAGATAAATTGCCCATTTCATTTTCTTGTTAAAAGGAATGACTCTCTTTGAGAAAAAGGAGAAGCTTTTTAAGAAAATATCATTCAAATGAATCTGAGCGGGTGAAAAAGAGTTGATATAATGACATTATGAGAGAAAGTTCTTTCGGTTTTGTCCTGTTTTCATGGGAAATTATTGTGAACTCAAAAAAAAAAATGAAAACACGACAAAATCTTGATAATTTTCTATAATTATGAATTTCTTGAAAAAAATGTCGATCATTAGATATTTTCATTGAAACCTTCACTTTTTTCAGTTCATACATTATTTTTGCTCGAAGACTTTTATCATTAATTCTCCTTTGCTCTTTCAGATTCTCGGGTCTATCCATCGCTTTATGATATTCCACCGGCTTCCATGGGCCAATATGCCCAGCCGCCACTTTCTCAGTACGACGCTCCGCCTTTGGAACCGACGACACCGGCAAAGGCGCTTCGACCCGTGGTCAATAGAATATTATTCATTTTGGAGAAACATTTTTACTTTTTCAGCTCGGCGAAGTAAGAGTAGACTACGATTTCGTGCCCCAAGGTACAAATCAAATGGCCGTCAAGGAAGGCGAAGTGAGTAATCTCTAGAGCCAACAGAAATTTTAAAAACTTTTGAAGTGTCTCGAACTCGTTTTTCGAAACCTTCAATCTTTTTTTAAACTTTGAAGAAAAACGATTTGAAATGGCTGAACAATCGTCCTCATTCAGATCCTGGGCGTTGTTCAACGGACCGACGACGACGGCAACCCAGAATGGCTCCTTCTTCAGCGTCCCGACGCGAAATGCGGTTATGTCCCGTCGGCATACTGTAGATCTCTGTGAAGCCTTGCTCCGATCTTTATCATGTTTATTTATTTTTCTCTTCGCCTTGAAAAGTTTTCTCGGCGCTTGGACCACCTTAAAGGTGACTTATTTTCTGAAAGAGATCACTCAAATGAAAGAAAAACTGTTTTTAGACATACAGCTGTGGGTTCCGTAGAAGCCCTCAAATTATTTTTTCAGATTTTACTAACCCTCATTATCAAGTTGATATCACCTTGCCATACTTAATTATTTCCTCTGTTTTTGATCCAAATTACTTACCGCTGTTAGATTATTTATTACCTTCTCCGAATGGTTTTTGACTTCCCCCGGTTCCTTCTTTTGTGATTTGATTGGGTTCCATTTTTACGTGCAAAGCTAAGAGATATGGAATAGTTCTTCTTTCTCATGTATCTTTTGTGTCTCTCGACTTTTTTTCGGTGCTCGTTCATTTTATTTATTTCATCATATTTATGTATGTTCATATAGTTTGTACCATTAAGAGCTTATAGAATGAATCTTTTGATTGTAAAAATAGAACACTTCAGTTTGTATGTTTTCGATTGGCTGAATAAAACTTTTGCAATTAATTCTTTCAGAGAAGTCGCGCAAAATGATAAAAATTTCAATTATTTTTTGAAAAAAAATTTCTGGACCTTAAGTTTCATTTCATTCATGAATGAATTCATTTTTGCTCCCGACATCGGAAGGAAAATATTCTGTTTGAATTCTTCCACTTTTTTATCTGTTTTCCCACTCGGTTTTTTTTCAGAATTTCGCGTACAACTGTCGAGATCTACGATGGTCTACCTGCTAAGCGCGAAAAAAAGTGGCGATTCAGCCCTCTGTATAAAAGGGACGTTTGCCCTTCGATATCCAGTTGACTTGCTTCGGTCGACATGAAACGGCTCGTCGCGGTCTTTCTCGTCATCTGCTGGGTCTGCTTCGAAATTTACAATTTAGACGAGGAGGACCTACAATCCAAGATCTTCGGGGAATTCGTCGCTCGCCACATCAACAATTTTACTACGTGCGTTTTTTTATTAGTCCCAATCAACTACTAAAATTTTTGAATGATTTCTCGCATTCATAGAAATATTCAAAAAGTACTGTATGTGGAATTCCGCCATTTGGAGTCTGCGTATTATCTTTTTTTTTAAAAAAGTGGAAAGCCTTTTAAAAAGCTGTTTGAGTGTCTTTTTTTCCAACTCATTTTCAACCTTTACCGTAACTGTTAGCAGCAATAAATATTTTTTTAAGACGGTTTAAATTTATTTCAATAAAAAAAGTTGGTTTTTTTGAATATTACCCGTTATGATATTGAAGAAAAAAATGAGCAGTCAATTACTGTTTAACTTCTTTAGTTTATAGAACTTATTTTTTCTTCATCAAAATAAAAAAAATTCCGGAAGTATGTTAATTTTTGTCTGGGGAGCATGCACAAGAAACATCATATTTGACGGGTGCCGTACGTAGCTCTGGAAACGCCATGTTTTAATTTTTAACAAGTTTTCTCCCCTTGCAGGAAGATTAATGGCGTGATTGGCGTTCCCGAGCAGTCGACAGGAGGGACCTTCCCTGTTGACGCTCACGTCCACTTCCTCTTCCGAAACGAGCAATGTTTCATGGATATCTACGCGGAAATCAACGCGACGACGTGTGAGCTGGTCAGAAGGCCCAACGAAGCTCCGACGGCCGGTCTCAAAACTTTGATGTCGTGCCCCGGCCTCAGACTCGCAAAAGATATCAATGTCACCGAATGGGTGGACAACAGCTTCAACTTCACCGAAGGCGAGATAAGGGACTTCGTGAATGACAAGGTCTCCGGTCGACTCGACTTCGAATCTTTCGCCTCACTTCACAAAGTTCGTCCCGGCGGCACTAAGGCAAGTCTTAAGAAACGAATCTTTTCGTTTTTTTCCCTTTGATTTTTCAAAGCATTTTTCGATTCCGTGAAACTCAAATCCCACTGAATGTATCTTTCCAGCATTTCTGATTTAGATATGGTAAAGCTCAAGTACCGTCTTTAAACACGGAATAATTCATGAGTTAACATTTCCAAAGTCCACAGTTTTCCCACGTAGTGAAGATCTTAATTCAGACCTTTGTTATCGAAGGACTTTTTTCAGAAACTTCTGTTCTATGCAACTTTGCCGTCCGTCCAGTTCGTAAACGGATTTGTTTCGGTGAAATCAATCGAGATTGGTTGGTTATTTTTCCCAATTTTTTTTTTCAAGAAAGTTCTCAAAACGAATCTTAATTTTCACTTTCAGTGATTGGAAATAGCGAGTCCGACGGGAGACCGACCTCATCGAAGTGGTATCTGCTCAATATTTTGTCTATTATTTTAACTTTGGCGTTCTTCTCCCGCAAGGGATATTTACGTTATCGCAACCGTATCTTCCAAAGAATCGCACCATAAGAAATAAAGTTTTGCACTTTTTCAACTTTTTTATCTAAATGAAGGTGATCGAACAAAAAAAATTGATTACGGATAGTGAATTAAAAAAATGAACCTTTTTTTCGGTTGTTAAACTCCTTTTTAAGTGTCGATTTTGTTTCAAAGTCGGAAAGTTTATATCGGTATCAAAAAATCGGGACCGAAACTACCATAGACTTTCTCACAAACGCCGAAGGGGTCCCTATAGAGGTCAGGAGGAAAAAACAGCCCTAAAAAGTGCCCTCTACACAAGTAAAACTTATGCGCTCCAAACAGGGGTTTAAGTTCTGACTCCCTAAAGATCAAGTATTCCCTATAGGCAGGCTTGTGCGGTAGGCCGGGCGGCCCGGGCCGGGCTTCAAAAAAAAAAAATTTAAAATTCCGTTTAAAAAATTTTCACCGAAATGTGACTTTTACTTCTGAAATCATAGTTTCTGTTAAACTTTAAGTGAAAAAATGAGCAAAAACGTAATTTTTGTCGTAAAAAAACTTGATATTTAACTAGAAAAAATTGCGCGCCTTGGTCCGGGCGGGCTATTTTTTCTTGAGGCCCCGCTAAGGCCGGGCCGGGCTTACGAAATGGTCGGGGGGCCGGGAGGGTGACGGGCCGGCCCTCGCACAAGCCTGCCTATAGGGTCCATTAATTTTTTATACAGGTCTGAAAAATTGAAAATACAAACTTGACCTTCTGTTTATTTTTTTTTTTTAAATAAGGCTAATTTGATCGGTTTTTAGTCATCGTGAAATGATTGGAAGCTGAGGGAATCATGCAGTTTTTCATTCCTAAATTTCCCTACTTACAAGGATGTTCATTTGAGTGTGAATTTTTTATTGGCGCGCTCAAAGGAAAACTGTTTGGCCAAAATTACTCCGAAATAGCACTAACTTTTATTTCACATCTCGAAGATTTGATGAAGCCTGCGTAATTGCATTAAGCGTTGAAGTTCAAAAAACTCGTGTAATGTTGTTTGCAATTTTTCAAGAAAATCAAGAAACTTTTCGTTTCCCTTGAACAGTTTCAATCGAACACTATTTTCCAAAAAAGCCACTCTTTTTCTAAATGATTTAGTTACAGAACTTTGATCGAATAAATGAAGTTTATAGAACAACCGGCCTCTGATTCACTGACAACCGTATCTTTTACAAAATTCTTCTGATAAAGAAAATTAATTAAAACTTTTAAAATTGAAAACAAACAAATTAGAAAAGACCCGTTCCAAATGCTGTGGAGGCTGTGCAGTAGGAAGAGAACAAAAAAAAAAACAAAAGAAAGATTTGAACACGCTTCGGCATTCAAGCCAATTCCGTAGCTTGAACGCACAACATCCAATAAAAATAAGAGAATCATTTGTACTTCGAGTGAAGAATTGAAAGAAGAGTAAGAATAAAATGGCTACTTCTACAAATGAAACAAGGAGGAAACGATGGCCAATGTAAGGAAACGATAGACGGAAGATTGAGCCGCTGACTTTTTAACGGCAAAAGATGGTCGGGGTGCTTTTGGCATCGGGGGTGGGGGCGTATAGCCGGTAGGATGCGAAAACTGAAAAGTTATAAGATTAGAAATGCTTTTTCTTCTTAGGTTCTGGTCAAGATTCTATTTTTCCTTGAGCATTTTTCAATTAAAAAAAGTGTTTTGGAAGCGAGTCTGTACTTTGAGCGCTATTAGTTTTTTCCTCTTTTTTACTCAAAATTGTAGGCTTAGTTTCGGCTTCAGTTTGAAAAAGATTATGACTTGGCCTACTATTCTCTCTCGGATATCCCTGTTACCTGGGAGCGGAAACCCCTTGCTTCGAATTTTTTTATCAGCGAAGCTCATTTCATTAAAGGTTATAGCCAGGGACCGCAGACGAATTTTTAAAAATTTTTTTTCAGCATTGAGCTTTGTATGGTTTGATAGCTGTTTCGATTCAAAACTCAGAACCGTTTAGTTTTTCGAAAAAGATTGAGGATGAAAAAAGTTATGACGAAAGATGTGGCGCGCCGCTCGCCACATCTTTCGTCATTTTTTTAGTACTGAAATTTTGGTATTATCCATTTTAGGCATTTTTCTCGATTTTTCTTCTAGAACAAGTTTTGATACTGGTCTATTATGATGTAAGAAATCATAATAGAGTGCTAAAATGATAAAAATTTGCTGGTTTGCCGAAAAAGTCGGTATTTTCCGGAAAACAAATAACTGACGGTTGCGGGCATCGAACTCGCGACCTCAAAATGAAAAATCGCAGCGCCCGCGCTGCGCCAAGCTGTTAGGTCTAGTATAGGAGCTTCCATCCGCCATACCCTTGAGCCGTTTGGATAGCACAGATTGCCTATTTCAAAAATAAAAACTTGAAGTAATTCAGCTATTATTTATCAGAATATGTTCGCAAATCTTTACTCAAACTTTTTGTGAAAATTCACTTCGAAAAAACTGTTTTTTAGTGCTTTTTGCCTCGTTTAACGATCGCTGCATTAAAACGGCCCCGTAAATTTTTTTGACAAAGACGAATTTTTTTATTTTATTTTTTTAATTGAAAGATTTTTTTACTAATAAATGCATATAATCGTTTAAAAAAACCTGCGTTCGACCGCTTTCAGTGTGATAAACGCCGCTAATTTTATTCTCTAGTTTCAAGAGCATTTTTTTGCGTATTAAACAACTTTTTTTCAAGCACAGATGCTGTGGAGAAAAAAATTTAAGTAAGCCCATTGTCTAAATTCTGAAAAAAATTAATACTCGATTATATTCGCTTATTAACGATATTTTTGAATTATGACTTTCGGCACTCCCTAAAAATTTTTGGCAAAGACGAATTTTTTTATTTTATTGTTTTAAAAATTAACGTTACTTGAATCAAAAATAATTATTTAAAAAAAGAAAGAGCGCGTTCGACCTCAAAAACACATGAAAAAAAGCAAAAAAAGACAAATTTTTTTTAGTTGCATTCACGTTTTTTTGTACGACATTCCGCGAGAACGCATCAAAAAAAGCGTGAAATATTTTTTTAAAACGAAAGAGGAAGCTTTTTCTGTACATGTGTGTCAAAATTTATCATCCAGTTTCATATATTTTGCAACTAAAACAAAATGAAAGTTGAAAACCAAAAAAAAGCCACTTTTTCTATCGCGAAAAGGGGCGTGGCTTTGCGGTCCCTAGTTATAGCACAGGTTTCTATGATAAGATACAAAACCGGAAGAAGATATACCTCCGATGCAAGACTGGTCGGAATGAACGGCACATCGGACACGACTGGGAAGAAGTGAGAACCTTTATTCAAGTCGTGCACGTTGATTTCTAGAGAAACCTCCTTCATTAAAAATCACTTTAGAGACGAACCATCAGGCTGAGCAGAGCCAGTGGCGGCGAACATGAAAAACGGTCGGTTCAGGTCGAAGACGAGGCCGTCCTTGTGGTCGAACTGCGGGACGAGCTGTTGGGTGAACTGACACATGAGACGGCCGTCGACGAACTCGGCCTCGATGTTGCTGAACATCTGCTTGTGCTCCTCGTCGTGCAGGTAGACGCGGTCGTTGGCCTTGCCCTTGTTGTAGGACAAGTAGACCTCTGGGTCGACAAACGCCGCCGCGTCGCTCAGAACACACTCCGTCACTGTGTCGTTGCCCTGTAACCGTTTTGAAACACTCATAGATAACTTTTGAAATGGAAATTGAAAAAACTTTTTTGAGCGCTTCACTGACTTCATTATAAAACTAAATCTTGATATTTCTTATCTTTTTTGTGTAGCATTTTCTAGCTTCAATTCACCTTTCAACCGCCTGCTGATTACTTTCTCAACACTTCCTTAGGATTTGCCAGAGATTTCAGTTAAAAAACTTCCCTTAAAATCCTCAAAACATTTAGAAATCTTCGGAAAGTCCCCCAAAAATTTTAAACTCCTAAGTTAGTGCCTAGCGGCATTATTGAGACTTCCTACGTACGCCAAAACTTAGATCAGATCTTTTTGAGCTGCAGAACGTTTCCATGTGTTGGGATCTAGCCTCGAAATGATGAGGATAACAGTGCAGATTTCCTTAAATTCCTTCTCAATCTTTGTTTTCAGATGCATCGCGCGACTTTTTCTCCCTCTACTTCTGCTAACCAGTCCAATTACTTTTGGGCCACTTCACAACAAACACTCACGGCAAATTAGGTCTCTAGTAAACTTGGAATCGAACAGTTCCTTTTTTTCGAAACTTTAGTGGGGTTTCGAAACACTCTTTGACCGAAGTAAAGTTAATTAAAAAGATGATTTCTTCCGTTTTTAGTTGAAAATTCCAGAAAACTCTCCCAGGCAAAAGACTTTATCGGCCCTTGTAATTGAAAGAAAGACATTTTTTGTTCGAGAAACTCCCATTCTCCTTTACATTAAAACTGATACCTGGAAAAAATACACAAAAAAATCTAATCAATTTTAATTCTTGAAACATGCTAAAACTTTATTTGGGCCAAGAACTTGACGAACAGATCAAAAGACCAAATTTAAATTGTTTTTTTCTCCCAAGCACTTATTGTCATATATCTTTACGGATATGAAGAATAATAATCAAACCATTTCAATGTCGTCCGAAAAAGCGACGGCGACGTACTGTTGTTGTACAGGTGGGATTAGAGTCTGAAAAAAATAAGAGGTTGAAAATATTTAAAAAAAGTTCGTATTGATAGTTTTCACAAAAATAAATCTCTAGGACTTCTCTGAAGCATTTTCAACTTTTAGAGTGTTCTTAAAAAACATCAATGAAGAAAAAGCTAGAAAGCGCCACAGCTAAAAACTATGAAAATATACAACCGATCCTTTTTTGGAAGTTTTACTCAACCTTCCAGGATTTTTTGAAAGTATTCTGACGCCGTGTTCAAAGTGATTCCCGCGGAACGCAAAATTATCTCTGACTCTCCAAAATTTATTCATCTTTTTCACTCTCTGACATCCATTTCGAATTTCGCGACATCAGTTTGAACAGGCGAAGAAGAGTGATTCGAATAAAACAGTACCTGCGCAGCCATTTGAACCCGCATCTGGTTGCTGCCGACAATGGAAACCACGACGCCAACCGTACAATCGAGGTTCGGATCGCAGCCTTTTGGTTTGAAAACGCAGAAATTTGTAGTACCACAGCCGGTGCTGCAAAAAGATTCCTAGAAAACTTCATCAAAAGGAATGATGCTTTTTTTCGACAAAAACTACTAAAGTTGAGTCACAGCTGATTTAGGGAAAACTTGTAGTATCCATGACTTTTCCCGATAATGTTATTGTCAGGCTTCACGAAATCTATCGGTACAGTTAAAACAAAGACTTACGAATTTCTCGACGACCGTTCAAAAAACTTTTATAGTATTTCCCATATTTTTTAAAACCTCGAAAAAAAGGGCAGATGAAAAGTTTTCTGAACAACCTTTATCTTTTCTGAAAAATTATATACTTTAAAACCGGAAGAAAAAAAAATGATTAGTTTTTTTTTTCTTGACTCGAAAGTGTGGTATCATCTCAATTGGAAGGCGATTCGAACTAAGAAACCTTTGGTTTCCGAACATTGATGATGTCATCCATCATTGTCTCATAGTGATTGTGATACTATGGAACTAGTTCCATGCGAGCTAGCTACTTTTAATAAGGACGCTCGACATTCGAGAAAAAGGACAAATTCAGTGAAGAAGAAGAAAAAAACCCATTTTCGAACCAAAAAAAAAGAAGAGAAAAACGATAAAATCGATAAGACCACTAAGTTTTCACTTTTTAAGGGGTTGGAAAAAAAAAATAACTCAATTGAAACCAAAATTCAGAACGTCTTTACAATCGTTGTCTTCAAATATTTACAGGGATTTTTGATTAAAACCAGGGGTTTTTTTTGGAAAAGTTTTTGAAAAATCCCGAAAATAAAATGAAAAGATAAAGTTAATTATTTTCATCAAAATCTTCATGAAAAGTGAAAATTTCCTTTTAAAAAACCCTTCTTTTCTGTTTGTTCGTTTATTTTTGAAATTTTTTTGTTGTTTGGTTTGATTGAACACTTCTTTCAACTTGCGAGAATACTCTAGGACGGAAAACCTAAATGAAAGAGGACAAATATAATGTAGTATTTTGAATTAAATTCGTATTTTTGAATGACAGCGATTTCCTTGAAAACGAAAGAAAACGAAGAAAAAATCTCACCTATTAACATGGACCTGCGCTTGGAGCTCTGCTACCAAATAAAAAAAGACGAGCGGCAAAAAACGACTCATTTTTGAATCTGAATGTTCGCAAAATCGAGAAAAAGCGAATGATGCCGACTGAAACGTGAATTGTAGAGGAGAGGAGGAAGTCGTTGGGGGCGGGACTTCAGAAAGAAAGGGTCGACGGCTACGGCTAATTTGTAAATTGGATGATGTGGGAGCGAAGGACTGGGCACGAGAACAGCGGAATGAATTACTTCGGTACCAGAGGACGTCAAAAAAACAAACTTTTGATCGAATCTACTATCACTTGATTCGGCTGATTATTTGCTTCCGAAAAACTTTTTCTTGAAGTTTTTTTCAGGAACGCTGAGTAGTTAGTAGCATTCGAAAAACCTAAGAACTCCTTTGAAGAACTACTGTGAAACTTTTTGAATGTGGAAACCTGTCTCGATTATTATCCTTCGATAGAGCTGACTATCTATTTTCTGAAAATGTAAAGTTCTTCCGAAATCATCAAGGAAAATACCAGTTATGGCGAATACTGCGGAACGGCATTTCATTACTTCAAAAGCGCCGTTTTCCTTATAATTTATGATTACTTTCGGTTGAAAAAGACTCCGTAGTTTTAGAAATTTTTATCTATTTAGAAATGAAGAAGGGATAAAAAAACATTTTTTTGAAAAAAACTTCTGCGACATCCGTGCGAGGTTGCAAAAAAACCTGTGTTCATAGATCAGTCCTAATCTCACAAAAACAAGAGGCTGATCAAAAATTGTAAAACTTGGAAGAATTAGAAGGTTTTCAAAAAGTTTCCAGTCTTTTATCATAATTGATGACAACCAAAGATAATCGAAAGTTTTTCAGTCACCCATTCAATGAATTCATAAAGAAAAAAACAGAAATTTTATTTTTTTGAAAAATCCAAGAGACGAGTGGTGAAACTTTCCAATTAGTTGAAAAAAAGTCTATGGGGTTCAAAGGAACAAAAAAATCAATCTGATGATCAAAAAAACTGTACGGAAGAAAACTGGGAGTCCTATATCTTGATAAGAATTTGAAGTTCCGCCAAACCGGTATGACATGACCTTTCAACCTCTTTGTTCCCTTTTGAAATTTCCAATCAAGTTGAAGGGATAATTCAATTAAACCAAAAACCTTCAAAATGACATCGATTCGGACAATCAGCCGAAAGAAGGTGAGAGCAAAGAACCAACGTCGGTTTCTCGACGTCAGACGTATCGCAATCGCTAAACAAGAGGTCTCGTGTAAAAACGAAGGAATCAAACCTAAACCCAATCAGGTCGACCCGGAAAGAGAAAAAAAAAGAGAGAGAAGAAGACGTTCAGAACAGCGCGTGATGGAGGTCGGCCACGCCCTTCGACCGTTCAAAGTGGAAATCCAGTCAAGAGGTCATTTTTATTATTTCTGAAATGAGAAAAAAAGAAACAAATCCTACTTATTCTGAGAAATTCACCGACTAAACGTGTAGAGAACATTGGCAGCAAAAAAAAGATTAAATAACATAAAACTAGACTCGAAACTACCCAGTTGCGGCAAACAATGAAATCGCTGAACAAAATAAGATTTCGCTTTTGTTTTCGAGGGGAAAAAGGTCAGGAAAAAAAAATGGAAAGTGAACAAAGAATCATAAAGTTGGTTGGAACACTGCGTGGAGGATGAAAAATTAGAAAGGGGGAAAAGTTGCTTTAAATGCTGTTGATAGCCTTTCCGCAGTAGGCGGCGAGATTCGCTTCTCGGAAGGCTTCTGAGAGGGTCTGCAAAAGAATTCCAATAATTTTAGGTACCATATTCAGTGATTATTTTGCTTTTTTCAGCTTCTTCTGAAGTATCCCACACCTTTCTCTACGTGTACTTGAAAAAGGCCAGAATTCTCAACTCAAAATGGACTTCCTGACTCGTAAAATCTGATAAAGTTCCTTGTTTTTTTTCTTTTTTATTTGACGTTTTTCGCGCAGAAAAAGTTTACACCCAGAAAACGACCTGAATAAGGTCGAAGAACGACGGAAAAAAGCAAAAAAGGTCAGAAAACAGTGAAAAAAAAGAATATACCGGGTGAGGATGGCAAACGCGGGCGACGTCTTCCGCCGAAGCGCCGTACTCCAAGGCCAAAGTCGCCTCGGCGATCATTTCGCCGGCATTCTGAATTCAAATTTATGAACTTCTCTTCTTTTTCGTTTGCAGAAAACTTCTCTCACAAAAAATTAACTACAAAAAAAGAAAGTTCGCAGTCTTTAAAATTAAGGGTTCGGCTTTGGAACTAAATGTTTTTTTTTCAGTATTTCGAGACTCACCGGTCCTATGATATGAACTCCAAGCATCCGATCAGTCTGCTTGTCAGCCAGAATCTGAAACCAGGAGAGATATCGAGACGCCGATAGGGAAACAAAAAAGACCTTAACGAATCCTTCCTGATCATTGTTGGTCTTGGCGCGAGAATTGGCGACGAACGGGAACTTGCCGACCTTGTAGGCGACGCCCTGAACATCAACGATCAGGCTTCTGCTTGAAGCTGAGAATCACTTTTCCAAGGGTGCTTGGTTCAAATTATACTTCATGCAAGTGAAATTTTTACAGAAATTCACAAATTGAGAAGAAATAGATTGAAAAGGAGAACGAGAAAATATATGATTTCCCGCGCAAAACCGCTCTATGGACAATAAATACTGTCGTTTCTCGTTTCTAATCATTATTTTCTCCTTATTTTTAAAATTCTCTTAGGAAATTATTCGTGATGAGAACTGCTGATTAGAATCAAGTCGCGAAATATTAGAAGTGAGCTTTTTCTAGAAAATGGTAATTAACTATTTGCACACTGTTCCTTCGCGCAAAATTGAAATTTTGTCTTACTAAAAAAACGATCTTTTGTTCAATTTCGAGTACAAAATCGGAAAAAGTTGTTCAAAAAGGCACTATCCTCTGAAGCGTCATTTTTTCTTCCTCATATTTCTATTTGGGGAACCGTCTTTCCGATGTTTCAACCTCCTGTTTCAGCTGTTCTTCGGCCTTTCCGACCCAGGCGACTTCAGGATGTGTGTAAACGACGGACGGCACACAGTTGTAGTCGATGTGAACGGGGCCGCCGGCGATTCCTTCCACGCAAAGAATTCCTCAAAAGTCATGGGTTGGAAAGGAATTCTCACTGTCGATTGATCCAAAATCAAAGAAAATCTTCCAATCAACTCAAGGTCGACTTCTCAGGCCTTCAAGAAAGCTCGCAAACAGATCAACAAGTTCAAAGTTCGGAAGAACGGCCTGACCCCATTAACCGGTTAATTCGTATCTAGATTGATTAGCACCTTTTTTGAGAAAAAAAGGTCAATAAACTCAAGAGAAAAAGAAAGACTTTCATTTGTTCAAACCTTCATCTTCAGCCTTATGGGCGAGCATGGGTCCTTCGATGACGTCACCAATGGCAAAGATGGATGGGACCTAAACGCAAGTTTTCTGGTTTCTTTCAAAAACATGATTCCATTCGAATATTTCAAGTTTTTCTGTTAAAACATTTTTTTCACATAATTTGACGGAAGCTGAGAATCTTGTCTAAAGTTAAGAGTAGAAGCAAAAAACTTGCTAAAACAATAAAAGTCTCCATTTTTGAAAATGCTCAAAAACTTTTGATTCTTTTTAAAGCGAACAATAATATCTTTTTGTTGTTATTTCATTTTTAAGAACTTTATGTATGATAATTTCAGGGTCTTTGGAACTATCGTTCTGAAACAGGGATGTATAATGAAGCTTAATACCTTTACCGTGAACAATCCTCAAAGAAAGATACAAATAAAATTGTAAATTATGTCTTTCTCCGTTTTTTTTTTTTCTGATTCTCCTCATTTTTTGTAGTGGAAATTATACCTTTCTCAATGCTTTATTCGGAATGACACTTCTCCCTTCTTTGCCACTTTTCCAACCTAGATATCTAATGACAGGTGTCTTCCGTGTACTCATTTCCTGTTTTTTACAATTTCCCTCTGCCAACATCTAAATAACATAGGAAGGTCAATGAAACTTTTTATTCGACGTATACTTTTGTTTTGATTCTAGTTTGGGAAGGGCATTACAGGTTAAGTGCAGACTTGTTCTGCGATATTTGGATTTCGGTTGCTTTGAAAAAAAGGCGTTACTTCTTCTCTGACTCGAATATGTGGCACGCATGTATGAGACAGTGCTACCGCGACCGGTCAATATTGCGCCGTCAGACTCGGAGCATTTTAAAAAAAAAGGAAATTATTTCTAATTTCCTTTCTTTTTTGCAAATTGTTAAGGGCCTGCCTCTCGAGGTTACAAGGTAAGTTACATCACAAAAAGTACACAAGTTTTCGTTTTATTACTGAAAAATCTATCTAAATTAGCGCAATACGACCGGCCACCCTAAACAGGTGTAGTGGTAGAGCACATTTTTCAGAATGTTTCTTAGAGTTTTTTCAAGAATGAAACCAATTTTTTCTCTTTCTGAATGAAAAATGAGAAACGTACCTTGGTTTGGAAACGTCCATCAACAGGGATTCTTCCCCTCTTGTCCAGTTCGATCTTCACATTTTCCAGTCCGAGTCCCTGCGTGTAGGGCCGACGTCCGACAGAGACCAGCAGGGCGTCGCATTCGAGCTGAACAGATTAATGAGGAAACTATAACTCGAAGTTTATTCCTAAACATTCTACAGAATAAGTTCAAGATTCGTTGTATTTCACCGATAAATGAACCCAAGAGTGAAGTTCGTAAAAAGATCAAGATTATCTCGTGGAAAAAATAGAAGCACTTGATTGGCCTTGAACGTGCATCAGTTATCCTTTAATAACCGAATCACGCAAATTTGCAAATTTTTTTCACCATAACTTTTGTAAAACTGAAAAAAGAACGCGAAATAAGTGCGATGACAGAATTTCATGTTGAACAGATTCCTTCAAACTTCCAATTACAAAGATTTTATTAGAAAAAGGCACCGTCTGTTTCTTCCCGTCCTTGGCTCCCTCGACCTCAACGCTGATCTGCGATCCGTTCTTCTTGGCTCCGAGAACCTGAAATTAGTCTGAAATGAGAGAAATTCAATGAAGACACCTTGGTGTTGAGGAGGAACTTGAATCCCTGCTTGGTGAGGGATCTCTGGAAGTTCTTGGCGACTTCTCCGTCGATTCCCATTCCTCCAATCGTTCCGATGTACTCGACGGCCGTCACTTCAGCTCCCAAACGTTGCCAAACCGATCCCTGAGACACTTTTTTTTTCGAAACTGATTATTAAAAAGTTAAATTTTAGAAAAACAGAGAACTAAGTGATTTGAAAACTCCAAGTTCTTCTCAGAGAAACTCTATTTTGATGACGTCAAAAATAAATGAAGAGAAAGAATAGCTGATCATCGTTAAAATGTACCGAAAATGAATATTGAATACATGATCTTTTATTAAACGCCGGTTCATCGATACTTCGTTATATTTAAATTAATCTAACACTAGTAAAAAAAATTGAATTCATTGAAAAAATGGACGAAATCGTTGCGAAATCGATATGTGAGGAATAACTTCAACTATACTACAGAAACCGTTTTTAACAACAAAAAAAAACAGAATTAGAAATTTCGATAATTAGAAAAGCTTCAATTCAATAAAGTTCGAAATGAATTGAAATCATTGACAAACAAAGAAGAGAAATAAAGAAGGAAAAAGAACGAACCAATTCCAATCCGATGACTCCAGCTCCAATGACGACCATCTTTTTGGGGACGGCCTTCAGAGAAAGGGCTCCAGTCGAGGAAACGATGTTTTCTTCGTCGATTTCGATTCCCGGGAACGGAGTAACCTGATAACCGGATTGGTAACATAACTACAGTGATAAAAACAGATTTAACAAGGAAGAATAAAGTTTCTTGGAAAAATTATTATGAAAAAAACATTCAAAAAACTCCAATTCCAGATTTCAAGAAAATTCTTAAAAAAACGGTTAGAAACGTAAACTTTACTGAAACTATACATAGGAAAAATAAAAAAACTTTTAAGAAAAAAAGTCTTCAATAAATGTATATATAACACAAAACATAACCTTTGACAGCTTGTAAAAACAAATAACAAGAAAAACGAAGAAAAAACTTTCACAATGGAGTAATTTTGAAATTCCTACCTCAGATCCAGAAGCAATGAGAATGTTGCGAGTATTGATGGTTTCAACAGAGCCGTCGCTCTTTTTGGCTTGAACCTGAAATTATATTTCTATTTTTAGTTTCACGCAAACCTTGTTGAAATTCAAAAACCAACCTGGTTGGGCCCAGTAATGCTGGCAAATCCCTCAACATGTCCGACCTTGTTAGCCTTGAAAAGCTGAGCGATTCCTAAATACTTATTCCGTGAAAAAAACACGCAAAAAGAACTGTTGAAAGAAAAACTTTTAAAAAAAGTAATATTCCAATTTTTTTGCGTGTGACAAATTTTTTTGCGAAGTGAAAAACATGAAATTATAGAATCGACATATCCTTAAATCTAAAAAAATCTAAGAAACTTTCTTGCCGCAGAGATTCTGAGATTATAAAAATAATTTGAAATTGAAAAAGAACACTTCAAAAACGGAAAAAAAGAATCTTTTCCTGCCTGACAGAAGTAAGAAATATATGAATTCTTGTTCATCTTCAAGCTTCGAAATAAAAAACGAACCGCCAGTGAGAGCCTTGACGGATCCTCGCTTGGCTTCCATCATTTTGTCAAGGTTCAATGAAGCTGTGCAATCGATTCCTGTAAAGTTTCCTATTCGATTATTAAATAAACGAAAAGACAAACCTCGGCTAGCAAAATCGTGCTGAGCCATGTGCAAAAAATTAGAATTGTTAAGTAGAGACTTTGAAGGAATACAACCGACATTCAAACAAGTTCCACCAAGTGTTGCGTTCTTTTCAACGCAAACAGTCTAGATTTATATTTTAAACAAAGATAAACGAAAAAATATATTCCTACTTTCATCCCCAACTGTGCGGCCTTGATGGCAGCTACATATCCTCCTGGACCGCCGCCGATAACGACCAAATCGACATCTCAAAAACGAAGATTTATACTTAAATTATGAAAATTCGGCGATGTTCCTACCTTGTTGACTGCTGTAGCATCTAGCAAGGAACTGACAAGTTTGTCGTTTGCCGAAAAGTGACGACGTCCTGGAGAGAGACATTACCTGAAACAGAAACTTCAAAAAAACGCAAGAAAAATTCAGATTCACGAGAAAAAATTATCTAAATTAATTATGTACTTGAAAAAGGTTTTCCGAACTCTGTTAGTTAAGTTCTAAAACGCCATTTCAGCTCAAAAAAAGTATTTAAAAAATAATTCAAAAAAGAAAATATTTGCAAAAGAAAATTAAAACTGTGACCGTCCGTCCTTTTCATCTCTTCGCCGTGAAAGCCTCGCAGCGCTCGGCGTGCGCCTTTAATTTTTCAAGCAATCCACTCTCGAAAGTCAAACATACAATTTAGTTTTTTTCTGGTTTTGAACCTATAGTTGATTGAAATTTCTTAATGAATGAACGTAATTATTTTTACACACAATTAAAAATTTCTTAGTTTTCGACAAATTGTTTACACCCCTGGGTGAGAACCTTACATTACTTCATTGTTTCGAATAGTCGCGAAATTCTTCAGAATTCAAATAGGTTCCGAAAGATTTTAGTTCTTTACAATAGCAGAATATTTCAGAAAAGTCATAAAATTTCAATTTTTGCACATTTGAAAATAGATAAAAAATTTCAATGCTTCGAACTAATTGTATTAAAAACAATTAATTTTTTGGATGATTTTTTCGTCTTTCTAATAAAGCTATTTTGTATTGGTTCTGAAGTATATCAGACGTTTAACAACCTTCGAACTTACAGCAATCAAATAATTTATTATCCATATTACGATAAATAACTTGAATAGTTTTATTAAAAAGCGGGGATTTATCGCCGTCGTTCTCCGTTCTCGAAGAAGACTCCGCCGTCGATGGCGCAGTACCTGAAAATGTTCTTTTATTTCATAAATGAGACTTTCCGCGAACTTTGGACAGATTCCGCGTTCTCCTGGGTTTCCAGGCTTTCCAGGAGCTCCTGGCTCTCCGTCGTTGCCGTTGGCGCCGTCGGCTCCGTCAGCGCCAGGCGCTCCGGCCGGTCCGGGAAGACCGTCTTTTCCGTGGTTGCCGGGAACTCCAGGCGTTCCGGCGGCTCCAGAAGGTCCGACTTCGCCGTCCTCGCCAGGTGGTCCGACCACGCTGTCGTCGACTGGGCAGGCTTCTCCTAGAAAAAAAATGAAGTTAATAAATTAGTCGACTAAATTTTTAGGAAATTCTTTTATATCGCATCGAAATTTTGAGATTATCCTGTGATCCATTGGGGCCGTTTTTACGCTGTTTTCGAATCTCACTTTAATAATTGTTGCGAATGTCTATTTTAAAGTTAGTAATTTTTGGCTGACTCAGAAGTCACGCAATGACTAGATTCTAATCCCTAATGAGAAAATTGAGAAATTATTGAATGGAAAATAGGAAAAATCGAACACCAACCATCATGTCCATCTTCTCCGCGAGCTCCATCGAATCCAGGTGGTCCAGGCTTTCCAGGACGTCCGGGCGATCCAGCCAGACCGTCGAATCCAGGTCTTCCGTTGACTCCAGGCCTTCCATCGTCTCCAGGCGCTCCAGGTTCTCCCTTATCTCCTGGAGGACCGGCCGCACACTTGCAGCCAGAGAGGACTTGCGGATCGCATGGGGATCCCATCGCCTTTCCAGAGTTTCCAGGCATTCCAGGAGCACCGCTCTTTCCGTGACGGCCGTTGCGTCCAGGCGGTCCTGGTGGTCCTGGAGGTCCTGGAAGGCAACATTCGTCGCAGTTCGGCGCGACGTCGGCGTCATCAAAGTGATTGCGTGGCGAACGGACGGTACGGTTTCCGGTGAGCATGACCTTCTGCATGTCTTCTACCCCATCGAAGAGCTCCTTCGCCACTTCGTTGCATTCCTGCAAGGATAGTTGTTGATCCGCGAAAATGAGGATGAAGAATGGGAGAATTTGGAAAGTTTCAATGGGAATTCAGTTTGGGAGCTTCAAAACCATCGACGTATAATGGAAAACTAAAAATTTCGTGGAGTGTTCGGAGAAAATCCTGCCCTATACAAAGTGTGTCTTGAGATCGATGTCTTTCGAATCATATAATCGCTGGATAGTCGGCTAAATAACTCTTTGATGTACTAGATGATAGTCTCCATATCAACAAGTTTCCATTTTTGAGGACGGACGCTTTAAAAGAAGCTTTTCTGGAATTTGTTCAATAAATAGGATTTTGAATCGTCTTTTCTCGAAAATAGATACTGGTCAAGTTGAAATTTGGAGAATTCGCTGAACCGGAAAAGTTCCGAACAAATTTAACGCAGACTGAAGTTGAAAGTATGAGATGTTGAACGATTCGAAATCCCATCGGAAACTCATAGAAAAAGGAAAACCAACCAAAAACTGAGCCTCCAGACGCCCTTTCATCGAATGGACATAGTGGTAGGCCAAAGGCAGAGTCACGGCGGCGGCAAAAAGGACGACGACAGAAACGACGCCGACGGAGTAGGTCAAGGTTCTGTAGGCCTTGAGGCGATGTCGCTCGGCTTCCATTGCTGCTTTTCCTCCACCTATCGTCTGGCAAACCCTTTTATAAGGTCCAAGATCTCCTGGACCCATCTTCCCAAGCCCATATCCGTATCGTTTTCGCCGTCCGTCGGCTTCTTCATCGTTTCGAAACTCCTCGGCGGAGAGGCAATAGAGCGGTTCTCGCGTTCCATTAGCTCCCTTTTTTGCACGTCGTTTCCAAGTCTTATCTCGAATGTTTCTTCTTCTTCTTCTCCCACCTTAGGTAGCGTAATCTTTTTAGCTTCCAATGTTGCGATAAGCTTTTGTAGTTTTTTTCATTGATCCTTTCTAGATCATCCGAATCGATTTCTTAGTGATTTAAAAAAATTGGATTTTCGAGCTTTTTAACAACTTCTTGATCAAACCATTAATCATAATCTTTTCATCCATCTTAACTTCTCAACCAACTTCTTAAACTTAAGCTAGTAATTCAGAAGTCGAGTTGAGACTTTTATTATTACATTCTTCACAAAAACCATTAACTTAAAAAGAAAGGTCCTGAAACGTTTCGCCAAAAACACTCTAATTTTTTTCTATTAACTTTAAAAAAATAAAAAAATAAAAAGCAGGAAATGGAATATGAGTTCCGTTGTAGTTCTTGTTTCCAGTTGCCCGTAATTTTTGTAAAAATAAAAAGAAATCTACACAATATCCACTCCATTTCTATATCAAGTAGTAGTACGATTCAAAAATAGCTTTCTAATCTGTTTATAGCCTTTTCATGCTTTCAATAATTCGTTTCCCGGCCTGGTTAATCTCCTACGACACTGATTATTCAAGATAACTCAAATGTTTGAAAATAGTGAGATTAACCTGATCCTTGGAACACAAAGTCACGATTGCGTGAAAGTAAAAGTATAAATAACCGATTTTTTTTTGATTCATTGGAAAAGATATTCAAAAAATTACAAATATTTCAACTTACAACTTCTTTTTTTCTCAAAGGCACACCCCTGATTAAATTTACCTAATAGAAGTTTTTTTCGCCAAAATAAACGGTTATCTAAATGATTTTTTTAGACTAAATCTCTCGCACAGAATTATCAAACACCTTTCATTTCACCAGAAAAAGAAATGATACACATAGGAAATTAAAAAAAAAAAACAAAATCCAATGGGGAATGATGAAACAAACGGAATGATAACCATCAAGATATGAGAAAAAAGGAAAAAAAATAGACTATGAATCTAAATTTTGATATTATTTGATTGCTCAAAATTAGTGATGATAATCATAATCACAATGGAAAAGATGTACACATGAAGTTATTGAAACGAATACAGTAGCGGGAGGCTTTTTACACGTAATTTCAGGAAATAATTATTCAAATGAGGGCCAAAGAGGAGAGAGGACAAGGCGCCAGGGCGTTGTGTTCTGTCCTAACCGTTACTTTTCCGTCGACCAAAGTGTCTGGTTGAGCAAAAACGACCTGGAAATTATTTGATATTATTTTCAAAGCTTTTCAAACTGTTCACTTTTTTTGCATTTTTTCGGAGTGGTTCCCGTTAAGCTCGAAAAACTCAAAAAAAAATCGATTCTTTTTTCTTTGAATTTCAACTGACAGGCCAAAAAAAAATCTCAAAGCAATTGAAACGATCTACGACGATTTCTTGAAGACTTTCCGAATCAGACTCTCATTTTTCTACGTTCTGGTCCTCCAAAGTGTTTAAGAAAGGTGTAACGAGAGTAATTTAGACATTAAATGGGCACAGAAAGTAAAAGAAAAAGCTCATAAAGTCGACTTTTTATCTAACCTACTATTGAATAATTGAAACTAACGTTGGTTGGATATGATCTAAAATAGAAAAAAAAAGGAATTAAAACGCTATTATAGATAAGAAGTTGAGAAAAACTCGGTTTTTTTATTTTCAAGACTCAACCTTCAGTAAATTAAGGATCTAATACCAATTTCGACTTTCCAGCTTACCAGCAATCAACTAAACTTCAAGTATCTGAGAAAATTTTGAGAATTATTACATTTTGAATTTAGCTGTCTAAACTTCGAGGTTAAGCCTCAGAAAACTTCTTAACAGTTTGAGAAAAGTTTTACCTGGTCTCTGTACATTCGAAACTTCTGTTCTGGAACAAAAACGTTCTGAAGAATCCGCATCGCTTGTTCGCCAGGATGCATTTGAGCGACACAAGTTGCGGGGAAGGTTATGAGGTGCTCGGTTCTGAACAGAATCATATTCTCCGGATTCAGCAACGAAAATAAACATGTCAAGTTTGAGGAATGTATTCAGAAGATCATCAAAGAAGCTTGCAACGGTTATGAATGATTTTGAAGTCGTTTGAGAATATAAAAAAAAGGTCAACTATTTTGCGCAAAATTACAGCATTTTGATTTCTTTTACCATGGTTTGTTGGGTTCAGTGACCTTATACGCATCACATCAAGTTACCAAAATATTCTTGAAAGTTTGACAGAGACGCCTAAGCAATTCCTGGAACTTTGAACAATGATGTGTGATAAAATGATACCTATCGTTGTAGCGGAAGCCGTGGAGCCAGTCGGGATCGCCGTTGTCGACGACGTGGACCCGTTCGCCGAGGACCAACGGAGCTCCATACGACGGCGCGTATTCGTGGATCACAATGTAACCTCGCGATTGCACTGAAACTCCCATGGGTGTCTTTCACAAGTATTCGCAATTTAGTTCGATAATGTAAGACGTCTTGAAGCTTTACAATTATTACAACTTTACTTATCGTCTCAATATTTTGAAACTTTAAAAGAAATTACCAAAGGCACACCTTCGAACAACCTTAATTAGGAAAGGTAATATTCAAACTTTATTTTACAAAATTTTCTGAAATTCTCCGTTCAAAATGTTTAAAAAATGAAAAACTTCTTTTCTTTTTTTCTCACGAGCATACCCAAAATCGACGATTTCCCAAAGTATAGCCGGAATTCATTCGCCGTCAACTCATATTTCTCTCAAATAATCATTTCCCTCACGAGGTTCTGCGAAAATTAAATTTTCCGCAGAATCAAAAAAAAATCCCGATGCAAATGAAATCCTTGGCAATGATTCGGTTTCGTTCTTTCCACCTCATCAGAAATGATATCATTATAAAAAAGATATGCACCTGCGTGCAAAAAAAAAAAACAAAAAGCAAATAAATGGAAATTTTTTTGTGAAGAACATTCACCATGGAAATTCGTTCAGGTTTTTGTCAGGTAATATTTGAGTTATTTATTTGTTTCGGCTGAAGTGAACCGAAAAAAAAAATCAAAAGACACACAAACACGAAAAAAAAAGAAGTTTCTAGAAGTTTCGGCTACATTCGCAATATAGCCACGACTGACTACAAGTTGGTACGTTTCTCAAAAAGCTCTAATAAAAAAAAATCGGGTTGTAGAGCTGTTTACTCCTCAAAACTCTCTTCTTTTTCTCCCTTCAAGAAACTCGTCGGAATCTCTTCAAAACTACAGGTCCAAAACTTCCTCGATCTCTGAAAAACTCACTCAGAGCTGCACTACTTCTGCGGCTCTTCACGATCGGCGAGCATGACCTTTCGACGTCAGAAAAGTCGGAACTGCCGTTGACCGCGCCATTCCGTCGGAAATCTCTCGGTGCCAGCTTTCCTCCTGAAAGTTCAATGTTATTCGTTGTTTCGAGGCAGAAATGACTGACTGAGTGGACTTCGAGTGGCAGAGTTGATCCTCGGAGGCATGTCCTGACAGTCCAAAGACAGCGATTTCATCTGCGTCGACAGCTTCGGCGCCCGTCGTCGCCCTGTCGATCTTCCTGAAAAATTGTGGAATCTTTACAAAAACTTCAAATGCTATTATTCGAATAGAAAAAAGCCCCTTGATAATGATAAGTGTGACATAAGAAGAGGGAATGTCTCGAATAATTCCCACACTAGGTTAGAAAGTCCATTTAGACCATTTTGGTACATTCTAGACCGCCTAGGCAAGAAAGCAATTTTTTAAAAGTCTCTGGTCAACCTCAACATAAAACGACGCCTTTTTAAAATCGAAAGTCTTGTTTCACGGTTCTGAGACTGAGCTAAACAGTCCGAGAGAGAATCTAGTAAGTCGGGGCTTAGGATAGTTATAGATTCAAATTAAGCATGAAAAGAAAACATGGCTCATGGCAGATCAGGCTCCATAAGTTCAAATGTCTCAAAAGTTTCCGATCATAAGCATAAGTCTGATTTGACAACTGAGTAGATCAAGGCTTTGAAATTTCAAAAACGCAATTCACTTAATATTAACAAAAACTGATTCTGGCCAACGTAAAAAGTTTTCTTTTGAATCGGGAGAGCTTTTGTTCTGTTGAATTTTCGATAACCTTCGTGAAACGACTGAGACGCTAAGCATAAGTCTGATTTGACAACTGAGTAGATCAAAGATAGACGAAACCATTTTGAGAGCCAGTGTAGCGAAGTTTGCGGCGCGCCGTGTACAAGAGGCCAAGCGCCGGTGGCGTCAAGCAGGCGTTCATCGATGGGAAAGGAAGGCCGAAAAAAGGAAGAGGAGGCGGCGACTGCCTCGGCCGGATATGATATGACAAGGAGTAAGGATGAGGGGTGGAGTAGCGCCGATAATCCTGGAGCGGCAGAAAAAAGGCGATTGTCCCTGTGGGTGGGGGCCGCTTAGCGTCTCAACAACACCGGAGAACCGTCTTTTCGAGGTTTTAAAGCCTAATTTCTGATTTCTGTTTCGTTATTTTGTCAATTTTGAGAAAAGCTTTACTTCTGAAAATGGAGAAAAGTTCCGTTAGCCAAAGTATTAGAGCGAACTTAAGCCTAGTATCCAGCAGTATCAATTTTAACGAAGTTAAAATTAAGCTGGAAGTATGAAAATGAAAAAAAAAGTTGAAGTTAAATTTCAGGTACACCTCTTTTTGAGTGATCTTTTTATTTCGCAAAAACCAAAATCTGAACATTTTCAAAATTTATTACTAAAGCTCTTCAACAAGGACGCTTTTTTTGCATGAAATAAGTATTATGTTATACCTGAAAGTAATTGCATTTCTCATCAAAACTCGGAAATTCTTATAATTTAGGATCGAAAGCTTTTTTTCTTCACAGGTGGGGTTGTTAATCCACCTATGTCTTTTTTCCTCCCTGCAACTTCACCACACCATCCCGATGTTGCGAAAAAATAAAGTGTTGCGATTAAAAAAAAGTTTCTTCCGAGCTGTAGTCACAGGAACTCCCAATTAAAGAATACTCTACGCAAAAACTTCCTACTTCAGAAAACCTTCCATGTCAAATCCGTGCTAATCTTCATTCAACTTCCAACAATCCTTGATTCCTGTCCTATTGATGATGGTTCAAAAGAAGTTCTTAATCTCTGTTGCTTGTGACTTCATCAGAAACTATCAAATTATTACAAATAATAAACTTACAAATAATACGTCGTAATAACTCCAGAAAAGTCATGTAGAGTCTGAATCTGAGGCTTCTATTTGTTTATAAAGGCTTCTTGAATGTGATTTCCAACTTATAAATCACTTTAGGCAAGTTTTAGGGATTCGCAAATTTCTCTATAGTGCCACGCAACGCTAATATAGTTTGGACTGAACCTCAAATTTATTTGAAGTCAAAAATTTTTGCTCTTCAAATAAAATAATACTTTTTTCCCATATATCTTAACTGATGGCCCTAATAAACTTAAAATTCTGCTAAAACAACTAAAATTTTACGAAAAAGTTTTATGCTTTGAAAAGCGATATATTCTTACATACCAGTTACTTTTGGTTCTTCGAAAAGTTTCTTCCTTTCACTCCTCCAGATTTTCGAGTTATCATGACACTCCCAGACGTGTTATTCCACCTTCTTAATAATTCCAAACGTCTCATGACGCATTCCAAGCATCACAAAATATCTGGAAGGACTTAGAAATTCCTGAATTCCAAAACAAACACCCAAAAAGTTCTTCAAAGCGGAAACCTTTCAGAGAAAAATATCATTTCGAAGCCACAGAAAGATTCTGTGAAAGAAAAAAACGGAAAAAAGAAAAAGCGAATTCTTTCCTAACATTTAATAAAGGCAACTTTTGTTGAGTTGAGGGTGGATAGAAAATGGGAAAATGAATAAATCATGAAAGTGGAAAGCCCAAAAACCACCTGTTCGTTGCCAAAAAGTGACAGCTTTTTTTCCAAAGTTTCTAGTTGATGGATGGAAAAAAGAATAAACAGACTTTTTGAATCGATTTCGGTGTTAGATAGGCGATTTTATTTCTTTACCAAAAAATTAGTAGTTTTTGATGAAGATTTCACTTTAAGTTTCATTCAAAAAAAAAAATCATAATTTTGATATCAATTTTTCTTACCCTTCGCAGTTTTTGAGGTCATCTTCGCTATGAAAAAAACTTCAAAAAAATCTTTAAAAACCTGTTTTCGATCAGATTATAACATAATTATTCCATACAACCTTATTTTTTTCTCCCAGATAAATTTTATCCTCTTGAAATCTTTTCTGAAAAATCAAGTGGGCGTTCAGGGAAAGTTGATATTTCCTCATAGCCTCAAAATCTTCATAACTTTGCTTCTCATGATCTTCAATCAATTCTTATTTTTGAGATAATACTGATTACAGGCTTGGATAATCAAAGAACTTTTTCATAAACCAAGAAAAATATTATTTTTTTGTAAGTGGTAAAAGAAGGAGAAACTAAATAGAAACCTGTAGGATCATTTTTAGAGAACTCCAAATAATCTGGAAGACATGGGAAAAAAGATTGACCCACTAAGAAGTCAGGCCTGGAGATTTTTGAAAAAGTTCACAGCACTCTAAAAGCTTATAACCAAAAAATTGCGAGGAAAAACCTAAGACCCTTTCGGGCGCTTCCGGTCACGGTTCAAATCGCTGTAGACGTTTGAATAAACCAAAATACAAATAGAAAAAGACTGCAAAAAATAACAAGAAAAAACGTCTTAATGCTTAGAAGGAGCGTAGGCGGCGGCAGCAGCAACAGGAGAAGACGGAAAAAATGGCTTAGAAAGGCAAGGCACCTGCCCCCAGGTGCAGGCCGGACTAATTGGGCCCGACGGTGCGTCGTCGAAACAAAAAGGCGAATAAATCGGCCGTGAAACCGGCCACTCACTCACCAGTATTGTCGAGTTGTGGCGTCGAGCCCAACATCGGATTTCCTTTGGCCGACGTCATCTCCGCGTAGCCAGAGTCCTGAACACAGCCCTTGTGAATTTGTGTAAAGATTATTCGAATGACTCTAGCGAAAAGGCTTGAGTCTGTTTTTCTTCTTAGTTATAAAGTATGAAAGTCTACTAGCAAAATAAAAAGCTGACTGCGAAACTGTCGCTAGTAAGGTGCGCCTGACCACAAAACGACTTGCGCGTTGTTCAGTTGGAAAAACGAATATTTTCCGAATTTATTGGTTTAAACTGGGAAAAAGAAAATTTCAACAGGTTCTAGAGTCTGTTATATCCGCAGACTTTTAAAGCTCAATCTATATCTTCTACAAGGGTAAAACTTTTAGGTTTGCAGAGAAAAATAAAAAGAAGTTTCAATTGATACTGTTAACAGCTTATTCATTTATTCTAATTTCCCACGTTTCAACTTTTTTTTTTCGAGTAGATTTACCTGCGCATCACTCCACAATATATGAAAAACTCACCCTATTTAAAAGTCTGAAAAGATGAAATCGCATGGAGAGAAACCGAAAAAAAGCAGAATTTTGGAGAATAATAGTACTCAAAAACCCAGTTTTTATTATCAATTTTAAGGGGAAATCGATGACGTCACTGACAAGTTAAATGAGGTCCCATGGGTGGGAACCGCGCCGGAAATTTCGAAGAATTTGCCGAAAAACTTGTGAAAAAGTGCGTCTTTTGAACGTAATTTTCGCTCCTGTTTTGGTCAGATTATCTGTTTGGACGCAGAAACTCTGGTCTGACAACAAATCGGAATAATAAATCCTAATCATATCATGCGTGGCTCAATCAAAAGCGGAAATAACTCACAACTGATTCATTGCATGAAATACGAAAGCGAAGAAAAAGTGGAGGATCTTGTTAATGATTCATGATAATTTAGCAATTAGACTTTGCCTCCAAACAAATAGATAACTGATTGGATGAAAATGGGAATCTTGAAAACTTTGAGGTTAGAAAAAAAAAATTAAAATCAAGTATGTTCACTTTGATTATTTGAAAACTTCGAATGTAATACCGATTTTTTTTTCAACTTAATTATTTCAATTAGAGTTCAAACTTCGAACTGACCACTTTCTGACTTCCTCACAGCAACGCAGAAAAAAATCATCGAAATTCCGTTCAACTCTCTAAACTTTTTTGCTCTCTATTTGCAGAAGATCAAATTAGTTGAAAAAATCCTTAACTTTTTTATTCAACTTAGATTACCGTCCGAACCGATTTGTGTCTTTTTAATTCTCGCACAACTTCTATAACCTTCATTAAATGCTGTCTAAAACAGCGATGAACCAATTTTGATACTTCCACCATCTTATTGAGGCTATTTACTAGATTAGGTATTGTTTGATGCCGCCAAGCGCAAGTAGTTCGTGGTCGGGTTACGAAGCGCGAAAATTTTAAGGAATTGCTTGAACTTAATTCTTTGTCTTATGAAACGAGTAAAAATCATTGTAGTCGAACATGGATTGAAGGAAAACTTCTCGGTCGAGTTGCGATTCAATCATAAGTTACAGAAAACTACAATACTCCATCTTGCGACCATGCAAAAAAAGTCGTGCTTCGGGTGAGCCAGAAAGCGACCGCTTCGGCTCTCCTACGGACAATTCCAAGTGCGACCAAGTCAAGAAGCTCATCTTTCGACGAAAAGCTACCGTACCTGAAGAGAGACTTGCGATAGATTGCGAGGGCTCGGAGACGCAGACTCCAGGTTGGTGGAAGAGCCGCGACGCGTGTACCGGCCCGTCGCCTGCTTCAACGCCAGGTAAACCGGATCCACGATGACGTCTGGAAATTTTCACTATTTCATTAAGATCTGTGCCCAACTCTTTCCAAGCTTGTAATGCTTGAAATAAAAAACTAATATATATAAAAATTTTTTTCAAAAGGACATTCCGTCCCTCTTTTGTGTCAGAAAAATACATATTCTCTGTAAAAAAATTCAAAAAAATTCCATATGATAGACGCTACCTTAAAGCTGATTTTAAAAAAGCGTCAGAAAAAGAAATAATTTTTAGCGTCAACTTTTAGTCTGTTGAAGCTTATGACAAAGTTAAATTTTTCTTCAAATAATTTCAAAAACTAGTAATTATTCTTTTTCAATACAAGATTCCTATTTGATTGTTCTCTGTCCGAAACAACCTATCAGATGAAAAACCGCTTGAAGACGATCAAAACTTGAACAGAAAAAAAAATACTAGATTCGAAAAATCACACTTTTCTGTCGATCATCCAAAAGCATTTGAATTGTTGCCGGGTTTTCCCTCAGGCATTTTCGAAAAAAAGTCTTTTTTTTTCAATTCAGGGAAAGGTTCAATAACGACGCAATATCCACCAGAATCCGAGCCATTCCCGCTATACATAACATTAGTGGAGAGTGAGAAACGTAATACTAGGCAAACTTTGTTGATTGGGTATTTGTGGAAGTTTATATGGGTGGTTTGTGACCATTAAAGGAAGCCCTTCAAATCTCTTAATAAATAGCTCTCATTCTATTTATTCACTATTCTCAGAGAGAAGAATCTTTGATGAATAATGAAAAATCATAGAAAAACTGAATGATCATTCACAAATAAACAAAAAACAAGCTATTTTTTTCGAATCAAAGATTTTGATCCTTTAAATTTTTTTCAAGTATCCAAGTTTTTCAAATAAATTTTTATACTAGACGGCTAAATTCTGAAGCCAAGTTAATAGTATTATTCACGGATTTTGAAATTTAGGTAAACATTTTGAAAAAAAGGAAATAATAAAGACTTATCAATTGCTCTTATCAGAAAAACGTTGAAGCTTATTTTTTTCCAGGTGATATTAAAACTGTCGAAATTTATGTTTTAAAAAAATAGATATATAACGAATTTCAAAAAAATCTGCTGGAAAAACTCATTTCAAATTCGAGTTGAGTAAAAAAATCACATGGATATTGTTCATGAAAAAAACCGGGTTTGCTAAAAAAACTAATTTCTTAGATTATCAATTTTTTTGATTGGAACTTCTCAACTCGCTTAATTTTGCAACACCTTTTTGAAGATGAAAAAATTTTTCTTATACTTCTTTGCACGACACATTACAAATTCATTGGAAAACCCGGTCAAAACTCTCTCATTATTCTCTGTTTTCTTCTCTTTTCCTCTTGGCCAATTTTAATTAATTGCAGTTGCTCGAGTGTATATATGCATCGCGTGTGGCTCAAAGTTTTGTCCACTCGGAGGTGCAAAGAAAAAAGTCACTCGTTTTTGTTTTCCGTCTAATTTTCCCTTCTTCTTCTCACACTCGCATCGTTTTTCATTTATTTTCGAGCACTTCCTGTTGATGGAGAACCGAAAAAGGAGAAAATTTTGGGTATTTTTATACTGGGCGAAGAAAAGATAACAAAGAAAAACGGCCTCATCCAATTATTCAATGCAATATTTTTCTTTCATTGTTGTCGTCACTGAAAAGATGGAAAAAAAAAATGGAATTTTTGAACTTTTCTAGATCGATATGTTAATTGATACTCCAATTTGGATTAATAAAGTGAGAAATTTTCCGTTGATGAGCTTCTGAATAAGGAAAGATAAAAAAGCTTGTCTCCGAGCGTCTTTGAAAATCACGGTGAAAGAAAATTTTTTATTACTGTATTAAAATTGGATCCGATTTTGATATGTATTTGACCTTAAACCTACAGTAGAAAATCTTCATTTTTGGCTACAAAAAATAATTTCGTTCTCGAAACGTTTCCGATCTTATTTTGACTTTAGAGCCTTCATTTTACGACAGTTTTTTATCCAATTTTCTTTCAGCCAACTTTCCCTCAAACTCAAACCAACAAAGAAAACCTTGCGCCACTTCAACAAAAGCTTTCAACTACCGCTGAAAATGGCATTTGACCGAACAAAAAAGAGGAAAAGACGGAAGCCATTATATTTGAGCGTCGTTTCTGAAGAAGCCGAAAAATCAGACAAAAAATCTTCCTTCAAACATGTCGTTAGCTAAAATTGTTTAATATGATAAATGAATTCTGTCTCGAAATAATAACTTAATATTAGGTTTGTTCAATGCTTTTCAAAAAGATTCACAATTCAAAAAAAAAAAAATTTTCCTGCATGAAGAGCTCTGTTATTAGCAGTATAGAAATTGTTTTTGCAGAAGTCTCAAAAAAAGAAAAAAAATCAGGGAATTTTTTTTATCGACAAAATCTATGATCAGGAACTGAAACTATGAAGTAGTGAAATAATTCTTATAGTTAAGATATTCTTTAACATGAGCAATGCGTCTTTCGATTTTAAAGAATTTAGAATTCTCTCGCGGCTCGTGAAACATACTACAATAGTCTGAAGATGTTTTTTGAGAAAGTGTCAAATATGTCGCATTAGAAACGATTCAGTTTTCTGTAAATAAAAATCATTTCAATTCTCAAAGAGCATAACCGATAAAGTTTTCGAAGCCTTTTTCCTTTTATTTTCAGATAACTTAAAATATTTTCGCGAATAGTACAGAGAAACTAACCATGAACATTGTTGGCCGAGCCTCGGACGTCGGCGACCTTGGACTGTACAGCGCCGACGCCTCCAGAATGACCATGAGTCTTCTGAAACCTCGTGGATAAGTCCGAATAATTGGCGCGTTTGAGGAGTTTGCGAGCGATCCCACTGCTGTTGCTACTGCGAGCCGTAACGGCCTTTCTCTGATAGCCCGGACTTCGGAAGACTTCGCTATTTGTGTAGAGCTCCGGCTGGGACAGACGGGCATGGGCGTCGTACTCGACGAGCACCGACTCCGCTGGAGGATATTGGTGGAGCAAGGAGAACAAGCTGCCGTTTGGTCGGAGCTGTGGGAGCTGTCGTTGCGGTTGTCGAGCGCTCGAGCAAAGGCCCGGATTCATCCGAAGTCCTCCGGCCGGTGAGCCCATTGGCGTCTGTGGCAACGACATCCGACGTCGTCCTGCCGCCATCCTTGGAAACAACCTTCGGATGTGTGCCGAAGGAGTGGCCACGGCGGAAAAAGGGGCGGAGGCAGAGGAACACATCGCTTCGGGGCACACGTTCTCCTTCCTCCTTCTTCATTAACCTTTCTCATCCTATCTGCATCAGGAGCACGTTTTTTTCGCTCTCGTGAAAGAAAAAACGACGTCTTGAGGATTTGATTAGGAAGTTGGGCCCTACAGCCAAATATGAAGAAAGGCTGCAGAAATGACCTTTTCATTCGGGCTCACACGTTTTCAAAACCTTGCAAACTTCGCAGCGAAAACAACTAAATTTGAAAGGAAAAAAATATCATACGCGATTAATTTTTCTCTCACGATCGGACAGTCTTTCTAAAACTGAACTTTTTTTCCTCCAAAAGCTATACTTCCTTTTTAAGATTAAAAAAAAACAAATGCTAGCACGGAATAAAGTCTTGTGATTTAATTGATAATTAAGATCTTAACAGACCAAGTGAACGTCTTTAAATGAGCTTTTTTTCCTCAAAACAAACTTCCCAAAAAATGAAATTTTGCAAGGAAATCAAGATTTTTTTTTCCAAAAACCCACAATAAAACCTTATGCTCACGACAAATATCTGCTTGAAATATTCGCATCAAAAGATGGCGATATCGCTAACGACGTCGCTCATAATGACGTTTGTTGAGGGAAGTGGAACACTGGCACACATGATTGAAATGTTCGTGATGTCTTCCAGAATACGTTGTTGATGCATGTATATTCTATGATGTCTCGGAATCCGAGTATGTGTGATCGTTGAAGAAGACGTTGCTCGAACTCGGTTATCCTTGAAAGAAGCGCTTCTAGAAGACGTACGATGATTTCTGATGCCTCCGAGGTTGCAAGTTGACAGATTGAGTATGATATGCTTTCAAAAAACACCTTCGATATGCATCAAACTTGCAAATACTCGGCTAGAAAAAAAATACCGCAATTTTTTCAGTCCTTCTGAAAACTTCGGGTTTCTCGCTAGCTTCTTCCACTTCTTCATACCTTTTTCCTGGAGTCAACAACTTGCCGACCTGATATTCAGTCTCGGAGAACGTTGAAAACATAGAAGTTGAATTATGCATTCAGAAGAAGTCACGTCTATCATCAGGCCTTATGCAAACCTTTATGAAGTCTTCGACGACAAAAGGTCGTGAAAAAATTTCTTCAAATTTTTCTTTAAAAATCTAAAAAGACAAAAATGGCTCTTGACTTTGTAATCTGAACTTTTTAGAATAGAACGCTCATTTCAATTTGAAAAAAGACTAGATTTTCTGCTTGCAACATTTCGAGAGACGTTGATATCCACTGGAGGCATGTTTTCCGAAGTTTGAAGAAATTTGGAGACTTTTTTGGGTTGTAGATTAAATTCCAGACTACAGAATAACCTCTCTGGATCCGTCTCACTTCCTAAGAAATTTGCATAATTTCGCCCTACTTTAGCTTCATTCCGATGACGCAGAGAACTTTTTTTCGTTGCACTTGCACAGCCTAGACTCATTCCGAGCATTTTCGGATGAAGCTTCTCTTTTTTTCTGAGAATAAGCTACTCGAAACTTGAGATTACCAAAAAACTTGCTGATTTATTGCCTGAAAATATATAAAATCTCATTCTGCACGAACTCTTAGTTCTAAAAAAGTGGCGCCATTCAAAAAAATCTATCCTGGAAGCTTTGACGCGACGAAGATGTTCCTCTCAAACACGAAAGTTTTGGTCTATTTTCAAAGATTTTCAAAGCTTCAAGAACTTTTGAAGACAACTCCGTCCCCCATTTTCTGAGTTTTTCCCTCCAGTGTTTCACTGTTGAAGTCTTTCCCCAATCTTTCCTCCTTGGTCGCTTTCGAACAGCTTTCAGATCGCTTTTCCATCACTCACCCTATGTGATATCGGGATCTTGAAGCGATGTAGTCCTTGGATGACGCGAATCGCCGAGTGCCATTTGCGACGAGCGTGATGCGATGTCGCGGCGTCGATCGGAGACCCTTCAGCTGAAGTTCCTGTAGTGGCGCTCATCGAACTGTACGAGGAAGCTGTTGACGATTCTGGAACGAATAATATTTTTAGCTTTGGAAAAATAGTCACGTGATTGGTCAGATGGAGATTAAAGACGTCACAATCTCATCCAAAGAAAAGGAAAGAGAAGAAAAGGAAGTTATATTGGATTAGACCCATCAACTAGATATAAACACGTTGGGTTATGAGATGTCTACTGAGTATCAACTTTGGCCGTTGAAGCTCAAAGAAGTGAAAAAAAGCCAAATCAGCTGAAACCACAGCTCAATTAAAAACCTATAAATCATTAGACCAATTCGCGGTAACGTTGCGGCTTTCAATAAAGTATCTTGGTAGAAGCCCGAATACCAAAAAAAAAATGAATTCGTTTTCACAATGAAGTGAAAAAACGAATTGAATTTCGCGAACGTCAAAAATCCGAAAAATTAATAAAATGTATCCTAGTTTTACGATTGCAGATACAATTTCGTCTAGACGAAAAAGAAATTTGAGAAAGTCATTGTTTTCCGTGGAAAAAAAAAGACGTCAGCCACCTTGGCCTAACGGTTTACATTCCAGGCTGCGGATGGAATGGTCGAAAGTTCGACACTTTTTTCTTTTCCTTTTTTTTTATCAATTTCTTCCGCTCGCTGCATTTGCAGCGCAAGATGACGTCACTTTTTGAGATAAAGACGTCGATAATTATGCGGTTTAAGCTCGAATGATCATGTAAATTGATATGTCTAACACGTTTTGAAAAGTCTGAAATATTGCATGTTCAAATTATTCATTATATTTACAAACTGAATTCATCTTCTTATAACCTTTCGGTTAAATTTCTTTATCCGTTTTTTTCCTTCCTTATCCAATCCTTTTTCTTCTTTTATTTTCACTAATCCTCTATTATACAATTGCATACACAGAACGTCAACAAAATGTGTTTTCTGAGAAAAATGAATATGGACGGATTGAGAAAAAAAAGAAAAGAAAAAAGGGATCACTCAATTCGACGTAATAAATTATTTAACGAAGATGTTATTTTTCGTGATAGCTTGTCATTTTTTCTGGCCTTTCGCCTTTGCTTTTATCTCTGATTCGCTGGGGTTAGAAATAAATCGGTTTCGAAAAAAATTAAATTAAAAAAATTTCTACTAAAAAAATTGAACCCAAAAATCATCGGAATCTTCAGTTTATATAAACAGGGAGCCCTGGAAGAGTAAACTAAATGTTTCTGAATCAAATCTAGAAACACCCAATCAAAAAAAAAGTTTAAAAATTAAGAAAAATTATTTATATCAGTTGAAAAAATCAAATATTTTGAGCCCAATGAAATCATGACCAGCTTCCTGAAACGGATGAAAAAAGGAAAAAAACTTCCGAAAAATGAAAACTTCAGGAATATCACATTTTTCATAACAAGATGGAATCCATTATGGTGGCCGTTTCTTATTTCATTCATTCTTTGTATTCCTTTTTCTCTGTGAAGAAAATCAGGAAATAGAAAAGGCGTGAGTGGGCGTCGAAACTACATTTAAAAAAATGTTTTTTTAACTCGATTATTGAAAAAAAAAAAAATTTTGAATTTTTTTCAATGTCCTCAATGTTCGCAGCATTGAGCCCAAGTTTTAAATTTCAAAATTGTTCTTATGTCTTATATTTTTTTGAAAAAGTGAAACTTTTGAAATTTCGGAAACAACATGGATTTCAAGGAAATTAAATTATAGAGATTAGACTCAAATCATAAAGGTTCGAAGCAATCGCGAGAAAGTGTATGAAATAATTTCATACTTTAGTCAGAAAAAATGAAAAAGGACGTTACCGTATAACTAAAATGTTTCGAAGGTTTACGCCTAACACAAAGCAAAAAGAATGAGTAAGAAGTTTCCTGAAAGCTGTAAAGCCTAAAAAAATGTCAGAGCGGCGAATCTTGTATTTGGAGCCGTTCCGGCCCCACCAAATAATTAGGATGGCTCGGCGAGCCACTGAAAATGAGCAACAAAACATGAGAGGTCGAAAAGAATAAGTGGAACAATTAACTTTCTTTGTTTCGTTTCAAAAAAATTCAAAAAACTTTTCCTTGTGACACAGCAATTTCTTTGGCTGACGTTCTTTGAAAGGCCGCCTAGAAAAAAGAAAAAATAACCTTTGGAAGGCTAGGAAATTGTGTTGACGGCGATTTGAAGCCGAGAAAATTGGCTTGAATGTCCAAAAAATTGTCTATTTTTCCGTGTTAAAAGAAGGTTTTTGGCACTAAGCGTTGTATCAAAAAGGATTGTTTTCATTCAGATATTATATTCAAAAAACGAGAAGAGTTCCATTTTCGTAAGCAAAGTTGCAAAGGATTCTTTTGAATCTTCGTTTTTTAAAGTACAGTTCACCGCAACTTTGCTTACAAAAAATTAAAAAACAAAGATTCTTTTGATTTAAGATGAATTTGTCTGAAATCTCATAAAAAATATTTTTTTTCAATGTTCAGAATAAAAACATAAACGGACCAAAATAAACAAACAACCAAAAATGGAGCTAAAAAGGGCTCAATTCGCATGCAAACAATTCGTTAGGCGTCGTACTCCTCTTACAATGTTTACCCGGTTTTTTCAAGATTCCAGTAGATCCTATGAAGGTTCAGAAGATCCAAAGAAGAACGAACCAAAAACGTATGAAAAATGATGGGAGCAATGCAAAGATGCTGGTTCTTTGAGAGGTGGGCGCGGAAACAAAAAAAACAAAAAGAAGTTGATAATTATCGGGAGAAACCAAAGAAGTGGGTGCTAAGTTGGAGCTGATCGGGATTACACGGCTTTTTAGGAAGATAAGAAGGTGGGCAATTTGAGCAATCGGTTGAAATTCTACTGTCTTTTGGTAACGTTAATAAGCCTTGTTTTGAAAACCTCATTTTTTAATCAATTCTTCGAAAAGCCAGAAAGCAGAAGTACTGTAAGTGACTTTTTAAACCAATTTCTAGAAGAAGGACACGAATATCTTGTATGTTGAAACAACACGTGTCTTTGAAAATTGCCAAGAAATTTGAATTTAAAAAAATAATTTTTTTAAGAAATCTCAATCAACTTGGGGATCGTTATTATACTCTTGAGAAACATAGAAATTGAACTTTAGTTTTTTTGAAATAGAAACGGAACGCAAAAAAATCTTGAAAGTTCTGTTAGAACTTTCTTTTTCGGTTTCGTAAAAGAAGTTTAACCTGAAAAAGGGGAATTGATCAAAAAAATGTCCACGCCATATGATTAGAACTCTTCACACGAGAACATGATGACTTATTCAAAGTAAATGATCAAACCTAGTGAGAGGAATTCACAAAAAGCAAGAAAAACTTATGTTAGGAAAATTTCTCCTTTTTTTTGGGAGAGAAAAAAAGTTTGCAAGTAACGCTCAGGAAAGCAATTTTGAAAAGAATCGCCAAATAAAATATCTGAGAAGAAGTTTTTGAGAGTAGCTGTAAAATGAGAGAAATTCTTCTAGTTCTCATATATTTAATTGAAATATTTTTTCGACAAAGAACGCTTCAATTTTGGAGGAAAGGAGCTCATATTTTGAAGAAAGGTATGAAACATATAGCCGTGAAGAAAGGAGAGGAAATCCTGAAAGAGCATAAATCATTTATTTCGAAAATTTGCATTCACAAGGCTCTAGTCTCAGTTTTCCTGAATTTCAAATGATGTTGGTGTGAAAAACTAGACCGAAGTGAAGAAAGTGGGTTTTCATTTCAATTTGACATTTTCTCTTCAATCTTAAGGATCAAATCTTTATCCAGAGATAAAATCCCTTGAAACTGTAGTTCTCAGGAATACTGAAGAAAACGCTAAAAACAGTAGAAAAAGCTCCCGAAAGAAGCTGTTCTGAATGCTAGATGGACACTTACACCTGGCCTCCCAAAAAACCAAGGAAAAAAAAAGTTGGCTCCCCAGGCGACGCGTCCGGCACACGGCACCTAGATAAATGACAAATGCCACCGTTTCAAACGGAAAAGTACGAAAGAAATATGAGTTTGCATCTGGTTTTCCTTTTTTTTAAGGTTTCATCGGTCTCAGTAACTTTCTTTCCTGACGACAGCTGGCCTGAAAACGTGTGAGAACTTGAGAAAAAGTTCGCAGTTTCCGAGGTAAAGCTGTGTAATGAAGAAGACGAAAAAAACTGGTCATAACGTAGGAGTAGAGTGAGCAATATCTATTCCAAGAGCTCTAGAAAAATTTCAACAAATTCAAAAAATGCTTTTTTTGGCCAAATCAAGCATTTTTTTTTTTTGAGAAATTCCCTGATGTAAAAAAAAGTCAGAAGTTTCTAGATTTTAGTTGAATTTTTGTAGAATGTACATTTTCTATGGCTTTTGAACTTACAGGAACTTCAAAGAATTGTAACTTGTACTGAAGTTTTGAGAAAACCTTTTTTCTGCCAAACTTGCGGATGCCTCCCAGCAGTAGGGTGAACAATTCTTTGTAGTTGCCGTATAAATTCGGTTTTTGAGCCTGATTTGCAGAAAAGGCCTTGTAAGTGTCTCATCAACTATGCATAATATGAATCAATCAACTGCAAAATATTATTCTCTTGAGAAAGTTGTCCCGTGGTTCGCTGGGAAACCTTTTTTCGCCTTCTTCATGAGAAAATCTTACTTCCTAGTGCGATTTCCCAGGATATTCACTAATTAGCACGTGGGAGCCCAATAGCCGATTTTTCCACGGTCAAAAAAATGTTCAGAGCAACTTTTGGCGTCCATGAATAACAATTTTTCTAAGGGGTAGGGAGGAATTATTCCTCATAAATTAAAGTCGTTCAAATGCCAGATATTATTTCGACTTTAATAATCTTAGATTTAATTTTTCGTTAGAGCTCACGTGAGAAAACTGTGAGTTTTTTCTCTGTCCTCACCCTCATAGAACATTTTGAACACCACTGAGAAATTCTTCTTTTTATGATGAAAACCAATGAAAAACTGCATGAAAAAACCAGAAAGTGCAGAAAGTTCGCGATACGTTTATGATGGAATGAAACGCAAAGGTATTTTCGGCGGAGATTATCTCAAAATTCAAATACAAACAGCGATTATAAGAAATAGAGCTTTTCCGTCTCTTTGAAAAAATTAGTGTTAAAAAGAGAAAAAGGCATGAAGTGAGCAAAAAATTTTGGAAAAACAATTTTGAAAAAAAGGCATAACTTCTCTAATCGCGAATCGCGTTCGAGTTCCCATTTCACTCCAATAACCGTTACGCGCAACTATACATGATAATACAGTAGGTCAAGGCGTTTTGAACTCGCTCAAGGTGAGCAAATGGAGAAACTGATTAATAGAAAAACTTTGAAAAAGGAAGAAAGCTTGCTCGATCCGGAAATGTTTGAATGGAGCAGAAAATCATCAGAAGAAAAATAAAAAAACCTCGGAGGAGGCGATGAATCTCCGACAAGGAGCTGGCGCACTTCTCGAGGGCCGTCGGTGGCGCGGCGAGTGTTGCTGGCGTTGACGCCATCTCTGAAAAAAACTCGCAAATAGCCTGTCCACAGGATGAATAATGACCCTTCGTATTATTGACGAGAGACGAATTACAAGCTTCGATCGAATGGGTAATCACACCGAGGCTTGAGAAACAAGAGGAAAGACGTCATCAGGTGATAAATATGAGCTCGTGGGTTTCTTGATGCGCTGCCTAGTGAAGAAGGATGAAAACCAAGGCATTCTATCGCGATTCTAATTTTCAATTGCTAGTTTACTGTTGCCTCTATTTCTCTAAATGTATTTCTAATCGAAATCTTTTTCTCAAGAACTATCCCCGGATTGTAGGTTTTTGGTCGGTTGATCATTTTAGTGATTTGAAGGAAATAGGTGGCAAAACCTAACGACAATATGCAAAAATTTAGAGAAAAGAAAGCACTTAGTATACATCTTCGCTTTTTTTTCTGGTCGAGTAACTTCACTCTCCCAATGACGCAGCTTAAATTTCAGGTACCCTATCTTTTCAGAAACTTTAGAGACATTTTTTGAACAAGATGATCTACAAAAACGACATCTTCGAGGGACTAGAAAGAGAATAAATGATGTTTTTCAACCAGTTCTTTTTTGTGAAGCCTAATGAATTCAAATCCAGGATCTTCCAGCATAGTCGAAATTATTCAAATTTTTTGCTATTACTTCGAAAACAAAAAACATGTTTTTGGTAGCCATACTAAAATCCAGTTGATCGACTTTTGTCCAGCCAAATATCACTTTATAATCAGACCACCCTCTCTGTTCGTAAGATCTTAGCTCATACTCAGCTCGCGCCTTGTTCGTTTCGTCTTATCAGAAAACGAATTTAAACAAGTTATCTGGAGATTACTTGAGCCAGGTCTAAAAACCAGATATTAAAACGTTTTGACTTATTCGATTCAAATCGAAAAATCCATGTGAAAATTCTCAAAATTGATAATTAAACTATTCGAGAAAAATCTTGAAGGAAGACCGGGAAATTGGGAAAGAAAACTATGAGGAGACAGCCGCCGGCGACGGGTGCAAGTACGTTTTTTGTGCTGCTCGTTGGAGCAAGGTGAGGGTGGATGAGGGTGGATCCGAACGGCCAAGTCCGACAGTTGCTCAGATTGCCGCCTTCCTTGAGCATCTTGCCTCCGGGCAAATGCTTGGGATAACAAGCGTCATCTTACACTCAAACTCGCTGCACACACGCGACACTTTGCCAATCGTTGCGTAATTGTATATACATGTTCGTTTTGATGATCTGCTTAAGAAAAACGCTCGGAAGAATGGGAAAGAGAAATAGCTTTTAATAAAAAAGGAAGCCGAGAATTTCAAGCAAGTCTAATGAACTCAAAAAACTACTGTAATACAATCTTGTTTTATAATTTGGTTATTTCTAGGATAAAATAAAAGTGAAAATTCACGATCTGAAGGAAAAAAAAACCTCAAACCTTCGGAAGCAAAACAGAATTGAAATTTCTGAAGTTTCGGAAAAACATGACGTTACGTTATATTCACAAAAAAATCGCGATCTTTCATCAATTTTGTAACTTCTAACCACCTGTACATATTCAATAATAAAAATTTAAAAAAATTTTTTTCAGTCATCTCTAGAAGGTGATTTAATCACCAGACTCCAACTTGAAATTTTTCTTATGTTCTCTAATTTTCTTTTTGATTAATATCTCTAAAAAAATTCTTCTCAACATTATGAATATCATTTAAAAATCAGAGAAAATGAAGAAATAACGCGTACAATTGTCTCAAGACATGCAGAATTGATTTCGAGATCACAAAACTTGAAAACGAATAAAAATGTAACGCTTCCAATATTTTGAAAGTGGTTCAGTAAAAAGCTCAGCCTTAATTTCCGAAAAAGTAAAAAAGAAAAGTCCAAAACTTCTCAAAAATCCCTTTTTCAAGATAATTTTCTGAAAAACAATGCAAAAAACTGAAGAAAAATTTAGAAGCTTTTAGAAGGAAATCTATCATCCGATGGAAAAGTCCAAAAAAATATATATAGGCGCTCCAGTCATAATGCATACGGGATTGCAGATATCATTTTTCTAGTAGAACTACATCAGCTCCGATATTCAGAAAAACAAAAAGTGCATCTCACCATGGTTAGAAAAGAAGAAGACTCTCTCTTTCTCTCTGTCATGAATTTTATTGAGAAAAATGAACCGAAGAAGAAGTTCTGAAACTTGAGTTCGTTTTCTTGTTTTCCCAAAAAAGGACGTAGTAATGATCATTTACATTTGAATCTTAAAAGTGAAATAAAACCTAGAAAAACACCAAAATTAGAATTTCTGCGATCGGAAACTTCAGGAAAAAACTTTTGGTAAAAAACCTACGTATAGTTTAACAAACATTCATGAGACTTGGTCCAGGCACTTGTGAAGCGTCTGAATGACTTCATGAACGTTTGAAGAATTTAGTTAGAATTGGATCAATTCAATGGAAAAACTAAAAGGCCATTTCCCAGGCTCTAGTACGATTTGGGCCAGAATTGAGTCGTTCACTTCGAGAACACTTCTCGAGTAGCCGGAAGCTTTTGCCTGAGAGTAACTCGATACGGCGTGAAGAAAGATAGCTTCTTGCCATAGAGATTATCACTAGAACATTCAGAACAATGATACGAAACAACTGCGGGTTTTTCCATTGGCAAAAAGCCTCCAAGGTGAACGTAAAATATGACTCCTGAGGAGGCCGAAGTTACACTTCTCTCCTTTTTTTTATTGACCAGAGGAGGATGTTTGACCTCGGTCCCATCTGTTTAAATTTTCAAGTTTAATTTCAATTTTTTTTTTTGTTTGATTTGAGAGTGACGAAATGTGGGGGAGAAGTTTATGAAATATATTTGATATTTTTCCAAAATCGAAAAGAATGAAAGAAAAACTATTCCGAATGAGTAAAATTTATGAAAAACTTTTTAGTAGCCTCAAATTCCAGAGATACATTTCTACGGAAGAGTAAAAATTAATTGATTGATATATAAAAATAAATTTCAAGTTTCGCTCTATCAATAAACTTTTTTTGGCTTTTTTTCAAGCCGAGTATTTCGCCTTCAAAAAAACGACAAAAAAATTAGTATCTGTTACACTTTAGTATTTTTCGGACCACTTTTTTTGCCGTTCAACAACAACAACCACATACCAACCAAAAAAACATTTACTTCACACGTCTGCGAAAAATGCCTCCTACGGATCTACCAAGATGAGCTCCAAAAACAAGGAACTTTGTAACATTAAGAAAAGAATTTATAGAAAGTCCCAGTAAAAACAATAAAAAAATAGAAGAGAAGAAGCCAACATATATATATTTTTTCAAACTCATGCTCAGGTGAACGAAAAATTCGATTTTCTCCCAAAATCACGCTCTGAAAAAAATAGAGCCTAATTAATGAGAAAGCATTGTCGAAGTTTGTTGTTCCGATGAAAATTTGAAATGGAAGAAAAATTTTGCTGGAAATGTCACGAAGCGCATTTTTTTTCGAAAAATGACAAACAAAAACCAGAAAAAAACGTTTCCGATTCTAATATTTAGAATTCGAGACACATTAATTACAATTTATGTCTTTTTCCTTTCTATTTCAAATCTTGTCTGTGTGCTACACTTGTTATTACAAATTATTGAAAATATTCGCCAAAAAGATTTTTGAAGAGAAATATTTCATTATAAAATGTTCCCTAACGCCCTAAAAGCTCATGAAATCGTAAGAAAGAGTGAAATTGACAGATGCCTGGTCAAAATGATCCATGTTTGCTCGAGAGGCTATTTTTTCCGAGGTCAGTCCAGCTGCAAGCGAAATTCGGATAAAGATTGCACCCGAGATCCAACCGTTGTACACTTTATGCTACAGCGTCATCATTTTACGACCCCTTCTCCATGCAAAACCCATTCGCCACCCTCACTCTTGTGTAAGAAAAAATTAGGGAAGCGGAATCCGATCAGCTGTGCAGAAATATCTCCGACGGCTATTTATTTTTTGTTCTTTCGCTTCCGCTTTGCGTACAAAACGGCTGTTGTCGTGTGAGACATGCAAGCGAAAAATAAAATTCTGGAGAAGGTTGATTGACAAGAAAACAGAAGAAGAAGAAGAATTCTTTGCTTTTTCGTTATTCTTTGAGCGAACGATGGTTCCACAGGCTTGGTTTCAAAATTGAAAAAAAAAATTGTCGTCTTTTCAGATTTCTTGAATAAAAAAATAGGGTTGGTTGAAAATTTAGTTTGTTCTGAATTCGAAAAAGTGGTTATACTTTTTTGGAGAATCTCTAAAGTCAAATTTAGAAAAAATTTTGGAGAAGAGAATCATTTTCAGAAAATTTTTCATTTTATAAAATATTTTCAAGGTATTTTCGGCTAAGCCTGAAAGAGAAAGTGTATTTACCCGAAAAACATTGAGTTTCATCTGTAAAAAAAGTAAAAAAATCCGAAAAAAAGTGAGCTTAAAAAAAGAGTAAAGATTTGACCGACAAAACATAGCAATAAAATTAAATTGACAAACTGGGTTCCGAAAGAAAAGAATGGGAACCCTGAAATAAAAGCTTTGAACATTTCCTGGTTCAATTACAAACTTTTCTCTCTGGCTTTGTTAAAAATTTGAAACGAACAGAACTACATCTTTGAACTTGAAGGATACGAATAACTGCCGACTTACAAACATTATCATAATCGCAAAACCATTTTCGGTACAAAAAACTAGTCAATTTTTTTTTTCTGGAAATGACTTTTTGAACATTGTTCCATTTATGTTCAAAAAGGGAAAGAAGTTGGATTCAAAAAATTAGCGGTCATACTCTCTTTTAAAAATAAGGAAAGACTTCCAATTCGAACATTGTTTGAAAAAAAAACCATCCAAATTTGCTGCTCAATCATATTTTTAGATATCAAACTTAAGTCGGAATAACTTTTCCTAGGTTCAAGTCTCGATAAACACACGGTATACATCTGCAGAAAATAACAAAGAATCTTGAATTCTGAAATTATATCATATTAACTGAACCTCAAAGAAAGAAAAACTGAGCTCTTTAAAAAATTAAAAAGTTGTTTTTTTTTTCTTGATAAAATCTATTAAATGAAAAGAGATTCGCGCGAGATTTACGGCAAACAACAGCCGTCAAAAAGATGTGGCGAAACAATTGTGACCCTTTCCATTTGTTTGATCAACCACTCGTTTTATTATTGGACTCAGAATAAATAAAAAATAAATGGCTACCGCAGTATCGCGAGCTTGAAAGACGGAAATTCTCATAAGCTTCTCTTGTTCTAAAAATAGGCATTAAAACTTACGAAGATTGCGATCGCCCTTGAAGATTGAAAAGAAGAATTATCGTCAGCTTAGAAATCGAATCGTCCCAAATAACCCTTGTCTGAAGAAGAAATCAGAACGTAAGAATAAAGGAACGAGAAAGATCTTATTAAAATTGAAAACTCACTTTAAACACACAGGAAAGGTGCTGGACATTCCCCCTATTTTTCTCAAATTGGAAAAAAAAGAGAACGCAATCTCATTGTGAATTACGCAATGAAATATATCAAAATATAAAAAGAGGAATTCTATAGAGCTCTAGAGGGGTCATGAACTTTCCGGAAACTTTTTTATAATTTTGCAAACTTAGTCGTCGAATATTGTGCTTTGAACATTACACGCGACGCGTAAGGTCATAACTCTCTAATTTTTTTATTAACACGCCACATTTTCGAGAAGATTTTTTTCTTTTTGCATGCACTTTAAAAAAATTGTTTTTCTTTTTGAAAAATTTTATTTCAAAAAAATTTGTTTTTATTTGTTTATTGATAAGCAGCATAAGATAACGAGGGAAAATACATTTGAGTTTCTCCACTCTAAAAAAAATTTTATGTATTACTGACTTTGACTTTTTGCTAACCTTTTGCTAATTCCGTGTTTTTCAAAGTTCATGTGAACCAGAAACAATGATGACTGACCAAAGAACCTCGAAACTCCCATTTATGCAAATTCCTTGTGCCCAACATAAAACTCGCATAGAAGTTGGCTGTCAGTTCCAAAAAATACAATGAAGAATTTTCGCTATTTTTTGCTATTCATTTCGACCGTTTATATGACTTTAGTCTACAGTAATCGTATCGTTTTTGGATTTACTGTGATTTGTCAGCAGCCGGACAATGAGACGCTCGCCGATCCAGGTAAGAATGATCTTAGTTTTGCGAAACGTATGCAGTTTTATTTATGAAGATAAAAAAAAACCATAAAAAACTTTGAAATCACATATTTTTGTTTGTCAAGACTACTACCTCTCGGACTCGTTGAATGTCGCCTGGATGTTCACAGCGACAGCAATTGGAATGATTTTTGGCCCGATGCCTTTGAGTTTGACACAAGGATGCGATACGAGGTTTGAGATTGAGTTCTAAATATAAAAAACATATGCGGATCTTGAAATTTTGAGCAAAGAAAAACTTCCGTTCCAGTGAATTATTTTCAAAACTCAAGGAATCAGAAAAATTATTCAGATGGTTGATAGTTGGTTACGGAGCCATTTCCATCGTCAGTGTTCTTTTCTACCCTTTGGCCGATTCAATCGGCTTATGGCCAGCTTTGATTTGTCGTTTTCTTGGGGTCTAGTTCTTATTTTTATTTTTTTCTTAATTGTATTGAGTGAATACATTATTATTGGTGATTTGGATAGACCGCTAGTCGAAAAAGTAAAGAAAATACCCTTTCTGTGAGAAATTACTGAAGGAAAATTCTCAGAAAGCTCCAAAAACTAGAAAATAGACGATTCTATGAAGATCTTAATGTTTCCTTTGACGAATTACTCACAAGAAAAGATTCAGGGCTTCTCGCAGGGAAGTCAGTTGCACTTTTCCAATGATATCGTATTGCGATGGACTCCAAAAGCCGAAATGTCGCTATTTTTCTCGATCATGTTGGCCGCCTCACAGGTTCGGCTCATTTTCTTCTGCTTTTTTGAAGTTTTGAAATCTTATGTGAATTCGATGAATAATTCAATCAATCATCCATTAGGTTTTTTTAAGTCACAAATGTAATCGACTAAGCGGCGAACAAGAACTTTTGAAAGTACAACGAACAACAGCCTTTGGCGAACTAGAAGTCCAAAAGTGTAGTTGATCAAGTTAACCCAACTAGTTGGAAGCATGGTCTCTCTCCAGTTGCGCCTTGACGAGCTCAGAATGTAGCGGATCTTGTGCTGAAACCCGGAGACTGTGCTCTGGGTGGAAGCCTCAAAACGAGAGCAGCCCCTTTGAATGAAGGCTTTACGCGGGACATTCAAAATCAAAATGAATTTATCCTACAACTCAATTTCAAGATCGGCCCACTGTTCACGATGATTCTGGGCGGAGAAATGTGCACGACTTCTTGTCTTGGTTGGAAGGCTACCTACTACGTTTTGGCCTTTTTCACCTTCATTTCAACCGTTTCTTTTCGCCTACTACTACACGGACGACGTTTCGATGAACAAGTGGAACTAAAAATCCGTCAAAACACAAAGAATGATTCAGACACGTAGAAGAAGAAGAGGCCAAGTACATCCTGGCAGACAAGGAGCCGCAGTGCAAGACACTCGGCGGAGTTCCCTATAAGAGTCTTCTGACGGACGTGACCATCTGGACGAGTCTCATCATGTTCAGCGGGTACTACGTCGGCATGATCGTCTACCAACAGTACAGCCCGACGTTCATCAAGCAGGTCTGTATGAATTAACTACTTCTGGGAGTCTCACAGCTGATTTTTAATCCATTCCCATCCATTCATATCTCACTAGGGTTCAAAAATTTCTGACTTGTCTTCGCTCTCTTTTCCCTCAACACTGCTCTATTATTCACGTACTTTTTTTATCTATGAAGTGCAAAAAAATATAGAAAAGAAAAGCGCGAAAATAGTCAACGGAGGCAAAAAAATACAAAAATTTTTTTTTCGATCTTGACAATGGCTGGGAAGGAAGAAAAAAATTAAATGATATTTCTGAAAAAAATATTAAAAACTATCTTTTTCTGATTTCACAGGACCTTTTAAAATTTCAAAAAAAAATGTCGCTGAACAAGTCATAATGTAACTCATCAAAACTATGGGGTTTTTCGGGGAATCACTTTTTTCACAATCAGTATGAGTCCATAGAAAAACATGAGAAGTTTTCAGGTACTGAACTATTCGATCAGAGAGACAGGATACTTTTCGGCGATTCCAATGATTGCAGCGATAGTGATCAAAGTTGGATTAGGGAAACTGATCGGTTCGTTATTCCGGTTAAAACTGAATATTTCAGAATCTTGAGACATCTAGTTATCATAATAAAAGTTTTGCTTGTGCATGTAATTTTTATGGTTCCATAGTTCCTTGTTTTTAGATTCACAATTTCTTTTTTCAAAAGACAAAATAAAGAACTAAAAAGTTTATGATAGCTTGGCACGGAGGAAAAGTGTAAAGAAATGTGCAATTTTCTTTTAACAAACTTTCCTGTCGATTTTGTTACGGAGATCCTCAATTGTTGTCTTAAAATATCGAAGAAGTAAATAAAGACAGCACAAAAATGTTTATTTCGGTTGACGGAAAAGGTCGAAGAATGAACTTTAGAGAGACATTACCATCGTTCGAAACCATTTGAAGAATTCTTTGATCTCATTCCGTTTTTATTTCAAGACTTCGGATTTGGCATGAGCGACAAATGGCGTTTGGCCCTTCCTCTTGTATTTCTCGAAGCTCCCAGTGCTGCTGCCCTATTCCTCACTGGATACGTCTGTTTTGCCTCTTCCAGAAAATTTTTTTTTCTACGCTTTCAGATGGATGATCGACGCCTTGCTCTTGGGTTCAACATGCTGTTCGCCTCGCTGCACTTTTTCGTGCCGGTGATCTGCAGCAGAACGATTCAAATCGTTATATTCTTTTTCAAATAAAACGAAAAGAAACTTTTCAGAGAGCCGGCCAATATTCCCATTTCGCCATGAACATCAACATGATCGTGGCGGGAATCGCTCAGATTATCATTCCGATCGGAGTTCATACAGCTGTTCCAGACAACACTCGCCAGCAGGTACCATTAATTATAGTTTCAGAGGAATTTTCAGCTAACATGAATTGAGAGTTGCACCATGTTGAATGTTGATAAAAAAAGTTGAAAAATTTTTTTATCAAAAAAATTTTTTGTAGCTGACTGATCATTTAAGTGTGAAGTTTTGGATTTTCCGAAACTTCGCCAGAAAAGAAACTCTTCAAAGTTTTTTAATAGGATCTACCTTCTAAAGTTATTAACTTCGAATTTATCCATTTTCAAAGCTCGCTTTTAACATTCAAAAAAAGCAGGTGTTAAAATTTCTAACCTTCGAAAATAATATTTTCGAAACAAAACTTTGCTCAGAGAGCGTTTACCGAAAATATATATCTAGACATTCAAACAGTTTTTCGGCAAAATTAAATAGAATTTTAAACTTCACACTGTGAAAAAAGTTAGGGACTCTCAAAAGTCGAAAATTTCAACGTCTCAGATTGAGTTCATTTTTAGAGAGACCTTTTTCTCCGGTCACAATTTTTCCGACTTCGATTAAGAAAAATTCAGTTAAAACACAGCAATTGTCTCATAAAGAAACTTATTGATTTAATAGTTTTCTATTACCATAATTCGAGATCTAGATGTCATCTTGAAGATGAATACCTTTGCTTCCATCAACATGCGCTCCATAGTTTTGAGAAATCAAATCTAATCTTAGATTGTTTTTTTGGAAATGTTCGACGTTGAAGAGGCATGAAATTTTTTTCTCAAGAGGCCTCGTAGCAGTCCTTGAGACAAAATTCTGAAGAAGCGGGAAAAACACATAGTGAGCCCAGTCTATTTCAAAAGTCTCCGGAAAAACTCCATGATCAGTGGAGAAAAAAACAATGAGCAGCTCAGCAACAAAAAAAATTTTTTTCTCATTTGTTTGGCTCTATTTCAGTGGTCCCACGTCTTCTACTTCATCGCTGTTTTGATTTGCTTGACGAGCATTTCCTACGTCTTTTTGACTAATGCCAGGCCAGCCAAATGGACAAAATCCACATCCAAAGTTCTTCCGGCGTGAAGAACCCTTTTTTCAATTTGCACTTGCGAAACTACACACTTATTTTGCATTTTGATCGAAATATTGTGATCTATAAAATTGGAAAAATGAACTGAGAACAACCTTGTTCTGTGTTAATATCTCAAACTTTCTGATCACAGAAATTTAGATTGAACCAACAAAGAGAAATAGGATTCTTTCAACACCTCCACCAGCTATTTTGAACAATATACAAATTAAATAGAAGTAATCCAATTACATCAATCTTTATGTACGAATCAGATTGAATTCACATGAACAAGAAGACGTTCTGTATAAGAATAGGTTCCGCCAGCGCTTTCATTGGAATTCCGTTGCACTTTCCGATCATTTCAATACAAGGGTTGAATGCCGGTTCATCCTCCTGCAGAATATTTCGGAATGGGACCAACTGTGAAAGGCTTACATCCATCCTGATCGAATCATACGGAAGAATCTCGGGTGAGACCATATTACAATTGATGCGGCACGTTCGATACTTAATTTTAGAGTTCTCAGCTTGAACTGGTTGGAAAAAACATACATTATAGCAGATCAGTCTGAGCTCTTCGCAGTGTTTATTTCGCGCAAAAATATAAAACGTTTCAGAATCAATACTGAAAACGGGCAAAAACACTTTTTGACTTTAAAAAGTAGAAAAGTAAGTATCGCTTTGTGGTAACTGTCATGCCGATTTTTAAGCTCTAAAAGTTTCGAAGATTCTTCAGTAAAGAAAAAAAAATTGTCTTCTAAAGGCACATCTATAGTTTATCTCCAACGACCTGATGCATCAAAAACTTTTTAATTAAAAAAGTGGATTCCACCATATAAAGAGTAACCAACTTGGCCTCGTCGACCAGCAGCACTTCTCCGTTTTTCAAGGCGCAGCCGTCCTTGCAAGTCTCCCTTTCGCGGTAGTTGAAGTCTTCACGAGGAATAGAATTGACTTTTGCAAGCACGATCAACAACAAGAACCACATGGTAAGAAATGGCCATAAGAAATTTATTAAACTGTTCTTTTTTCTGAAGTGTGTACAAAGTAATTTTTGATTGCGTAAAATTATCGAGTTGAAGTACTTTTAAAGAGATAAAATAGTACGTTCACCACGATTCGAAACTCCTTTGTGTGAATTTTTGCGAGCTGTCGCGAAACAGTCGCCCTACGCGCAAATCTCTCCTCATCTTTTATGAGAACTGAAACTTAAAAGATAAAGTTGTGGTGAACGCATTATAAGCGCCTCTAGCGAATTCTCAACTCGCAAATTTCATCATCTTTTAAGTTGTACACGGAAAAAGTTATTAATTTTGAAGATCGTGGGCGATTTTCTCGGCTTCCTCAAAAATGACGGAATCGGAAGGAAAGTCGGCGCGAGCTGATAGAAACTCACAACGAACCAGGAATTGAACACTCGAGGTTCGGCATCTAAAAAATCCGCCTTTCTTACCGATTATTAAACAGATTCGGTTTCTTATTTTTTATTAATGCGTTTTTCTTTCTTTTCCTGTTCCTTTAGCCGGTCTTGTTTGTCTGCGCCCTCTTTCCCTCACTTGTCCGGTGCGTTTAAAAAGAAGAACAGTAACGAGGGAAATGGTTCAAGAGAGAACAGACAGGTCAGGCTGGTTCAAGTCTTGTCGAATAAGGAGTCAAGATGCTCCCAGAAATTCGGAAACACTTTTTGAAAAGAAATTATTTATAATCTAAAACAAATCTTGGTCTTCATGCTCTATTTTCTTTTTTCACATGAGATGAACGCTAATTGTTGACAGAATATTGGGAATCTAGCTTTGTTCATTATTGAAGAAGATTTTAATTTCCGATCTTCTGACTTTTTTTTCTTACTTTTTGCTTCGAATTTTTTCTCGAAAAGGTCTCCAAACTCACTTTCCGTTTCTCCACATGAAAAAGTTGTTTCCACGCTTTTCTAATTTGTATGTGAAGTGCCCGAAGCAACTGCGGTGATTAGAAGGTCTGAAAAATTCCTTTCCAAAAGATTTCCTACTTCCTTTCTCATACTAAACTAACACCTGAAAAGGATTTTTTGTCATGCAAGAAAAAATAAGAACATATTTGACTTCAAGGAAATTGTATTCCAAACAAAAATATTTTCCCACTGAGATCTGCGCCGCCAGAATCTGTCGAGAAAAAAAAAAGAAAAAACTGAAGCGGAAAGTTTGTGAGAGTTTTCCATGAGTACAATTTATTATTTTTCGTCTACAATTGAACGACATTACTGAAAAGTGAAAGAAAATTTACTCACGATCTTTTTATTAAATAAGCTGTATCAGCGCCAGGGCACATGATGTTACAGTAGTTGCCTAGTTTACCGTTGAAATCTTCCTGAAAAATTATTCGAAGAGGATATGCTGCATACTATGCAGTTTTTTTGAAAAAAAAGCCTTTCAAAAGGTAAAACCTTTTCCAAGTCGTAGAAAAAAATTTCAAATCTCAGCTTTCTATTCCGGAAAATTATCGTAAGGAATTTTATTCAAACAGTGAGAAACGCTGTATTTATAAAAAAAAATAGCCCTGCCAAACCTCGAAGCAAGAATCGAACGGCGCAGTCCTAGGAGATGGGTCTTTTTCGGTCTCCATGAACCCAATTCTACATGGAGAGGCTCCTTTTTTCTCAACCGCAGCTCCTTCTTTGGGCTCTTCGCAAGTCATCAATCGCCATTCTGAAAAGCTGTCCTGTTAAGAGTGATTTTCGAAAGAAAAATTAATCGGAAAACCCATTCTCGCGACCTAAAAATGCTTTGAAGATTGCTTAAAATTAGTTCCTGTGACGTTGAAGACCAAAACGGTCAGTTGAAAGTTTGCAAAACACGGAACATTGCGAGTTTCTGAGTTAAAAAATGTCGCTCTGTTTTTATTTGAATAAAAGCTTCATCAAGTGGAAAGGGCAGCCATCCAGTCTATAGATGGGCTTGTATTACATGTGGCTCATTTATTTTTTTGTTTTTAGGGACTACCATCTATATCTATTTTTCAGGCCATTTGAAACAGTTAAACAAATTTTTTGGCTTCAGAGAAGTGTTTTTAAAAAATTTTCTTTAATAAAAAATTCTATTTTTGCTTAGAAAAATAATCTCAGTGCTTCTGAAGGTGAATTAAGCGCATTTTCCGATTTCATGACTTTGTTCGTTCGTAGACCACTCATGACTGGGATCACCTTGGATCACATTGGTTTCGAGACTTGTGAAATTTTTTTGAAATTTCCGTGTTAGAACCTTTTAGATTTTTTTTCAAATGCTCGATTTTCTTGTATCGACAGCTCAAAATTAATTGAATGTCTATTTTTTTGGAAGAAAAAAATTGTGAAAAAAACTTCTAAAAAAATTTTACATATATCTTTTTTTTTTTGATTATTTTCACCAAATTAAAAACGACCTTTCGCACTTTATCTTTCTTAAAAGCCACTGAGTATTTGGAAACTTTTTTACTGACTTAAAAGTTGATGATCATGAACCATTCTCCGTTCCCATGAAAAGCTCAAGAAATTGAATTTCTATTCTCTGCACTCTAAAAAAAAACTCACGCCAATGAACGCTTTCGGAAGTGACAAAAGTCGGCAGAAGTAACAAACAAAGGGGAAAATTGGAAATCATCTCAAGGAACCGTCACAGACTAGTATAATCAACAGCCTATCCCTATCCTTTATCCATTCAAGAAGCGATTCGGGTCAACGACGCCGTTAGGGCGGATTTCCAATGACTGACTGTGAGAAAGTTCCCGTTGACATGTGAATAATATACGGAATGAAAAAATAAATAAATTTAACAACAACAAGTAAAAATCGGTCAGTAGATGAGCTCCAGTTGGCCTGTGTACGTCTGGGACGTGCAAACCGTCTTGGCGGTGCCTTTATATGTTGCCGTCCTCGTCGCGATTCGCCAACTTCGTTGTAGTTCCAAATCTTATCGCAGCTCTTTCTACACGTTTTTGTTCCAACATGTTAGTTTTCTTTTTCAATTTATTTTATTTTTCCATTTTGAAACACGTTTAAAGGCACAAAACGACGAGGTAGGCCTACATTTTCTTTCATCTTTTCTTTTTCTCTTATGAATTACTTTTTTTGAGGGAATAGCCGACCTGTTGTGCATGACGATTTATTTCCTTTTGATTCACTCGAGAAGCACTGAACCTTGGAAGACGTTTCTCTACAAGTATCAAGAATATTATCTTGCTGCGGGTAAATTTAATCTTCAACTGAATTTTTTTAATCTTCAACCTCGTACAATAACTCTAACAGCAAGCTACAACTCGATCTACTTCACGCTCTATCTCCGATGCAACGGGATCATTCTCTTGACACTTCATCGCTTTTTCAGCGTTTGTCTATACAGCACGAAATGGAATTCGGTTTGATTTGGAGATACTTAAGTTTCAATCAGTTTTCAGATAATTCAAAAAGCATCGCCCCGGACAGTCATAATGGTCTATTGGATTATTCCCCTAGCAGTGAGCTTCGTTGCTTTAAGAGACACGAATTCTTCTTTCTCTCCCGCTATGGACCACGTCGTCGAAATTTCCATTGTGACGGTTAGTAAACTTGAATAAAACAGGATGTTGCGCTATTCAACTATGTTATTTTTTTTTACCCTCGAAAGTTTATAGTCTGTTCACGGCTAGCTTGGGGCACGAAAACACTTTGCATGACTGCGTCTCCACCTAGAATAACATTTGGAAAGGTTTTTCATTTAAATCGCTTCAAGACCTTTTCTTTAGTTGGCTTTGAGCCATACGTGGAAATACGGCTTGAAGAGCCAAAAAAAAAGAAGCCCTACGCGTTGCCATTGCGCCGTTGAAGTAAAAAATAAAGTTTTATTTGAATAGGCTTGTTTGAACTGTTAAAATTCATCTAGATTAAAAAAATTTGATTTATTTATTTCAGAGAAACACGGTAATGGCGACGATCGTTGTTAGTGTCACCTGTGCAGTATGCATCATAATCTACGTCGCCTTATTCTTTTTTGTCCGAAACAAAATGTTATCAACGTGAGAATTTTTCCAAACAAGTTTTTCCCATAATTTTTTCCCCAATGTTTTCTCAACCTAAAAAAATAGGCAATATCTCTCATTAACGATCTAAATATTAGGTTGGTGCGTAATTCTTGATAGTTTTTTCTTTTCTTCTATTTTCTCTATTTCTTCAAACAAAACGCCGAACATCATTTGATGTATTCTCCATCTGCATCGACCACTTGCTGCCATCGTCCAGCCAGACGCCTGATCATGTCCTTCCAGAAGGGCACTGATCGCGAGGAGAAATATGAGATCAACTCCATTTCGACATCGCTATCTGTTCCAATTTTCTTCTCGCCCTGGTGATGCGGCAGATGGGAGAACAGGTAGTAATCGGAGAGAGCGATGTCAGGACTGTACGGTGGCAGCACCATAAGAAGTCAGCCATAGCTATGCAGCTCAGTCTTGCTGACTTTTGTCATAAGGGGTCTGACGTTGCCATGTAGCGACGCGATCTTTGGCCTGCTGCTCTCTAGTGGATAGGAGCTGAACCTAGAGGTTCTGCAGTATAGAAAAGCACTTGTCCCTGGTGACAGTGTCACTAGCCGTCAGAAGCTCCTACTCTCCCTTGCCGACCTGGAACCAGAAACAGCAGACTACCTTGTTTTCTGAGATGAAAGCTCGGTTAAGAATCGTGGTTGACTGCTCCTTATTATGCAATCATTGTTTCTTGATGTTCAATGGGAAGTAGATGATCCACTTATTATCTAAAAAAAAAGATAATGGACAGAAGTCGTCTCCTTTTGAAAATACAGAATAAAAAAAGGTTGCATTTGACTTATGCTTTTTCCCAAAAATCGCTCAGTTTCGACGTTTCGCATCAGTCGAGTTTTGAGGACTTTTAAGTAGCTTCCTATCTTGAATACTGTGACAGTGGCTACTACCAGTGTCTCTCTTTGATTATACAAAAAAATAGAGCTCTGCGCCTCCGTTGCGGAGCGCAGGGCACCGAACTGCAACGCGACCTGCTGACCCATAGGAGGACTTTCGACGAGAAAATTCCGACGTTGCCGAAATTTTTGTGATAGCTAATCATTGGATGGCAAGAGCCAAGACCCCCGAAAATTACCTACAGAAAATTTCGATGGACTGCGACTGCTGGTATTTCAGAACGAGGACATGAAAAACTTCAGAGCAAATGTGGATTTGGCCTGGCTTGCGCAGTTCAACTTTTATCATTGATAAATGTTATAGATCTACGTGAATGAAAGGTGAACAAGTATAACATAATCGGTAGCAATTTCAGCTTTCTGAAGAAAACTGAAGCAGAACTAGGTCTTTTTGAAAAAAACTATCAAGAATTACGCACCAATCTAATAGATAGCCGAGTGATATTCGGTCAAAAACGGTTTCGGTCAGAAGAAGTGGATTGGAATAGCGAAGAATAAAAGAAAAACAAAATTTTATTTCTGACTAACTGGTCTTACTAGTTAGAAGTTTTGAAAGTTCTAAAAGTTGATTTGATATTTTTTTTTAATTTGAATCCTCAAAATGAAACTGTTCCGCCATTTTTAAGTGCGGCTCGTCAAGAACTTCTCCTTTCAATTCAACTTCTTGGCTTAGTTTTAGCCTTTTTCTTCATCGCTTCATATTATATCACTATATTTTTCCTTTCAAGAGAAAGAAACGTGAGTTTTTGCAAAAATTGTGGAGCTGGAGCTGAAGCAGCTTAGGTAGTTCAGAAGGAATTATCAATAGAACAGGAAAAAACTGCAATTTTTTGGAAATTTTCTCACTGTTTTAGTTCCAGTTCACAGTGAAAATTCGCTGAATGAAAATGAAGTGAAATTGAAACTCAGATGGAAGTAATCCTGCTGCTTCGTTCAATGTATGGAATTCCCAACGCAGTATTATCCTACATCAACCCATTCATGATAATAACCATGAACAAAGAAATAGCTCAAAGAATAAATCATATGATATTCTGTAGGAGAACAGATAAGGTTGGTTTTTATAGTGAAAATTAGGAGTATTTTAAAATAAAAATATACGTCAATTGTCGCGAAACCAAACGGTCTCGCCAGTCGGAACTCTCTTGTTCTTTCAAAGGCTTTTTTCCGCTATATTTTCTTGTTTTCATAAAAATCATTTTTGGTGTAGGTTTTGACAAAAGATAACTCTAAGAAATTGGCTTCAACAGCAAGAAAATTAGAGGGTTGCATGAGACAAGATTAGAAATTTTTAGAGGGTTTTTCTTTTTACCCAGTGACATATTTTCCGTTCTAAGTGATTTCTCGAGATACGATTTTTTTTTTCAGTAGCAAGTTTCTTAAGGAGGAGTTTTTTTGGCGTCTCCAGAGTGGTTAAAGAATAAAAAGAAAAAAACTTTTTTTCTAAAAATTTATGAAAAATTGTTGTTAATGATTAGACGCATTTCGCACCATTAAAATTTAGCCAAACTTCGAATTTAGATTTTAAAAAAATTCTGGAAGTTATTCTGGTTCGAAAACCGGTGACTCTAACTAAAAAAATTTGCAGACACCAGCAAAAAAACCTACTCTTGTCGTTCGTCAATCGAATACAATTTCATGACCATATAACTTTTTGAAACCTATTTTTTTATGTACCTGTTATTACAATGTCTTTAACTGTAACTTTTATTTGAATGAATATCATTTTTTTTCAAGATTGCCATGAAACGGATATAAAAAAATTTGATACTTCTATTTAAAAAAAGTCTTCTTTATGAAATTTTTCAATTAAAAATACCGCTTTTTTTAATAAGACGCTACAAAGCACATGGCTGTGGTTTTTGATTTAACACCCGTTCTCTCAGATTCACGATGAACCATTGGTACAATAATTTCAAGTGAAGTTGAAATTTTTATCACAGTTACTAGACAGGATGTGTAAATTTTTTGGCTAGTTACTGTTAGGCTCCGTCCCTCACTGCGAGCGTTACGGTAGGAATTTTTGGGAAATTTTAAACTTTTTTCCTAGCTGACGGATCGACGCCAAACTTTTTTAAAACACAGACCACGGTATTTCAAAGCGTTTCTAATGAAAAACTAAAAAGATTTTTTTTTTACCTTTGAAAACAATTTTCTTTTTTCGCAATGAAAACTTTTCTATAATTTTTTCAAATTTTCTGCCAATCTTATCAGTAGAGATCAGCTCTATCTCAGAAATTTAGGCTTTCTTTCCCTTTTCTTTGATTATTTAAAATTTTTCTGGTTTTCGAGAGCTTTGACTGAAAGGATGAGCTTAAATTTCTCTATAGTATTTTTTTACTTTCTCTACAATGATAAAAAAAGTGAGTGATATTTTTCTGAATATTTGAACAAAAGTGAAACGGCACTTTTTTCTGTTCTTGAAGTACAACGACGTCAAAGATACCAATGATCGAAAACAGGATTAAATAATTTTTCGCTTTTTTTCAAATAATTTATCATGGATGTAGATAATCAATAGGAGAATGAATTGTAATCTATATCCATGTAGTGATCCAGATCATTTCTACCTGTTTTTACCTTGCTCTTTTTCCTTTACACCCATTTTTTCTTCCCAGTTGCTATGCATTGATGACTGAAACGTGGGAGACACTTAGGACGATTGCCTTTCTTTCTCAACAAAGCAACTTTCAGCTAAATGAGATGATTCTGACTTGGCCGCTGTATTTTTGTCTCGCAGTATCTTTGGTGGCCGTTCCGTTGTACATTGCTGTTCTTTTTTCACTCCAAAAACTCCGTCGACAGTCCTTCATCTACCGTGCTACATTTTATACTCTACTTTTTCAGCATGTAAGGGCACCTTCTGTTTTTTCAGACTGTGACGAGTGCGCGCAAAATACACTCCTTATTAACTTTCTCATGACACCTTTTTTGAAACCTTCGCAACGTGCGCTTCGAATTGCACGCCAAACAGAAGAGCTTTAAATTATACATGATCAGGAATTTTCTCAAATCTTGTAAACGGTATCCCTTCTGCAGGGGATAGCTGATCTCTTCACAATGACAACATACCTCACACAGAACGTCCTGACGAAAATCCCAGCGATTTTCCAACTTTTCTATACTTATCAAGACTACTACCTTGCTGCTGGTATATATTTTTTTTTCATAATCACAATCTTTGAAAACTTGGAAATGGCGCCTTTTCAAAAAATTTCTTTCACATGTTGATGAAAATATTCAACTCAAAAAATCTTTAGCTGGTATTCCCCAGCCTACATTTTCTTGTTTATACCTTATAGAGTATGAAAGTTCATTTGAAGGTACATACAATTCTGTTTACTACACCTTGTACATACGTTGCTGCGGTATTGTATTGCTCACATTACAGCGTTTTATCACTGTTCATTTTGGCCAGTCCAAACTGAATCAGGTAAGTGAAGCTGTAATTTTTGAAATTTGAAAATCAGTTAAGTAACTTGGTAATCGCTTTTCTGTCGAAATAGTTTCAATAAAACATTATGGTCAACTTGATGAACACAACTTGAGATAGTTCAACGATTGTCTTCGTGGAAAATAATTTCAATCTACTGGATTTTGCCTACTTTGTTGAGTATCGTCCCTTTGAAAGATCATGACATGCACATCGAACCGGATGGACAGCTAATACTCGACAAAAGTATCATTTCGGTATGTTTTAAAATGATATTTTGAAAAAAATGAAAAAAAGTCAAAAAAATTTTTTTTGGGCGTAGTTTAAAAAAACAGGGTAGTTTTCTTCAATTATCTTTTTTTCTTTCTAAGTTTAAACCTTTTTTTTCTTTTTGAAGTTTATAGAAAGCCTGATTATATTGAAAGAAACAAAGCACTCTCTATGGAGACCTCGTAATAATTGTTTTCAAGTGTACATAAAACCCTAGGTTTCAAAGCGGCTTGTAAGATCCAAGTTCATTCTATTTTTCAGAGGAATACGACGATGGCGTTTACAATAGTTTTAGTAGCGTGCAGCGTCTGCGTCATTACCTACACGGCGCTATTTCTTTTCGTTCGGAACCATTCCCTAACCTCGTTAGTTTTTCTTTTTAATTTCCCAGGAGTTCCCAAAAAAAAATTACACAAGAAAGCTTGGAATCCGAACCCCCTAGGTTCAAGTTGGAAGAAAAAAATCTTCATATAAGTTTTTTTATAAAGAGAAATTTCCTTCTTTAAGCTTCATGAATGAAATTAAATTCATTGTGAACATATGAAATTGACAAGAATATTTGTAAGGATTCGAAACTTAGTCGTAAATTTAATATAATGAGAATACTACCAATACATTATCCGGTCCATTTTTGAAGATATTTTCCTTCAAAGTTTTCTTCGTATTTTCCCAAGTATTCTTTTGAAAAAGTTGCGATTTTTCTAGAGTTCCCCAATAAGTGTACAAACACAATGAATAATAAAGAAAAAACGAGAATGGAGTAGCAACCTGATACCTCCCTCATTAATCGTTCTCAAACAAAGTGGATGAAAAAATAGTCTTGATCTCTGGTCTCCTTTTTTCTTGATAATGGTTTTTCGAAAAAATTTCCGTCATTAAAGACATCAATGGGACTTTAAATTATGAAAAAATTTACCCTTTTCATGTGAAAAAAGGCCACAGGTCAAAGGATAAGTTTAATTATGAGAATATGTTCTTCTACGTGTTGAATGACATGTTTAATACGTCTCGACAATGAGGTCTGATGACCTATAATTTGAGTATTTAAAAGGTCGCATTGAATTTGAGCGGTTCAGAAGTTTTACTCAAGTTTCTACTGATTTTAATGAATTTTAATCATCACTTTTATGCGTCCGTACGCTTTGAGCCATTTTGAATGCGACCAGAGGGTTTTTAGTTGTGTCAAACGAAATGGCTTCCAAAAAAGGTACACGAATCTTTGAGATAACTTTTCTCGCACAAGGCATCTAGGCATCTTGCAAAAAATCTTTAGTATTCAATTCGAAGATGTCAAAATTGTTTATCAGGATATCAGAACTGATTAAAATCTTCTTTTTGAGAGCTCTACGTCGCGAAATGCACCTTTCGATTCAACTCGTCGGCCTCGTTCTGGCCTTTTTCCTCATGTTGGCCTACTACTCCCTTCAAACCTATTTCTCTCTCAGTCAAAATGTTTTGAGCATTTTTTTTTCTTTAAACAGTGAGAAATCTTTACAGTCGGGCCCAGTCTTCACAATGCGATCCTCTATCCGATACCCAACGGCTTTTTATCTTATGTAAATCCATTTACAATAATTTTTCTCAACAAGGATATCCGTCGTCGCGTCATTCGACTTTTTTTTGGTAATTATTTTTCACTGGTGGGTTATTTTTTTTCTGAAATTCAAAACGCTTTGAAGAAAAAATTTCAAATCTTGACCATTCAAACACCTTTTTCAACTTTTCACACACTCTCATCTAGCGAGAAAACTCCATCATTCTTTTGTCAGTGAACTACGATCTTTTCGGAGTAAGTAGAGCCTAGTAGGCGGTTATTTGCAATTTGCGGGGAAATTTGCATCCTTACTTTTTTATTTGTTTTATGCATCCTCCAGACCAATGGGCATTGCTTATGAATCAGCTTTTTTTCAACTTTTTTCAAATTTTTTAGCACGTAAAAACTCAGAAAAGTTGGTTTAAGGATAATGTCTTTATCTCCAGATATGGCTAGCCTTTTTCAATGTTTAGAAATTCTTTGAAAATGATATTTTGCCTGCAATAACTTGTTTCTATACAGTGATAAAATCCAGAATCCTTCTAGGTGTCTCCTCTAAACGCGAATGAAACTTTGAAACGACCGGCATCAACTCTTCCAACAAATAAAGTAATTAATGCTTGGTGATAAATGTTTCATGAAAACTTATTTATGCGAAAAGCTCTGCTTTAATCACTGATTCGAAACCACCGTAAATTGAATAAAGAAGATTTTTGGTCACTCAAATAAGCCAAACCAACAATTTGAAAGTCGGATAAAAACAGACATTTATGGTGATCTCAGCTTCACCTTTTGAACTTCCAAACCACCTACTCGTAAAAAACGTCGAAAATACTAATTTTAGAGAAACTGTTATTTTTGGAGTTTCACCAACGTCGTATATTTCGTTGCATTTTTGACATTTCATTGTTGTTTATGCAGTTTCCCTGAACCGTTTTGGGAAAAAATTGAGGGAAATATACAATCGGCTATGCTCTACAATTCTACATAGAAGAAATAGCTGTAAATAAAAAAAGGATCGGTTAAAATGACGTTTTTTCGCGACGCCTTTGTGCGAAAAAGTGGAAAAACGTTGAATACTTACAATCCCGCTCGTAGGCAAGTTATTTTTTTTTCTTATTTTGTTAAGCATGTAAAAAAATACACCATATAAGTAAAAAAATAAAAAAATATTCCTGCTTGTGCTTTCAAATATCGAAGCGTCGGAAAAAAACGCAACTTTCGAAATTCGGGAACTTTGGCATTTTCCGCGAAACATCGTAAAAAAATTTTTTTGAACTGTTTTCTATAAATTTTAGAACCTTTTAAAAAAATAAAAAAACAAAAACTTTTTATTGCAACCTTAATTTTTAAAAAAATAAGTTTTGATTTTTTTGATTTTTTTTGAAACACCTGGAAAAGTGTTTTAGCAGTCGTAGGCAAATTATTTTTTTCTTATTTTGATTTGAATTACTTTTTTTCTTCAACATAGTCAAAAAAATAAAAAATCCTGCTTGTGCTTTCAAAAATTTGATTCATTCGAACAATAAAAAAACAGCGTCCTGCATTTGCGCGTTGGCGAAATTGTGCATTCACCGCCCCACGAAAATTCCGAAATCGCGATGTTTTTAAAGCAAAAAGAGTGTAAAACTTTTTTGAAATGAGTCAAAACGTTCAGTAATGTGATTCGGAAAACAAAATAGAACTTCACATGCTTTTCCGGAACAAAAAAATCATTTTAGTCTCGCCAAACTCCCACTATCCGGATTCCACTGGTAAACACGTTCAAAGTCGGGAAATTCACCTGAATAAGACATAAACGTGGATTTTAATGAGTTCAGCGTATTTAAAAGTACTGTATTGCTACAAGAATGATTATAAAAAGTCATTAATAATTAATTTATTTGTGTTTCTATGGATTCACAACCTTTTTATCGGTTCCGAATTCTGTATCGAATCTTGTTTCAGGGAGAATTTGCGTTTATCCGTGCTTCCTAATGATATTCTAACAGTTTTGAACATCAAAAGCATTGAAAACTCCGTAAATATTAATTTTGCTTTTATTGCCGCTGAAAATCGTTCAAATTATTCTTTTTCAGTGTTTATTTTTGCTGGTCCTCATCTTTGGACATTGTTCTATCATTTCCAATAATGAAAAAAACCATCATTACTGTGTTTTAGTGCGAAAAATTAACAAGAAACTTTTTTTCTGTAATTTTTTTACTGCTCTTTGAGAGCGCGCCGCACCCTTGCAACGCCCACTTTTTTCGCGACCTCAACCAAATTTTCTACAGAGAATTGAAATCGCGAAACGCGCGCTTTAATGGCTGTAATTTCGTTCAGAGTCGATCTTTTTCCAAGATCTCTTTTTTTAAAAGTTGTCAGGACTATGGACTACACGGCCATATAAAAATCATTTAAATCTAATGGTTTCTAGAAAACTGCCTGCGGTCCCTAACCATACTTAGTAATAATTTCTAGTGATTACAGAATGAAAACCCATCATTTGAATCATTATGACTTGAACATTCTAAAGTTATTTTCGGGACGTAGCCAGAACACAAAAAGGCCTTCGCGGCGATACTTTTGATTAGTTTTCCTTATGAGCCTTTAAGCTTTTCAGAAAGCTTTTTCTCGTGCAAACTAGTTCATAAATTCGTTTTTAGGCTCTCGAAACTTCCTTCCTCTCTTGACGTCATTTTCAGGAACTCTATTTTTCTCAACTGCTAGGAAAAACTTTTGAAATGTTTGGTAATTTAAACTAACTGTTTCCAGATTTTCGGCTGAAAAAGTACTAAGTGAATAAGATTAAAAGGTTCCAACTAGGGTTTCTCAATTTTTAGCAAGTTTCTCAACCATTTTTTTAAAATTAAAAGTGTATGGAAGCATGGAACAAATGAGCTATCGGGAACCAAACTTTGAAAATAAATAAAAAATTCTTTTTTTTTTTGGTTGATCTCAACCTATCACCGAATGATTCTTAAAGACCTTTAGATCTAGAGAAACACAACAAAATATGAAATTCTCCGCGTTGGGAACACTGCGTCGAACAAATTGACTCAATCGTCCCTATTTTTGTCCCCCCTGTCTGTAGAGCTTATTGCAATGCATCATGATGTCATTTCCTTCTTGGAATCATCAAAACTCAATTCTTTTGGTCAGTTCTGAATTTCCAATTTCGGGAACCTTGCCGCGCATTCTTTAAAACGTCAAATTAGAAAAATTTGCATTTCTGCTGTTTCAATGGAATTTTGTCAAATTTTCTCAAAACAACTCTTTCTTTATTCTCATTGTTATTTTGAACTTCATTCTCTCTGAACTTTATAATGGGTGTATCTATTAGCTAGAAGACCTTTTACGCGACTCAATTAAAATGCCAAACAAAATGCCATTTCAACGCCTTCTACTACTTCGGGGCACTTTTCCCCGTTTATAGAGATTCTATGTTTCTTGTTTAAAGGACCACTAGGGAGAGTTTTTGATTATTTTTTTTTGGTTACGCTGTGAATTTCCCAATTATTTTTAGAACAAGATGAAAAAATAAGCTGACAATAACTTAGTTGCAATTCGAATTCTTCAATCTTCGAGCTGAAATGATGTGAATTGAATCGTTTGTGACTTCAAAAAGAAATAATCAAAACTTTCATCATTTTGAAAAAGCGAAATCCAAACGGAATGGTTGCCTTTAAATCGTTCAGTTGAAAAATTGAAATTGACGTCATTTTTTTGCCGTTTTCGAAACTGCTATTTAGCCTAATGCCGTCAAAATTAAAGTAAGACATCAGATTCTCCAAGAAAACTGCGGATTTGAACTTTCTGAATATGATGAAAGTTTTAAATAATTTTTTTTTTCCAAGATTCAATGAGTCATGAAATTGAAAATCTGAAATCAACGATCAAAAATGATTTATCTCAACTCGGAATGATCGCTTGTATTGTTCAACAATGACGACGGCATCATCAAAAACTGTTCTTATCGTTTTTCTCAAAAGCTCGACGCTTTCAACCGCCACTTTCTGCCTTTAGTGATCGCTTAAAAGTTTTCGAAAAAACACCAAAAAACAGCAAAACTCTTGAAAGTCTCCAAAAGTTGTTTCTTTTTTCTTCTTTTTCCAGAAGACTTGAAGAAAAAAAAATAGCCAGGTTGCAGCCCTCCCACATTCATGAATTCTAGATTTTTGGTTCCGCTAGGTGCTTGCCGGAAATCCGGCTGCTGGAATTGTTCTTTTTTTGGGAGCCAAATGGGAAAGGAAATATTTCTCGTGATATGTTGTCACCTTTTTCATGGATCGATTTTTGTGTTTTTGCTCCTTATAAACATGTTTTGTTTTCCCATTTTCTTGTGTTTTTTTTGTTACCATCTCTTCGTTTCCCTTTTTTAAAGCAGGAAATCTTTTTTTTCTGGTTTAGAAAGTTCAAAACTTATGTAAGATCTCTGGATGTTGAATCCTCTAAAGGTTGAATTCAATTTCCGAGACAAATTAGCAGATCATGTTTCACGAAAAAAGAATTGTTTTCTTCACTTTTTGGTGCTGCAAAATTTCGTTTTCTGAAGTGTTCGTTTGAAGTTTTCAGCTTTGAGTTACAAATATTGTAAGCTCAAAGAAATTTTCAAAGAACTCTTTCGCTTAAAATGTTTTACGTAAAATTTTCTGATCTCCTGTTTTTCAATTGCCTTATCGAATAAAATCTACAAATCCTACGATGGAGTGAAAATAATGGTTTTCCTGACCTCAACGCGACTAATTAGAGTTTTTCCTAGTTGATATGTCCAAAAAGGTTGTCTCTTTCCATTTAAGCGTTTTCTGACGCCTACAGCTGGAGCTCAGATATCCGTTGGTGTTGAGTTTCTAAAGAGCAGACAAGCAAAATAAATTTTTCTTTTGTGTCAATGTGTTTTTAACTTTTTTCAGTTGCTCTCCTTCCACTACCTTTTTAATTTCCAGTTTATGAAGGATTTTCTTCCGTGTAAACTACATCATGTTTACCTGTCTGACTCCGCATTTATAACGCTTACCTTAGGTTTCAAAGATTTTAAAATTGCAAAGGATATTTCAGAGGATAAACCTTTCGAGAATAGAGTTGTTTTTGATTTAGCCGCGTTTGAGAGCTTCCATTCAAACAAACAAACCTCAAAGCTGTTTATCTCCTTCATTTTTAGGCCTCAAATAGCTTCATCCTTAATTCCAACCTAAACCTTTTGAATAAATGCGGAAGCACTCTCAATGATTCTCACAAAATCTATTATTTCTTCTGAATACAAATAAAATTCAGCAACAAATAGACATTTTTCAAAACAATTTTGTAATTGGCGGAAAGCTACCAAAATTTGTTCAGAATTCGCCTGTTTTTTGAAACTCCTTGGCGAACTTCGGATTTTTTTAAGCTCTAATTTTCAAAACCCAGGCTCCACCGTGTACCTTTCATCAAACGCGAAATTTTGCAGAACCCCCAATTTTGAATTCAAATTCCACCCCATCGCTGAAAATGATTCTATAAAAAAATTACAGCTGTGAAAATTGTTTATATGCATATTTAATTCATATTTACACCGAGAACTTCTCAATTTCATCCTTGATCACTAAATCCTATTAGAGATATGTTAAAGTTAGAACCAGATCTTCGGAATAAGGCTATTTTCATAAAAGTTTCGAATATCTACCACAAAAAGATTGAAATTGCAAAAAAATATTAGTTTTAATAATACATCCATAAAAAAACTCGCTTCAAAAATCTCTCCTTCACGTGAATGAAATTCGTTGAAGTTTTCATTTCTCCCATGAAATTACAATTTTCTGCAAGTCTGAAATCTTTCAGAAAGAAAAAAATTTAGTTTGAGTGAATGTATTTCGATTGTATAGTATTTTTTCTCTCCATCAGTTAATCATTTCAATCATTTTCATGCAGACTTCTCATCACTTTTTTTTCAATCTTACCTGGTGAGACCTTTTTCATAATAGTTATACCGCGAAACGCAGACATAATACCTCTGATTATCCAAAAGTTGGTTCTCTTTCTCATTCTCTGACAGTTATTTTGAACTTCGAAAACTATGGACACGTCATGAAATTTAAAAAGTTTGTTTGAGCAATCATAAAAATTTTTTTACGCCAAAGAAACTTTATTTTTTCTTCTAAAAAAGCTATATCGAATGCCGGTAATTTTAGAAATACTTGAATTTGAATATTTTCGCTGATTAAGCGTTGAGAATATTACACATTTGAAGACCTATCATTCCAGATATTTATTCAATTCTCTATAATCACCTCGCTCTTTTTATGCTAACAGAAACATTTTTAAGTTTTTTTGTTCTCACTAACTGTTCTCACTCAGATCCATTTTTAACAGCCAATAAAAAAAAGGAATTCCGAATTCAAGGAAAGATTGTCTCAATTTTCTACTACGAAATCTTCATCGTTGATTTTCCAATGTGAATGTATGAGGATAAACCGTTCTCATCCGCGATTTCGACCTCTAAAACGGCTTATTTCCGCCCAAAAACAGCTTTTCTCTGTGACGCTTCGCAAAAAAGGAAAGCCTCATTTTCCTAATGTGGGCCAAGAGCTGTCGTCGTCGTCGTTGAGCCCCTCTCTAGATTAACTTTTTTTCCAGAGGGGCGGAATAACAACGAAAAGCTCAACTCCGCCCACACTATGTTCACATTATGTTATAATCGAATATTATCTCTCTTGATGCGCCATTTTCCATTTTAATCGACTTGAAAATATTCTAACTTTTTCAAAGAACTTCTTCAGAATGAGTTTTGTCTGGCCAACTTACGTTTGGTACGCTGAAAGCGCTGTAGGAGTTCCGCTATACATTGTCGTCCTCGTCACGTTGCGGCAGTACGCAACGACTTCGCAGAGCTACCGCAACACATTCTACGTCCTTTTCTTCCAGCATGTCAGTTTAACTCTAAAAGATTTGGAAAAATGAAATATTTCATTAATGGAGAAAGCTTTGTTACTAGAACTAGAATTTTGAAGTTTTCTTTTTGTTTAAGAAAGTTCGGAACGATTTCTAAATATGTAACCTTCGTTAGAAAAAATAATTTAAAAAAGATTAATGATGGGACGTTAATAAAAGGTTAGGTTCATTGAGAGCGTGACTTCAAATAAATGTCAAATATATCAAAAGATAACGATACAGTTCAAAAACCAGTATTGTGCAATAATTTTTGAGAAAACTTCTAGATTATCCAGTTGATGGAAAAAAAATTGGCAATCTTTGTAAAAACAACTAAAATCTAAAACCGGTGGCTTTCATCAAGCAAACTCTTTTACTTCTGAATTACAACTTTTCAAATTTATTTTTCAGGGTATTGCTGACCTCCTCAGTATGATTTTCTACCTGCTAATTAGTATAAAATACGTCGAGCCCATACGGACCTTCGTTTTCACTTATCAGGAGTACTACCTTGCGGCAGGTTGCTTTTTCCTTCTTTTAAGAAATATAAACGCGCACTACCAGGTACCTACAACTTTATCTACTACACGTTGTACATCCGATGTTGTGGCATAGTTCTGCTCACTTTGCAAAGATTTTGTACCGTCGTTTTCTCCCACACGGCGTTCAACAAGGCGAGGATGACAAGCTATTATTAGATTAGCGTTTCACATGATGAATTTCTCATGGGCGGTTCTTTTTTCCCCCAAGGTCATGCATAAAATACAAATTATAAAACACGGGGAATAAAAAAGTGGGGGAAAATTGGACTTACTTCCCGCAACAGGTTAGAAAGGCAAGGTTTAGTTTATTCTCACCATAGGTTGGACATAAAAAGTGCTAAAAAAATCCTGGGAAGAGAAATGATTCCCTGAGATTAATCGAACCAAAAAGAGAGAAATATAAAAAAAAAGGAAAAAAAAGGAATAAGTAATCAATTCTTCAGGCTCTTCAAAAAATGGCGCCCTGGAAAATCGTCGTCATCTACTGGACTGTGCCAACGTTATTAAGTCTTGTTGCTTTGAAGGACACGGGGATGTATTTTGACGAGAACATGTCGCTTTACACTGATAAGGCTATCATTTCTGTAAGAGGAGAACTCCAAAATCCATTTTACAAAAAAATATTCAGAGAAACACATTGATGGCAGTTATTGTTGTCTTCGTTACGTGTTTAATTTGTGTATTCAGTTACGCGGTTATCTTTATTTTCGTCCGGACACATATGCTTTCTTCGTAAGTTTTTCGATAAATCAAAAGTTGAAGATTGAAAAATTGAAACAGTAAACCCAGCTTAACGCATGCACAATAGCTCTTTATGAAAACGACTATTGATTTTTCAATAGGCCAAAATTACAAGTCTTTTATTTCTAAATTTCTACTTCATTTCTTTTTCGGTTTTTTACTTTCCTATTTGCGTAGCTTTGGAGTTCTCTTAACATTTTTTGAATATTCTTCATTTCAGAGCACTTCGGCGAGAACTGAATCTTTCTGTGCAATTACTAGGTCTAGTCTTTGCGTTCCTTCTGATGTTTATTTACTACGCACTGCAATATTCTTTTTCAATAAACCAGAACGTAAGTTTCCTTCTTCCAAAAAACTTTGTTTCATTTTTTGTTTTTGCAGGCCGGGCCGATCTTCACGATGCGATCCTTGTACCCGATGATCAACGGCTTTCTGTCCTACATCAATCCTTTCATGATAGTTTTTCTCAATAAGGAAATTGCACGGGGTGTCGGGAGGTTACTTCTCGGCCATAATATTAGAATGGTAATTTCTGATTCAAAAAAGCCGAACTAACTCAATTATTCTCAGGATCCTAAAATTCGCGGGTCGCGGAAGACGTCAACAAAAAATGAGCGCGTCACACCAATCCAATGATTTTTTTTTTCTTTTTTGTTTAATAAATATGTAAATATTGTCCGAAAATCTGTTGATTACATGAAATATCAGTTCCGAACTGTTTCATACTAGTTTTTTTTTTTAATTATAAATTTTTCATGTTTTTTTGCTTCTATTTATGTTTACATAAGCCACATTCAAATAGTCTGTTTTTTATAATTTCCGCATCTTGAGAAAGGAATCAAGATGGTCTGATTGGAATTTTAATAATTTCTAGGACTTTTGATATTTCTGAAAACCGTGATCCAAAGAGTTATGTCTTTTTTTGAAAACATAAAACGTTTTTTGAAGAGAAACTCCCATATTTCGACATTTTATAGACGTTTCCATTATGCTTGACCTTAAGAGCCAAGAAAAGGGCAAATTATTTCGTTCTTTCTTTGAGGAAAGTGGAGTGCACCGACCTTGTGGACCATCGATTTTCCCGACGTTGGCGCTGCAATGCACCTGCGTTTCTCTGCTAACAGCCTGCAAATGGCTCTCTTTCCGTCTCTCGGCGAGTGCTTTCTTCTCTTCGCTCTCCTTTTCTGGCTCTCCCGTTCTTTTCACGTCGTCCTTGCTGTTAGCTCATATTATTCTGAAACTTTTTCCATTTCACTTAACTGTATACCCTATTTATCGTTGATTTTAAGAATAAATGAGCAATAAAAAAATTCCACGACACTCTAGGGATAACTTTCGACTTTTGCGCGTGCAAAACTAACTCAAAACGGATAACTAAAGATCTCTTGTTTTGGTGTTCAAGAACGATCTTTGCACCAAATTTTCTTCAAAATTTTCGCTGTTTCTCTGAGAACTTTAGCGAGCCTTCGCAAAAATAAGTATTCTTTCTCGGAGTAGCCCTTTCTGAAAACGAGAAAAATAGTATAGTTCATGCATGAAAAGTTCCTTCATTTGTTCCCACGAAAATAGAACTTGACATCTGAAAAACGTAGGCTTTTCGAACTTTTAAAATTTTCGGAACCATTTTGAAGTTTTTCTTTCCAAGAAATTAGTGATTAATGAAAAAAATGAAGTCTATCATAGCAAAACATATTACTTCTGATTTTTAGAAAATTTTAGATACAATTACAGCTGTACCGATCACATGTTAAAAAAAATTTCATTCAGCATCAAATCATTGAAGAAGTGCTAAATCGTTAATACTTCAGTGAATCTTTCAAAGGTATAATTCTTCTATAGAAGCAAGGAAATATTGAGGCCGTTTTCTAAGTAACTTCGCGAAAAGCAGAATAACGGTCAGAGAATATAAAAGACATCTAAATTTTGGAAAGTCAGAGAAAATTCATGCTTTCAGAAATCAACTTTGAACACGGTTGCGAACATAAAACATGGAAAAAGATAGAAAATTCGAAAGAAAAAATTTTGACGACTAAGTTGATGTTGGCAAGTGCGCTCCATGGACGATTAAAAATTCTTTTTTT